TAAAATTCTTACCACAGAAGGTGTACAAGTCCACAATCTATATCAAATTGTTTTTATACATGTTCATCAAAAACTGAATATAAGATTCGATTTGTTATTACGTTTTACAATGGTGTATAACACAAACACCGTAAAACCTGTTGAGAAAGCTCTGCATCTTTGAAAAGTTACAGTGTATAATTTGGGTCAAGTGGAACGAACAAAGCAATGTACTTTTTTTTTTTAAACATTTTTCACGAGTATAATAATGTGACAACGAGCACTCGAGTCTGTTATATATTACCAACGTGACCCGACCGAATATTCCCTCATAACCTTTTGCCTTTCTCTCGGACGTTATTTTTTATTTAGTGCAACATGTAAGTTAAGTACTAAACCTTCGTCATATTTTAACCATAATATATACGCCTCGCAGGTATTGTGTTTCACGTTCTTTAATTAACCAAACAATAATTAACAATTATTTTCTGACGTTGTAAAAAAGAATGAGAAATTCAAACACCCCTTGCTTTAATAACTTCACTCCTACGTTTTAACTCGTATTAACATATATGTGGTAAGAAGTACGCATACATTACTTTACATGCGGTAACTATTCGCGTTCTTATCAATGTCTTTCATTGCTTTTACTGACGTAACAGACTTTGAAGCAGCCTTCAAACCTCGAAGTTAACATTACTCAATTAATAATTGAAAACACATATACGATTTTTTTCTTAGAGGAAAATTAACCGATTGTTTACATACATCGTATAAGTATATATGCTTTCTATGAAAAGGTTTCTAATACGATTTTAATAGTATCGAAGGGCGAAAATAACGGTGGTAATTACTATATAATATAATCAGTATTTTTCATATCGCAATCATTTTCTATGTAAATAAGCAGTTAGTTACTAAAATTCAAATATATCCTAAATTGAATAAGTATGAATTTATATCTATATATAAATAATATATATGCTATTCAGTTATTCAATTTAGGATATATTTAATTCAGTTTCTGGTGATCAATTTACTCCAGTCAGGTTAATTATAATCAGTTTCGTCATAACTTCATCTCATTTGATAGGACATGGAAGTGATAGGAAAGAAAGTTTCTATGGACTAAATATCATTTTTAACCTACATGCTTTCTTTGGGTCCATTTAAATCCGAACCGATTTTCAATTTCCTTTTACACTTCTTTCATAACTTCTTTGCTATCGTTTTAATTACTTAAACATTCAATATATAAAAAAATGTTCAGTGATGCTATCTTCTTAACATTTTATCACAATGGGTTCATTAGAATCCGTTGGCAATAAACGATGTGGAAATTGAGGAAAGTATTCTTCGAATTGGGTATACCGATTTGTTTCAAATTTTACCACGTGAACATGAAGGTCCTAAAGTAGGTTCTGAAACTCACGAAATTTCATTATTCATAAAAAATTAATTATTTTATCATGGACTAGAACCAACATGGCGTGGTCCGTGCACATTTTCGATGTTCTACGCTTTTTGGAGACTTAGAATCGAAAATGAAGAGTTTCAGGACCGAGCTCGAACAATTTAGAATACCGTAAAAATGGTATATTACAGAACCAGATGAGAAAAATATGAAAAATACTTTCAGCAAAGATTGCAAGAGAATGCTGGCTTGTCTCGTGACTATCACGTGTCTTTAGAGCAAAAATTTAGTTGCAGCTAAACGTAACAGATGGCGACGTTGACCAGTCAAAATATAAAAAGTCATGAATTCACGGGATTTCGACAGTTTTACATCGATCTCTTCATCATTACTTTACCGAAATGACGTGGAACGCTTCAGTTCGTATAATTATCAACGTAGACCGTAAGAGACTTAAACATAAATATAAATCTCGGTAACGTGACGCACCAGTTTATGCCACCACTTGAGAATTCAAACAGACGTTACCACCAAAAAGGGCATAGATGAATTTTAATTTATCGGCGTCGATTAAATTTCTTAGCGCCTTTCATATCATCTTAATTTCTTTGACATCATCGACAGCTTATCGATAGCCTTCATATTCACGTTGTGAAGTGTGAAACAATTCGAGATAAACCCAGTTCGAAGAAAAGTTTCATAAACGAGACCTCTCTGATGCCACTTTCGCATCGCCTTAATAAAAATTCTTCTCTCCCCCCTCTCTCTTTTGAGCTCACGCAGGGCAACCTCTGGTTCATGCATAAAACGTGGAGGTGCGCGTTACCGTGCAGTAATTTGCAATGACATTTGCGAACGGCGGGCAGGGGTATGCCGGATACCTAGGTCTCTAGGAACACGTACGTGAAGCATCCGCGTGCTGAAATGTCACGTGACAGCGCACGGGACCGGGGCCTTTCGGCCTGCCCCTTCTACCCGTCCCTCCGGGTGGAGGATTGGTTCCGTAGAATCGGGGGAGAGGGGGCAATTGGGTCGTCAAGGTCGGCACGGGACGCTTCTCCGCGAGATCGTTATCCAGGCTTAGACGAGTCCAGAGAGATCGATCCGCTCGGGGATGTCAGGGAGGCAAGATTCTCTCGCGAGGCCGGAGGCTAGTGGTACGGACTGTCTAACCCACTTCGCGAACAGGTTTACGCTGCTTCCACCATAACGGTGATCGACCAGATATTACCTTTGCGAGAGGGGACTTCTTTCCCTAGATGACAGTATTGGCCTACGCATCAACGGCGCTCGGTTACGAACGCGTCGACGTCTTGAGGATGTAAAGTAACTTTGGGTAATAAAGCCCACGTGGGGAGCAAGGTCCATGCTTATATTTCACCATTTAGTAGAAGTGCAATGTTTGTGGCTCCCTCTGCCAATTAGTAAGACAAAGAAGAGTCGATTGGGGGTATTGTCGAGGCTGTGGACCCCGGTCCATGGTAAACTGAGATTGATAAGAGATCATTCCGAGGGAATTTTAGAAAATTTGGTCACAGCGTTCAAGCTGTTTGTCGCAAAGTCTTGTAAAGTCCTGCTCTGTCTAAGTATGTAGTACCTTATACTTTTCTCTACATACCGTTGCATGAGTTTTGTCGAAAAGGTTTGTCGTTTTAACAATGATAACTTGGAAATGTAAATTGCGCCGAACGGGGAGTAAGGCCAGGCATAGGGCAACATAGCGCAACCAAAGATCTTTTTCAAAAAGGACATGAAACTATGACTAGTTGCAGTAAATACAACGTAGTAACAAAATTTGAGCGAAATAGCTTAAAATAAAAAAAGAGGGCTGGCACCTCAAAGAAGACCGAGGAACTGGGATCGCAGCCTTTATCAAGAAAATAGGGTTGCCGGTATGCGGCAACGTGCCCTGGGCAATAAATGACTACGAAGAATACCCGAAGACAACATTCGAGGGCCTTGATGACATAACTTGCCCTAGCTGTGCAAATTAATATGCATCCTCTCATCGATGTCCGCGGGCCTTTTTACCTACACGTTCTGGAAACAATGCCCAGGAGCACCATCCTGCAATTTTCTTAATTACGCATTTGTTTAGAATTATATTTTCTTTTTATAGTTTGTACCTGAAATAAACGTTGTTCATGTCCCCTCTGCTCATTTGCCCTTCCCAAAATGCTTTATATTTTAGTTTTCACGAGCCTTTCAAGTTATGGAGGGCCTTGTTATCCAAAGTTACCTTATGAAATCTCGATCGCCGCGTACCTGATGCTTAGAGGACCGCAGGACCGGGTTCGCGGGCCATGCCGAGAAACGGCATTCCTAAGTCGAGGAAAAATGTCAAATTTACGGCCCTGGGCGGAGATTTGACGGGAATGCCTGTTTGGTCGTTTTGACCAGTGATTTGTCGTCCGTTTTGTTCGCACCCGAGCTGTATTTGAAGATTTTTTGCCGAATTTATCCCCTCGCCCCGGATCGAAATGGCGTGGTTTATTGAATAATGGCGAAGCAAACTTGCGGATACGAGAGGACGTGGATATGTCCCGCTATAATGCTTGAAAGGAATAGAGGACGAAACTCCTTGGCAACCTCGAGAAACGACATTCCTGTACTGAGAAAAATTGTTGATTGAATAAGTGGTTAGTTGTGGAGAGTAGAGGGATACGTGTACTTGGTTATTTGAATTAAATATTACTTCTTATTGATTTTAGTTGAACCTGAAATTGTCGCTGTAATAAAGGTCGAACGTTTTTAGCTTAAACTGCGACTGATGATTTGGAAGGGTGAATACCTGATAACCATATATACGTATTGACATATGTCATGTTATGTATTGTGAAATAACACCTATATATGGTTATCAGATATGTTTGACATTTGACATGTCATGATATGACATTTGGTTTTATTTGACATAATGAAATGAGACCGGAACCATAGTAATTGTAGGTATTTTTTGTTTAACCAGAATTAAATCACTATCTTTTGAAATCATCACGAGAGGTATATGCTGCTCTCTGATATGGGCTACTATTTATTCGAAATGATTCCTTCATGAGATTGAAGCATTGCTCGAAAGTCGCTGTTTCAATGCAAATGCATCATTTCCTAAACTGTTTAAACTGAATTAAATTCGAAATTTATTTAGAAACCGCAGTCTTTATTTTCCACGTTGAATCACTTTTTTTAGATCTGTATGCAATGATTGACCCTAAAATTACAACCGCAATTACCATTAGAAAGGTCCAGTCGATCTCTAATGCATCAATCCACGAATGATTAATGCATTCTAATGACGATCCAATCCGTAGATCCAGCGTTAAACTCTGAGAAGTCATTGCTAGTCATCGACGAGAAGGCCCGGTGTAAAGATGAAAGTTAAGAGAGTGAACTTAAATATGTGTGTCAACTTTCATCGTTTAATCGCACCTATCTTATATTCAACGCACGCTGACAGTCGCGGTGCCCTGGAAATAAATGTTATAAAGATATTATTCCTATAGAAATTTATACTCGGGTACGGAGTAGAAAGGATTCCTTTGCCGCGGGGCTGAAACTCTTTTCTAAGGTGAACGTTCCCTTTACTAAGAGCGCCATTTTGTTCCAGGTGGAGGGCCGTGAGCCGCGACTTGAGAGATGGTCATCGTCACTCGGGTAAGTGTCTCCACAGGACGGAACTACCGATCGAGAACGAATGCGTAATAACCGGAAAATCGTCGGATCGGTTATCCGACGGTTCCCATGCACAGTAACCCTCGGTTGATTGGCGCTTTCGTGCGCGCTTTCCCGAAACTCGGTCAGTAGGAATCTGTGACAAGTGAAAATGTTTATACCGAAGAACGGCGCTAACGTTCTTGGTAAATATCTGAACAAATTTCGAACTCGAGGCGACGATCCCAGCAATTGGCGTCTTGAACGGACAATACGCACCATTAAGAGGATGTGAAAGTGGCATCTTAGGGGTCAATTGTTCATGAAACTTTTATACGAATTGGGTGTACCAATTTCTTTCAAATTTTACCACATGAATAAGAAGACCCTAAGATAGGTCCTTAGACTCGCGAAATTTCATTTGGTATTAAAATTGTTGAAAATAGCTGTAAACCAATTGTCTTAAAATGGAAACTTCATGGGTTTCAGGATCTTCCTTATAGCCTGCATATTCACATTGTCAAGTTTGAGACGATTCGGTATACCCAGTTCGGAGAAAAGTTTCATAAACCTCTTTGACGCCACTTTCACATCACCTTAATAATAGGCGATCGCTACCTTACGTAAATATTAATTTACTTTGACGAGTTATCGAGTTATCCAGACTTTTAACCGACTCCACGATGAATTTTTCTCTACTTAACATTTCGCCGATGGCGCAGGGGGTCTCTCTGCAGTCAATTAGGGCCTCAGAAATTATGAATCCAGCGTATTTCTGGAGTTTTACTTTGATTTCTTTATAATTATTGTACGAAAACGTCAAATGGAGGATGCCATTTAGTACAATACCCAATATAATTCGGCATAACTGTCAATATACATACGAACGTCGGCAACGTATGTATTTAGAAGAACCTTTTTTACCGACGTCGATCAAGTTCCTCGACGTTTTTCACTTCACCTTAAAAAATTAGGTTTCTATGCAAGAACTATTCGATTGTTGCAACAGGAATGCCAAACGTTCCGAAATAAATGTAACCGTAGGAAGAATTATCATAAATCGTTATTCGATATCACAAGCTAAAGGCCATTAACCCTACGATACATTCTATATAACCTTTTTTTATTAGTTTGAAGGAAACTATAATAATAAAATATAGACGTTTGAAAATAAAAATGTATTTTCCACGCTTTAATAATAAAAGTGTTAACTGTATCGAAGGACGTGAGCATAAGCAGGATGAGAATCGGGAATTACTGTTATTACCGTAACGTAATTATCCGTTATCTACGCGATGCAAGACGCTAGCATTACGTGAAATTTAGTTTTCCTGTAATGAGCAGAAGGAGCTTGCGGAATTAACTCGTGAAAAAAAGTTATTTTTTCTTTTGCAATATACGATAAAAACAATTGAGACGTGCCTAGTCCTCGTTTAATGTGTAAGTACTCGTCCAACTGATACGGGATAATTATTCGTCTGATTTTTACTTCCGATTACGTATCCTAAAATCGAGTACATAAAGTTTTTAATTTTGCAATATATTTTTGCAATACGATAAAAACAGTTAGGACGAGCCTAGTCCTCCTTTAATGTCTAAGTACTCGTCCAAGTGATACGGAACAATCATCTGTCTGGTTTTTACTTCCGATTAGGTATCCTAAGATCGAGTGCCTGGTGGACAATCTTCCGTCCGAGAAATGATGATACTCCTGATAAGGGATTCCTCTCGTGCGATAGGTAATTGGGATACTCCTGCATTCCACAGTGTACCGTGACCGTGTTCACGTTTCGATTGCACTTTTCATACCGAGCATGAATCGCTCGTTTGCATTTTGATGCTTGATCGAATATCATTAGTTCAATGACTTAGATGTCATCGAGTTTCGAGCATGGCCTGGATAGTTACTAGAGCACATTGTGTCGTGTCCCGCTAAAAGGAGCTATGGGATAAATCGGAAATTAATTATATACTCTCAGCCGGCGATACTGATTATCGATGGCAATTAGTTGTGCAAGTATCTGCGGCCGTTGACGATTGCAACGAGCAATGAATCTTGAGTGTGTAACGGGATACGCATGATCGGTCGCGGTTCTGAACTTTGGATCGGCGCGAATTAGTATCAATGTCGCATAAAAAAAGAAAAACCTGCCTCTTGGAAGGCTAAGGATCATTGAAAAACTAGTTCTTGCACTTGTAAATAGTTGCTTCTGGCCGTTTATAAATTACGGCCTGGAACGCGTTCAAATTTTTTATATCGGAAGGTTCTAAAGAAAGAGCGAACAATTATCAAATTTGCAAGTTTCGACGGTTCTTTACTATTATTCATTAGATCGCTAAAAATTGAAGTGCAGAATGAACGTGAGAAAGAAATTGGAGAAACAATATCCTAGCAATCCTTATTCTAAGCAGAAGAGCGGAAGAGCTCCTCCGGTGTTCCGCCCGGCGAACAATTGGAACGGCCAAGTGCGAAATACGCAAATGAACGCGAAAGATGGAGTAAGTTTAGGGAAAATGGTGGGCAGACGTTTCTCGATTTTAGACCCGAAGAGCGGAAGAGCTCTTCCGATGTTACGGTGGGTGAACAATCGGGACACACCGTGTCAAGCGTGTGTGGAAGCGTGTGTAAAATGTATACGCATTTTTCTGTACGCACACGTAAAGTAAATCACGTGGAATTTATTATTAACCTAATGGTTTACCGTGGAAAAAAAAATAGCAATAACGGTGAGAAAATAAGATGGAAAATTTGTGCAGGCAGTACAATAATTGTTAAGAGCATTTCCCTTCCTATTATCTAAAAATCAATTGTAAAAACCGATCTCAGAACTTGGTGATTAAATAAGCAAGAAGGAGAAAAATAATTAAGTTCTGAGAATGTTTTGTACAAGAAAATAATAGATAGGCGGATTAGTAGGTAATGTTTACCTAGAGATGAACACTTTTCAAACTATGCAAATCTTTAAATGTTAATTGACATCCGGGAAATTTGCACGAAATATTTATAATTTATGTATTTATAATATGGACCTGAAACAGATTATCAGAATATTTATTTCATGTTTGACGTCCTGTACAACATGATTCGAAATCGCATTTGTTCGTATATTTTGTAGTGTATTATTTTGATGTATAATGTCATTATTTTTCATTTTATTTTAAGTAACCTCGTCCATCCCTACTGTAAATAAGAGTATTAAGCAACGACGTTGCTAAATTTTCTAAATGGTTGACAATATCGCATCACTACCCTTTTTGTTAACAGACTATTGTCCTTTCCCTGCATTTTTCAATGTGAGGCATGCGACTTATGAATATGTCTTGACTCTGCACAGTTCTGCTTATCGTCTTAGTGTATAAGATTGTTATCGCCAAGAACATCGCTAATGTATCAATTCTAATTCCTTTTAGGGTGATTACATATGGATTGAACCTGTCTCAGGAAGGGAATTTGACGTAGCGATTGGAGCCCGTGTGATATCGGCTGAAGGTAGGCGAATCCAAGTTAAGGACGACGATAACAAGGTAAACCCGAAAAACGAAGTGAAAAATTCTCTCTCTGAAGTACAATACTTTGAATTAGAATTAAAAAACAATTTTCCTAAATTCTGTAGTAAAAGAGAACATTGAATTTAATTCCTATAAAGTATGGATTTGTCTCAAGAAGAATACTTTGGATTATTAATCTGTTGTCATAATGCCGTTCATGAGTAATTTTGAAATTACAGGAACAATGGCTTACTCCCGAGAGAAGAATAAAAGCCATGCATGCTACGTCGGTGCAAGGAGTCGAAGATATGATCAGTTTAGGAGACCTCCATGAAGCTGGAATTTTACGGAATTTATTGATACGTTACAATGAGAATCTCATTTACGTAAGTTTCATTCGGTAATATATTCTTATGACATTTTAATATGCTGAGATAATCATATAATTATATTTGTAGACATATACCGGCTCCATACTGGTAGCAGTAAATCCGTATCAAATATTACCTATCTACACAGCGGAACAAATTAAGCTTTATAAGGATCGCAAAATTGGAGAGCTGCCACCTCATATATTTGCAATAGGTGACAATAGTTACGCTCACATGAACCGATATGGACAAGATCAATGTATTGTAATAAGGTAACGTAGCACCTCACTTTATGCACGAATCATAGCAAACTGATACTTGGCACATCAAATATTGATCGTCGTGTGCTACAAAATTTCATCCATTTCAGCGGTGAAAGCGGTGCAGGAAAAACTGAAAGTACTAAATTGATCTTACAATACCTGGCAGCTATTAGTGGAAAGCATTCCTGGATCGAGCAGCAAATTCTCGAAGCAAATCCTATTCTCGAAGGTAAGGCAATAAAATTGCAATTTAACGAGAGAAATTCCAGATCCTTTTCTTATGCTTATTGGTTCTATACTGTTTATATACACACTAAATCGTTCTGTATACAACGAACATTCAGAATATGTCAGACTTTTAAATATTTAAAACTAACGCTGGGATATTTCAACGATGTTTAAACGATACTTTATGCTTTTTTTGATGCAGCATTCGGCAATGCAAAGACTGTGAGGAACGATAATTCATCTCGATTCGGTAAATACATAGACATTCACTTCAATGATCAGGGGGTTATTGAAGGAGCCAAGATCGAGCAGTATCTTCTGGAAAAATCACGAATAGTCTCGCAAAGTTTGGATGAGAGGAATTACCATGTGTTCTATTGCATGCTCGCTGGACTTTCGAGAGAGGAAAAGCAAAAACTTGAACTGGGAGATGCATCTACCTACAGATATCTTACTGGGGTGTGTTACCTTTCCCATGAATTAATGTATTTTGCGTTTAAGTTACGTTTAAGGTGATGTATAAGAGGCGTTAACCCTTTCGTTACGAGCGCCAACTATAATCGGCAAACATGCGACGACCTTTGTGTACGAGCGCCGACTTTAGTCGGTAACAAATTCTGCCATATCTGCTAAGTATCTTTTGATTGTGTTGACCCGTATTGGATTAATCATCCTAAAAGCACATATTGAACATACGTAACACAGTTTGGCCATCGAGACGAGTTGAGAAAACCAGCTATTGGTATAACTTTTAATTTCTTAAAAATTTAAGGGTAGACTTTTATTTGGAAATTTAATAATGGAATAATACGACTAAACAGCTGTTATTTAACGCTTAGAAAAGTGTACACACAAAAGGCAGACAAAGAGGCGTTGTTCAGGTGGAAGACGTACATTTGAACACCGAAGAATGTCGAAGGGCGATGTGCAACCTTTCGACGCGGTGTCGCATGCAGTGGCGCTTGTCTGGCGGAGCAGACTGCGGTAATGAAAGGGTTAAAGAGGTCTCGTTTATGAAACTTTTCTCCAAACTGGGTGTACCGAATCGTTTCAAACTTCACGATGTGAATATGGAAGCTCTAAGGAAGACCCACGAAATTACAATTTTTTAAAATTTGTTTATAGATTTTCAACATGTTTTATGAAAAATGAAATTTCATAGCTGTCAAGACCTTCCTTATAGCCTCAATGTTCACGTTGTAAAGTTTGAAACGATTCGGTACATTCAGTTCGTAGAAAAGTTTCATGAACGATTGACCGGATGCTACATTCACATCCCCTTAAGTTACAAAGAACATGTGGTATTAAATATTACTAAGTAAATTAAGAGCTAATACTTGTAATCCAATAAGATTAAAAAATATTTATTTTTAAGGGTGGCAGCATTACGTGCGAAGGTCGAGACGACGCCGCAGAATTTGCTGACATCCGATCGGCCATGAAAGTATTATTATTTACTGATAGCGAAATATGGGAAGTTCTTAAGTTACTTGCTGCTTTATTACATATGGGAAACATTAAGTACAAAGCGACAGTCATCGGTACGTTTTTCTTTTGTTAATGCGGCACTCAATGAAGGTATGACGTTAAGAATATCATTTATTGTCTTTGTTTTTTTGTAGATAATTTGGATGCCACCGAAATACCAGAACAAACGAATGTCACGAGAGTAGCACATTTATTGGGAGTACCAGTTCAATCCCTGATAGATGCTCTAACGCGAAAGACGATATTTGCGCACGGTGAGACAGTGGTAAGTATTACATATTTATTAGTATGATATGACGATGTGTATATTGAAAAATGTACAGAAATCGTTATAGGCATATGCGTGTTTAATTAAGTTTATGAGAAAAAAATATCATTTGCATTGTTTTCCTCAGGTTTCAACTTTATCAAGAGAACAATCTGTGGACATACGAGATGCATTCGTCAAAGGGATTTACGGAAGATTGTTTGTACATATCGTTAAGAAAATTAATGAAGCAATATATAAGCCTAAAAATGTCTCTCGAAGCGCAATCGGAGTTCTTGACATATTTGGATTCGAAAATTTTGACCACAACAGCTTCGAACAATTTTGCATTAATTATGCAAATGAAAATCTTCAACAATTCTTTGTGCAGCATATTTTCAAATTGGAACAGGAAGAATATAACCATGAAGGAATTAATTGGCAACATATCGAATTTGTCGATAATCAAGATGCTTTGGATTTAATAGCTATTAAGCAACTTAACATTATGGCACTTATTGATGAGGAGTCAAAGTTTCCTAAGGTAAGAAAATAGGAAAATACTATATTTGACTAGATGGTTTTCACTATTTTATTATAAGATAAGACATTCTGTTTCAGGGCACTGATCAAACTATGTTGGCTAAAATACATAAAACTCACGGATCACATAGAAATTACTTAAAACCAAAGTCAGACATTAATACGTCTTTTGGTTTAAACCATTTTGCGGGTGTCGTTTTTTACGACACCCAAAGTTTCTTGGAGAAAAACCGAGATACTTTTAGTGCAGATCTTTTGCAGCTTATTCACATATCGTCAAATAAATTTCTGCAAACTTGCTTCGTCGAAGATATTGGCATGGGATCGGAAACCAGAAAAAGGGCTCCGACATTATCAACTCAGTTTAAGAAATCATTGGATTCGTTAATGAAAACTTTATGCAATTGTCAACCATTTTTCATTAGATGTATCAAGCCAAATGAATTCAAAAAACCAATGGTGAGTAGCTTAATACACTCATGCAGTTTGAAAATATATTCAACACACTAATTGGAATCATTTGTTTATTTAAGATGTTCGACCGAGGACTTTGTTGTCGACAATTACGATACTCAGGAATGATGGAAACAATTCGAATTCGTAGAGCAGGGTATCCTATTCGGCATTCTTTTCATGAATTTGTTGAACGATATAGATTTCTCATATCTGGAATACCACCTGCTCACAAGGTACAGTCATATTGATTGAAATTAAATGATCATATATCAGAATATAAAAAAAATATTTAACAAAAGGAAATTCAAGATTAGAACATTAACAAATTTTGATTATGTTCTGTACAACTGTCAGTGGATTGAATAATCTGAAAATGAGGATATGAACGAAACTTAATTCCAATAATAAAATGTTCATTTATTATATTAACATTTCATGATAAAATGAATTATATTTTATTATGTTACCGGGATGAAATTTACGATTATTATTTGTTCCCAGATTGAATGTCGCGGTGCCACGGCGAGGATTTGTCATACAGTGTTAGGAAGATCGGATTATCAGCTCGGACATACCAAAGTGTTTTTGAAAGATGCACACGATTTATTTCTGGAACAAGAGCGCGATCGTGTACTCACTAGAAAGATTTTAATATTACAGCGCAATATTCGCGGTTGGGTCTACCGTAGACGATTTTTACGTATGCGAGCGGCTGCAATAACTGTGCAAAAGCATTGGAGAGGCTATGCACAACGTCAACGATACAAGCAGATGCGCAGCGGTTACATGCGACTTCAAGCACTCATTCGGTCCCGTGTATTGTCGCATAGATTTCGACATCTTCGAGGTCATATCGTCGCTCTTCAAGCTCGATCAAGAGGCCACTTGGTCAGAAAAATGTACCGCAAGAAAATGTGGGCCATAGTAAAAATACAAGCTCACGTGAGAAGGTTGATAGCGCAAAGACGGTACAAAAAGATCAAATACGAGTATCGTCTTCACATAGAAGCTTTGAAGCTTCGGAAAAAGGAAGAGCGAGAACTCAAGGATCAAGGAAATAAGAGGGCCAAGGAAATTGCGGAACAGAATTACAGGGTATTCATTTCGTTAAATGAATTTTCTTTGCATTAGTTAAGGGGTTCCATATCTGAGAAACGAAAGTAAAAGTAACATGTCTTATATTGTTTGTAGGAGAGAATGCAAGAGTTGGAAAGGAAGGAGATCGAAATGGAATTAGAGGACAGACGTAGGATGGAAATAAAGAAGAATTTGATTAATGATGCAGCTAAAAAGCAAGACGAACCAGTCGACGACAGTAAATTAGTCGAAGCTATGTTCGACTTTCTACCGGATTCTAGTAGTGAAGCTCCAACTCCAGCTAGAGAAACGTCCGTGTTTAACGTGGGTCATCGTTCTACATTCCGTATGTTCTTTACTTTCTGAGTTATCGCATGATTTACGGATGTTATATTTATTCCTATAGGATCTGCCTGCACCTAGGGCCGATCAACAAGAAGTTATTAGTCCAGTACAGACGGCATCGGAAGATGAAGAAGACCTTTCTGAGTTCAAATTCCAAAAGTTTGCGGCTACTTATTTTCAAGGCAATATCACCCATCAATATTCTCGAAAACCGTTAAAACATCCTTTATTGCCATTGCATACTCAAGGCGATCAATTGGTTTGTACATAATACATATATACAACAAAATGTATATAATTAAACTTCCTGAAAAATGTTTTCAAACATGTACATTAATGGTACCGTTTTCGTAATTATTAGGCAGCTCAAGCGTTATGGATCACGATACTTCGATTCACGGGTGATTTGCCAGAGCCTCGTTATCATACAATGGATCGAGACACTACATCCGTTATGTCAAAAGTTACCGCCACACTCGGTAGAAATTTTATAAGAAGCAAAGAGTTTCAAGAAGCTCAAATGATGGGGGTAGATCCCGTATGTATTATAAACAGCATATTACAAAGACACGCCATAAGCAGTAGTACAACAAAATTTACTTTTTCTTAGGACACTTTTCTTAAGCAGAAGCCAAGATCCATTCGGCACAAACTGGTATCATTGACCCTAAAGCGGAAAAATAAACTAGGGGAAGACGTTCGGAGAAGGTTGCAGGAAGATGAATACACCGCGGACAGTTATCAGTCCTGGCTCGAAGCAAGGCCAACGTCGAATCTCGAAAAGCTTCATTTCATTATTGGCCACGGTATCCTTCGTGCCGAGCTACGAGATGAGATTTACTGTCAGATTTGTAAACAACTAACTAACAACCAGTCGAAGTCGTCCCATGCTCGTGGTTGGATATTATTATCCTTATGTGTCGGCTGCTTTGCACCTTCCGAGAAGTTTGTCAATTACCTACGAGCATTCATACGAGAAGGTCCTCCTGGTTATGCTCCATATTGCGAAGATCGATTGAAAAGAACCTTCAACAATGGTACTCGTAATCAACCACCGAGCTGGTTAGAGCTCCAAGCTACAAAGTCAAAGAAACCAATCATGCTTCCAATCACATTCATGGATGGAAATACGAAAACGTTACTTGCTGACTCAGCGACCACAGCTAGAGAACTGTGTAATCAATTGTCCGATAAAATATCATTGAGAGATCAGTTTGGATTTTCTCTTTACATCGCGTTGTTTGACAAGGTTTCGTCTTTGGGCAGCGGCGGGGATCACGTAATGGATGCGATATCGCAATGTGAACAATACGCCAAGGAGCAAGGTGCTCAGGAGAGAAATGCTCCTTGGAGATTGTTCTTCCGGAAAGAAATATTTGCTCCATGGCATGAACCTACCGAAGACCAAGTCGCAACGAACTTGATTTATCAACAAGTTGTTCGTGGCGTAAAGTTTGGAGAGTACCGCTGCGACAAGGAGGAGGATCTGGCTATGATTGCAGCTCAGCAGTATTACATAGAATATCATGCCGACATGAATGTCGAAAGATTGTACACTCTTTTGCCTAATTATATACCCGACTATTGTTTGACGGGCATCGATAAGGCTATCGACAGATGGGGACATCTCGTTCTCCAAGCTTACAAAAAGGTAAATATCTTCCTTACTTATGTGGCACTGTGGACAGTAATTTATACTTCTATAACCTCGTGTCAATTGAATATCTTATCACTGTCTTGTTATTTGTTTCAGAGTTATTACCTAAAAGAAAAAGTACCAGCTTTACGGGTTAAGGAAGACGTCGTGGGATATGCAAAGTTTAAATGGCCTTTGTTGTTCTCTCGATTCTATGAGGCGTATCGGAACTCTGGGCCAAATCTGCCGAAAAATGATGTCATTATAGCTGTTAATTGGACCGGCGTCTATGTAGTTGACGACCAAGAACAGGTGCTACTGGAATTATCCTTCCCCGAAATCACCACTGTATCTAGTCAAAAGTAAGTAATCCGAGGATAAAAGCTGAGAAGGCCATAATTTGATTAAAAGATGTTTATACAATTTTTCTTCCAGAACAAACAAAATGTTCACTCAAACATTCAGTTTGTCGACGGTGCGAGGAGAAGAATTTACATTCCAGAGCTCGAATGCGGAAGATATTCGCGACTTGGTAGTATACTTTTTAGAAGGACTAAAGAAACGCAGCAAATTCGTCATAGCTTTACAAGATTACAAAGCACCAGGAGAGGGTTCTTCGTTTTTAAGTTTTCAAAAAGGAGACCTCATTATATTAGAAGAAGAGAGCACTGGTGAAACTGTTCTCAATTCCGGGTGGTGTATTGGAATCTGTGAAAGAACGGGCGAGAGGGGAGACTTTCCTGCTGAAACGGTTTATGTGCTGCCTACATTATCAAAACCTCCTAATGATATATTGGTTTGTTTCTTATTATCCTACATATATTCTCATGGAAAAATTATGCTAGTATTGGGAATATACTATCATAAATATATTGTACTTTCAGGCTTTGTTTAATATTGAAGGAACGGAAAACGGTCGAAGACTTTATCCACAACAAATAAATGGTGTTGAACCCCGAGATAAGCCACATACTCTTCTTGAATATTCAATTGACCACTTCAGGTAAGCGTGCAGAAATATTTTCTTCTATTATTTTAAACATTTTATTTCATTTAATATTTAATTGTCATGACCAATGTAAATTTGGATCAGTTGCTCACGGCTGTTCCAATTATGAAAAACGTTAATTTTGATTGTTTATGTTGCTTGGCTGACAAAGCAGACAATTGAGAAAGAAATTCATCATGAGACGGTTAGCGTCTTAGACAAGTTCACGGGCCTCGATTGATTATATTTACACTACATCAAAATATATTGCACTTGTGACTTATAACAATTTAAATCATATCACTGTCTAGATAAATACAATTATGGCACTCATCGTTTTAGAAACATTTTCTTCACGTGCGCTTTAATAATTTATATTCCTTTAGGGCTCCTCCAAAGAGAACCATGTCAAAAGCTTTGACACTTACCACTACTCGCAGAAGTCACGCCGATGAACTATGGCGTCATTCAAGGGATCCTATCAAACAACCTCTTCTAAAGAAATTAGTTTCTAAGGAGGAATTAGCAGAAGAAGCTTGTTACGCTTTCAACGCCATTTTGAAGTATATGGGCGACTTGCCAACTAAAAGGCCCCGAGTCGGAAATGAATATACAGATCACATATTTGATGGGCCTCTGAAAAATGAAATATTGCGCGACGAAATCTATTGTCAAATAATGAAGCAGTTGACTGACAATCGAAATAGGTTGAGTGAGGAAAGAGGCTGGGAATTAATGTGGCTTGCAACGGGCTTATTCACCTGTAGTCAAAGCCTTCTTAAGGTATAACATTCATTTCACGTGTATATTTTTCTATCAACTTCATCGCGGAAACTCAAACTTTTTATATACTTATAGGAATTAACTTTATTCTTGCGGACGAGACGTCACCCAATTTCTCAAGATTCACTACAGAGACTTCAAAAGACGTTACGAAATGGTCAACGGAAGTTCCCGCCACATCAAGTAGAAGTTGAGGCGATACAGCACAAAACAACGCAAATATTTCATAAAGTCTATTTCCCAGACGATACGGATAAGGTAACTCACGAACAAGTTATAAGGTTTCTTTTTAATATTCTTCAAGTAAAATATTAAAATAAATATCATTTTTCAGGCATTTGAAGTTGATTCGTCAACAAAAGCGAAAGACTTTTGCCAAAATATAGCTCAACGTCTTAACCTACGATCTGGAGAAGGATTTAGCTTGTTCGTCAAAATTGCCGATAAAGTAATATCTGTCCCCGAAGGGGATTTCTTCTTTGATTTTGTACGACACTTAACAGATTGGATTAGAAAAGCACGACCATCAAGAGACGGTACGTCTCGAGTTATACGATTTTCTAAAATTACGTAGATATACTAAAAGTGCAATTAATGAAAAATAGCTTTATATTTGTAGCAGGTCTCTCACCACAATTCACGTACCAAGTATTCTTTATGAAGAAATTGTGGACTAATACGGTACCTGGTAAAGACAGAAATGCGGATTTAATTTTTCATTATCATCAAGAGTTGCCTAAATTACTGAGAGGTTAGTAACATAGTGTCATTTATAAGTAGGTTATAAAATATGACAGAATTATCTTAATAGCTTAGTTAGAGATTGATACGCATGAAGAAGATATTATTCAGTAGAGCAAAATTGAATAGGTTTTTTTTTTTCATAGTTTTCATACTTGTCACAAAAAGTGCTTTATATTTTTGCACGCTTCGCGTCGTTTTATAATGTAACGACTTATTCGTCTCTCAGGATATCATAAATGCACTAAAGAGGAAGCATCAAGACTGGCTGCATTAGTATACAGAGTGCGATTTGGAGAAAGCAAACAAGAATTACAAGCAATTCCGTAAGCACAAAAATGATTTAATTAATTACATGGTACTTTAAAAATACAATACTCTTCTAGTTAGTATTTCTTTGTTCAATTTGTATTAGGTCAAGCCTATTCATATTCATTCATAAACATTACGAAGTAGTTGCCAATATCATTAATATAATATGTTATTGTTTTAGTCAAATGTTGCGGGAGTTAATACCTACTGACTTGGTAAAGGTGCAAAGTTCCAATGACTGGAAACGATCCATAATAGCAGCCTACAATCAAGATGCTGGTAAGTTGTATACCTATGTTAAGTCCGATTCAATAAAGAATCAGTGTTGCTATCAAGAGAAATAATGAAAATTGTGTAAAAACTGTTTATATTGTAAGGATTTTTACTTCATTGTTTCAGGCATGAGTCCAGAAGATGCAAAAATTACCTTCCTGAAAATCGTTTATCGTTGGCCAACATTTGGGTCTGCATTTTTCGAAGTCAAACAAAGTACAGAGCCAAATTACCCGGAAATGCTATTAATTGCCATTAATAAACATGGAGTGAGCTTAATACACCCTCAAACGAAAGTAAGTTGAAAATATTTTACCTCCACTAGTTTAACGATAGCAATATCAATAGCAACAGTCCAACTAAATTGGTAGTTTTGTTGTATATGATGCAATGTTGTACTAGAACAGAAATCATTCGGCGAGAGCCTTCACGATTCAGCTTTCGCACAAAAACAAACGGGTATTGCATTTAATATTAAAAATTAATATTAACACTTCAATTTTTTAGGATATTTTAATAACACATCCCTTCACCAGAATCTCCAATTGGTCATCCGGCAATACTTACTTCCACATGACCATAGGGAATTTTATGCGAGGCTCTAAGCTTCTCTGTGAAACGACTCTGGGTTATAAGATGGATGACCTTTTGACCTCGTACATCTCGTTAATGCTTACTACGATAAACAAACAACGTACTATAAGAATAAAGTAATCGTGACATCACAAATTTTGCCAACATAACACAAAAAATTAGTTGTCTTTGTATCATATACATATGTTTCTAAGATATTTAATAGAAGTATTTAAAAAATAATAGGATTTAATTCTGTATGAAAAGAATTAAATTATGCTTTTATAAGATGACTGGTAAGAGATATCGATGATGCCGTCGCTGATGTTACATTGAAAATTATTCAGATTTATTTGGTACAATTTTTAAGCCCCTTTTTTTTACAAAAGCATATGATCGATCATGATTTAAAATTAGTTACAACTTTTATGTACACAGAACACTAATTAAACTTATTGTACATGTTCTATTTACATTTAAGGTCATCATAGGTTTTGTAAAATATTGACATGCTCGTAATAAATATAATTGGAGGGTTTGACGCTCAACTTCTTTTTCAGTACTTGTCCTGATCGATTTATATGAATTTTTGCAGAATGCAGAGTTAATGTTACGATCCTGGGAGACGTGCAAAGGTGTAATTCCGAATAAGAATTAGTTTTTAACAAGGAATTTTCACGGGACTTTAATTTCTATTTTTAAACGCAAGCATTGAATTATATTTTCACCAATTTTAGCGACCCTTGAATTTCTGTGCATTGACAAATTTCACTAAATTTAAGCAGGACTGACTTCTGCGTGTTTAAGTGGCGTTTACAAAGTATACCGTGCTTGATGCATTTAGACACTTTGAAGCGTAACGTTCTCTCGGTAGGGAAAAGGATATGATAATTATTAATTTTAAATTACTGCTGCGGGTGCTAAAGATAACCATGATTGCCGTCTTCGCGATACAGATGTTAATTGTGGGTAAATTCTCATGGAACGCTCGCCAACATTTTATGGTAACAATGGATTACTTCAGGAAGGCATTCCCAAGTAGATTTTATCTTGTTTCCTCTTTGGACATACTATACTCGTCAGGTTGGCATTTAAAGCCAAACTGTACATGTTTGCCGCATGATACTATTAATATAAATACATAGTATGTGTATGAATTTTAGCAACACTTATTATAATCGCTTTTCGGGCGTTTCACATCACACAGAGATTTGTACATATAATTGCCTTCTGAAATACCCACAGAAGTGCTTGATTATTAATAAAAATAAACATTTTGTAACAAAATTGGGATAGTTGTTTATTCCCTAAGTATTGTAGTCCAAGCATATTACAAAGAAATATTTTACAACATGTATTAGTCTCTTACATTGTTTTCGTTTATCAGTTATTTTTTGCAAGAGCTGTGTTACAAGCCTTAAGGAGTTAAAATATTACAGATACTTCTCTTTTCAATGCCATAAATAAGTGCTTAATTATGCGTATATATATCTACATTTCTTACCAGTAAGAGATTGCTTCCAAGCGTTTCCGGATATTATAAAAAGCATCCTCGTCACTAATATTTAATGAAACTGAATTTGTTTAAAATGCATTTTACACTTTCTATTGCCACTAAAATTGTTATATTCACGACTTAACAGCCTTTCCTATTTCTATCTAGCAAATATAGAACTAAGTGTTTCCTTCCGTGTCTACAATTTTTATTTCCGTATAAATAAAAATGTCTTGTCTTTCATTTTTGGAAGTTTACTTTTCTCATACATAATTGACGTTACTTTAAAAATAATTTACAAGGATTACATAAAAATGCCATATTCTTTACAAAAACTTGATTTTTAAGTCATTCAAAATCTCATTGTTCCATGTAATAAAATAATCGGTTTAAATACCCTTAACTAAAGATATATTAAATGTACATTTTAGAGCACAGGGAAACTTACTTAATTATGATTTCTAGAACACAGATACTTTACGCAACTTAGAATTGAACTACGGTTTGTTCAGACGGATTATTTATAAATTTTAATCAAGACCTGACTGTAAAAATGTCATGGAATATTGCATTAATCACTAGATTACTGTATGTATAATTGACTACTAATTATACTGTATTTGTTGAATACAAGACAAAACAGTTACTGTAAATTAAAGATTTACTCCTCATTTATTTTCGAGAAAGTCGACACAATTGTTGCGTTGAACAAATCAAAATTAACAGTCTTGTTTGATATATTTTCCTTTTGAAATATTGCATTTATTTCTATAAGCATTAAACAGAATATGTTCAGTCAAATGTAGCACCTACTGGTGCAGAATAAATTGTAATCAAAAGTTTAAAATGGAATTAAGAAGAAACGTTGAGTTTAGCTAAATATTCTGAAAAATTATATTGGAGCACGCATCCAATGAACTTTATGCTTAGTCAAAATGTTTGGATACATACTTATATATGGCTTTATGTATGTACATATTTATACGTACGTGTAAGATAAATATTACCTATAAAATGCCATAAAAATTGCATTCCACTCCTGCATAAGTTTTCATAATCATCGGAAAAACGAAAGCAACGCATCTTATAATCTACTGACTTATAGCCTCGGATTGCATTAGATTAGTCACGATGCATCAAGCATACACGCAGTCACTAACTTTAACTGTACAAATATTTACGCTATATAGTATGTAGACATTTAACTATACGCACATACGTGCATTCGATCTTAAATCTTTCGATCTACTTTATGCACGTCTGTATAGGAGCAACGCATATTACGTGGTTGAATTGAAAATTTACGGTTGCAAGTTTGAGCTGATTATCTCCACGAGTTCCTCTTAACAATCTGAGCTTACATTTACATATTAACACACACAGATGTGCCCAACTCTGTTGCAGAGATCAATCGATTGCTACGTATCAATATTCTCTAATTTCTGCGTTTTGTCTCTAGTACTTAATGGTTTTTCTTTTGCAAGGCAAGAGTTGTTACCACTTTGGGCATCGCTATCGCTGGATACTAAAGAATTATTGCGTGCGTTACCGAAGTGTGGACTTTGGTTTACATTGTGGTTATTATCAAAACATCAGAGGCCCGACTGTGGTGGTTGATGTGTACTCCAGGGCACATCGGCTATAGCCGGAGGCATGCTAGCTTGATTGTGCATGGCACGTGGTGCTCTCATTATTTCGTCTGCTGGAGGGCAATGTGGACGTGGTCCAGGTTCAGGTGTATAGGTAAACGTAAGTCCAGTGGCATAAATAATACCGTCATTACGTACTAATGAAACTGGCACTTGTGTTGGCTGACGTACCCATAACCATTCTCCTCTAAACAACGATATATCAGGTACAACGCAAAGCATACTTTCTTGACATCTGTACATAGTTTCAGCTTCGACGTCACCGAACCATACTTGAAGATTCGGGGTAAAATTGTCACCGGTCAATTCAAGCATCGCTACGTCTCCACCCCCATTGAGGTGCAAACTGTGCACAAGGGGTACAGGAGTCACTGGAGAACGAACGGGTCCCATACCTTCAAAAAATTGGTACTCTGCTTTGTCGGTGCTGATTATCGTCCAGCAAGCACCGTCATTTATCATCTCTTTATTCGTTTCCTTAGGGCACGGTGTTGCTTGAAACTGAATGATACGTTCTTGGGATAAACAAAGATACATGTGATCGGTGTCTTTCATGTAAAATGCACATTTGTGCAATTGCGAGACTGGATCGTCCGCCTCCAAGCTAGCCATTTGCTTGTCAACCTTACGAATAACAAGACGCGGAAGTGCCATTCCGGTTACGGAACAAACCAGCTTCACGGTACTACCGTAGTGTACATATCCATCGCGAACTTGAAACTCTTCGGATTCACTTTCGTTATCATCCAGTAAATGAATAGTGAACGCTCCCCACTGCGTTGAACTCGCATGAAAATTACCGTTTTCCACGTGGAGATAACGAGTGCTAACAGTTTGAGACCTCAACCTATTAAATAAAGCTACTTTTGTTCCACTGGCAATGCACAAATCTGCGTTCTTCAGTGATTGCTTCTTTTTGGAAGGCTTCGATATCACTTTAATACGTTTACTGTGAAATACACCAATGTCGTGACCACTACCATAAAACATTTTCACCGATAGCATAAAATGTTTTCGTTTATCCGAGTCCGATATGTATAGGGTTTTCGCAGCACAGTACTGCTTTCCATTATTGAGATCAAGTTGTTGCATATCCTGATCTGAATTACCTATACCTATAAAGGCACAGAGCTGAGCCGACTGCTCTGTTTCCCCTTCACGTAGCATTTGCTCTTGTCGCATTCTCCAGCCATCTCCGAATAAATAGATACAGGGTGGAGGGCAGAAAAATCGTTTCTCGTTACCATATGACTTTTGAGCGACTTTAGCGTGCAAAATAACAATAACCATATCACTCCGATCACGTAAATAACGCTCCATTGCTTCACGAGTTAGTCGTTGATCCTGATGATCGGGTCTATATACTCCAGAGCCGAATCGTGGATATGCTGACATAACAGCTGTCGGAGAAGGGGGAGATTGCATGCCATGTGCCATACTGGGCAATCCGAACTGATGTGGCATATTTAATTTCGAATTTGTTATTCCCAGCCAAATAAAAGTGTCCGCTCGACCAAACTATGTTTTCATTCTTCTCTTAATGCTTTTACCTGAAATCAAAATAAGTACATATAAATTAACAAGTACATTCGCATTAATAAATATAATTTTTTCCATCATTTCTATATCACTCTGCAACATTCGACCATAAATAAAAGCGAAGAATATCAACTCCACTTTCAATATTTTGAAATTGAAGAACCTCTCCGTAACATATCATTTACAAATATGTGTTCCACTGCAAATTCTACTAACTTTAAAGTTAACGTATATGAACATTTAGTTTTCATATCATATACAACACCTAGTTATGAACATGTTTTGAAGTATGAATAGATATACGTTCTTGCTTAGTACTTAACACGTGGGAATCATTTGTTTTTCATAGCACGTAATTAACCTGAGATATCTTGCTTTGAAAGAATGACTGAGAATTGCTGGTCTTCGTGCAGGAAATAGGAAATGGGTATGAATCGTGGGAACGAAGTTGAACTCATTTTTCCCTGCATGAATTAAGGTTCTTCTATTTGGTACGCAGTAGAGCTACAACGAACAAATCTTCGCCACTTCAGTTGTAAAAGAAACGTCGGTGTATTTATTATTTTAACTTTAATAATGCCTTTTATCTGTTAATAAAAGGCATTGTTATAATTTAATGACAAATATGTTTTTGTAATGACAGAGATGCTTTTTTAAATATGTTGTCAATGTATTAAAGTTACACTTTAACAATTTTTATACATAAACCTTTATCAATAGTTTCGGAATCTGAAAGTTCAAAATTTCATAGTAGATAGAATGAAATTTTAAATCTGATAGTTTAAACAAATAAACAAATTTACGTATTGAACAAATGGCGACATTGACAATAAATCTGTGAGGACATGTTTTAAATAAAAACATTTATGTTTACACTTGAAATTGAATCTCGGTATTGCAGGGACTACTTTTACGTTTCAACTACGTAGAATCAATGACTATGTTTCAACAATATCTCTAGTGTGTTATTATGTTAACCGAATATACTTTCAAAAATTTCACATTATATCCTTTTGCAATCCCTAAAAGTTTTTTAATTCAGTATTTATTAGATGTGTTAACAGAGGTATTACACCCTGATTTTCATAAACAGCGAATAAGGGAATAAATGAAAAATGAATTTTATCTAAAATACTATTGTTTTTTGTTTCCAATGCATAATTTCTCTTACACAGCATCACAGTAGGTGGAAAATCCAAAGAAAACGGAAACTAATCCCAATTTTACTATTAAAACAAGGAAGCAAATAGATATTCTATGCATCGAACGAATTCAAGTACCCTCTGAGAATTTGTGATAGATTTGAAAATATTTGTTGATTAAGTAATATCTGCAGGAACGGTTACCCGTTCATAGCGTAATTTGCCTGTCCATTCAGCCAAAAAGAGGATGGATAAAAAGAAAGGGGCTAATTCAAACTCCCTTACAAAAAGTCCCAAAAGATTGTGAAAATATGTTGGAAGCTGGTTGGTAGCATTTTTGAAAGTATCCCAATCAGCGGCGTATTTCTCTCAAGTCCTGACAATCGTTGGAACGATCAGCTGGTCCTCGGAGGGACCTAAGATAAAAACGTACAGTAACAGGACGATTTGTTTATTTACGTTACAGCACGAGGAACGACGGGTCACCGTATGCAAGCAGGTTAAACGCTCTCAAGCCTCACCTCAGCCGACACAAGTGTCCAAAATAAGACGCTCCACTCTCCGAACCATCTTCCTGCGGGTGCAGAGAATTTTACAGGGTGCAGCAAACCGATCGGATCCGCTCTCGAGATCGAGGATCACGTTTTGCACGGCCGTCCGCCGTGGCTGCTATCCCTGCAGTTAATCCATTCAAAAAACACCTGTTCACTTTCCGAATTTTCAGAACAGTTTAGCCAACCTCGAAGCGCGGCGCAGGCGCGCGCGCAATTCAAACGGGCCAAAGTCGGGTGCGCCGCGGGTCGCCAGGCAGAAATTCTCTCGTCGCTCGTCAGCGTCGCCTGCGCGAAACGGGCGTGGAGGATAACCTGAAAAATCCGAACCGACTCGACGAGTTCGAGCACGCGGCTCGGGCGATCGTCGGCGGTGAGAAGAGCGCCGTAGCTTGGCGCGCGACCGTCCTTTGCGGTGCTCGCCGGGTAACTAAGTTCCCTGCGACACCGTGGAGTCATTACTGCCGCATAAGTGGCCGTAGTTTCTATTGTTTTACCGTTGTACAATGGCCCGACCGACCCCAGCGCCTCGGAGCCGCTCCTGGCCTCGCGGCCCTTCCACCGGGGCCCCCTCCCCGAGCGAACTCCCTCCTGCCCGCGCCGCGGAATTGCTGCCGCAAAAGGATGTTGGGGTTACCCCGGGGGGCGTGGGAAAAACCTGCTGTGGGAAAGAGTGGGTGGCCTCTACCTCACTCCACTTCTGCGATGATGACGATACGATATACGCCGGCAGCGCTCGTAAACGTGCACGACCGCTCGGCCGGACTCGGCCGGGTTCGGCCAAGCTCGGCCGCGTGAGAGTCGCGCCCGAACGCCGAGCATGCGAGAACCCATCGGCCCTGGACGCTCGAAGGTGTGAGTCGCTTGAGTGTGTGCGTACGCTTCACCCTCTCGAAGGTATGAGTCGCTTGAGTGTGCGTGCACGCTCACCCGCTCGTAGGTGTAAGTCGCTCGAGTGTGCGCACGCTCACACTTCGCCAGCGCGCGCGTCGGCTGCACGGATAATGCCGCTCTCGTATCACTTTTATCCACGTCTATTTGTAAACACGCAAATTCGTGCCGTCTCGCTAATGCAAGCGTCGTGGCCGACGTATGCGATCTAATGACGTACATACATATATATGCATATATATACTTACAAAAAGTATATGTCGAGCCAGACCACGTGTGTGGCAAACATGAGGGCACATCCATAAAAGTCGGAAAGCATCGGGAAAATGCCGCCGATTTGTAAATATTAATAAAAGAGGTTCGCGGGGACCTTAATTATCGGCGTTCCGTGAGTACGGTTGCGTAATGAATGACCGCGTTTTAATGATGACGTTTAGATCTGGAGTAGAGTTTGCCTTGGACGTTTCCTTTTAACAGAGGTATTTTGAGTTTCATGGAAAAATGTAGAGAGTAGGATAATTAAATTATTTAAGGTGATATGAAAGAGTCATTCTAAATATATAAAGCGTCAAAGTATTTATAAAACTTTTCTCCAAACTGGGTGCACCGAATCGTTGGTAACTTTAACGCGTGATTATGGAGACCCTAAGGAAAAACGCGATGCTCATGAAATCTCATTTTTCAAACAAAAATATGCGTCCTTGGTTCTAGTCCGGGATACATAAAAAATTTTGTTTGAAAAATTAAATTTCATGAGCATCGCTTTCTTCCTTAAGGCCTCCATAATCACATGAAGTTTCAAATTATTCGGTGCACCCTGTTTGGAGAAAAGTTTTATAAACATTTTGACATTTTGGTATATATATACATATATACACCAAATGTATATATATATAACACAATATATATAACACTTTCATATCAACTGAATAAGATGAACTAAATGAGAATTGAAAATCTTTTCTCCTGCTTTTCAAATTCCGAGATCATTACCCTTGAGAATCGTTATATATATTTATTGACGTGAGAAGAAAATGCCAAATAAATCTTGTTCTCCGAATCATGTTTTACTAGTACATCATTTCAAATTAAAATGTCTTAATCAATTGACGCTTGTGATTGGTATTATCATTTATTTAGGTTAATTATGCGTATTCTATCACAATTGACGTTAATTAATGACTGTGATACTATTCAAAGGTTCACGAAAGTTTATTTACAGCATTTCATTATGAATCTACATTTCCCCTCTCAACAATGGCTTGAAGCGTTCAACTATTCCCAGACAATCTCAGAAATTAATTTCCCACGCATTTCTCATAGGACATACGTGTGATAAATTTACGCGGTTGCATAAAATATGTACGTGTTTTCTGATTGTTAATGACAGTCCAGTTACTGACGCAATTGCCATGACATTAAACTACACAATACGGGGATGAAGAGCAGCGATAAAAAAAAAAAAGTAAATGAAAGAAAAGTCATATATATCCCAGTACTTTGCTTTACATGCGTTAAGAATTATAATACTGTGTCTACCCTCGGAGATTGACCATTTTAAGATGGAAGAAAAATATTTAATAGTAGAATGATAATTTCCAATCGAGAAGAACCAGTGGTATCCTTTTTCTACTTTAACACATCGTACGCGCATATTTTTCTATTTCTAGCAACCAGTGAATTATGGACTTGCAATCAGTTCTGTTTTATAGCAAATTTACTGACATACTAAACTCTAAAAAGTACTGGAACTATCAGAAAATGTATTAGAATCTATACAAAGTGTGCATTTTTAGAAATTGCGGGCAATTTCATATAAGGACTAACCTGTTAACGAAGAATATCGAAAAAAAACACATAGAAACATTGTAATATTGTAATACAGGCCAATACCTGAAATTTTCTAATTTATTTATAGGAGATCAGAAAACTGGGTAAAGTTTCACGCCAATTATATACACACTTGCATATGTATCAAGCAATGGATATAACTGATTAGATCTTAATCCATCTTTAATTAAATGTTATACTCAGGTTAGTGACATTTTTAATTCATGTTACATTGAAGTCACTGAAGGAAATTGTTTTTTTTGCGGATGGGCTTTTCGCGTTCTCCTATGTCACTTAATCCGTAAATCCCTCGTAGCACCCCGCTATTTCTCTCAAAACCAGATAACATTCTAATTTAAGATATCTTTTCATAATCTACGTCTTTTTATTCATTATAAACAGCCAACATGAAATTTCAGTGTTGTAAGAACGTATGAAATCTCGCGCCGATATCGTACTTTCTCCGACTAAATACTAAGGTTCAAATAGAGAATTTATAACAATAATTATATATATTTTTTAAATTCTTTTAATCAAGCTGACGAAACGTTTGATTGCAAACATTTAATCCTTTATAAACAAATTAAACGTAGTTTTTAAGTTCAACAATTGTTTTTCGATATTCTAATTCCGGCTCTAATTGAATTTTAGGTTGTAATCCGATAATATTTACAGTGTCATTCAATTATTACGATGTTTCATAAATAACTGGTAGCGCATATAGTTTAAGTAAAGTGTCATTCTTGTATAGTTTTAATTAAATACTATCAACTTTTAACCCTTTCAGCGCTGTGGATCCATAAGTGCGTCCGACGTTTGGTCCAATATTGCTTATACGCACTCATGAAATTTGTCATCCGCCAAAAGGGCTTAGCGCTCAAAGGGTTAATGAGCCTAATATCATCGACTAGTACCTGCGTGCGCAGAAGTAACGTGCCATAAAGGCCGAAAATTCAAATTAGCACCGCTGTCAGTATATTGCTATCATAAAATGCTCGTCATATTTTCAGTATAGTCAGCTGACTAACGCTGATTACTCGTAATTGCTCATAAATGCTCGTGAATGTTCGTGGATGTTCGTGGATGTTCGTGGATGGTGCGCGCCGGCTACCCGGCGAGTGTCGTCCATTGTCACTCAAGTTGCTCACTGTGTGTGGTTGTTTTTTGCAGGGTAAAGGTTACGAAGGTTTAAAACTTTCACCGTATTTATATACTGCCTGTACGTTGTATGAACACGTCAAATTTCATGCTTGTCAAAATATGACACATGTCAATGAAGTAATTACATACGCTTTAATAAAATCTGCAGTATAACAATTGTAAAAAACTTAAAGGTTATGTAGCGACAGGAGTACAATGTTGTTGATTATTCAGTTCTGAGGTAAGAGATATTTGCCATTCAATTTTGATGTTACTGTTTATAATTTGGATTTTTAATGTAGCCGTTACAACTGGGTAACAAACAACTGGATAAAAACTTTGAACACAATACTCGAGAATAGGTTATGTCGCTACAAAATTACGACGTTGACTTACTATTTACTTTAATTTATTTTATGCACATTCTGTACAAAGAAAGTTTTTAAGTAATGTTTCGAGACATATTATTTTTTTACTATCTATGTTGAAATGTCATCTGCAATAACTGGCAGTTTTATTATTTCTAGAGCTAGCTTTGGATGATACATAGTATTTTTTGGTAATTTTAAAATCTTTTTTAGTAGGTTTCACATTGTGAGATATGGGAGTACATGGCTTATGGCGTTTGTTAGATTCCACCGGGAAACCAGTCCCTTTGGAAACTCTTGAAGGAAAAGTTCTAGCAATCGGTATCCTTTTTTGCAGTAAAATGACAATAACCAGATCTGTAATTGCAGGATCAACTGCATTAAGGGTACTGAAAATCAGTTTAATTACATTTCTCAGTTTGACATTTACTCAGGTAGAATAAGTGATTATAAAATAAGAAATTGTTATTTTTACAAATAATGTTATATATTGTTAACTTAACTAAAAAAATTTAGATGTCTCGATATGGATACACCAGGTAATACAAGGATATCAAGATCGCCGTGGCAACCCTGTGCCAAATGCACATCTTCTAGGATTATTTCATAGAATTTGTAAACTTTTGTATTACAAAATTAAGCCAATTTTTGTGTTTGATGGAGGTGTACCTATGCTTAAGAAGAACACAATTGTAAGTACCATTTACGTCATCCTCAATTCTCATAAAAAATACAAATTTAAATGGTTTGTCCAATTCAAAATTTATATTCAATTCTATATTCTTGTATGGAAAGTAAGTGCGAGTTGAATATGTAAGCTTAAGATAAGGTACCAATTAGTATACTCTATGTAACTACTTGTTTATCTTGAATACAAAATTGCATGCACGTCATTCATAGTGTGAGAACTAGATACTGAGGAAAGATTCTCCTCATTCTTTACTGGTTTCAGGCTGCACGCAGGAAGCAAAAATCAGTTGCTATGAGCAAAGCACAAAGAATGAAAAATGATTTGATAAACAATTTGATAAAGCATTCTGCTGTGAGTTGTGTGCTGAGTGCAGATGATAATAATAAAAATGTAAATTCAAATCAAGACTTATTGAACTTAAAAAGTGGGAGTTCCGCCGTAGACGATATGTTTAAATTGCCTGTGATTCCTAGCACTAGCAAAGAAATATTAGAAGTTGATAATACATATGAGTCAGATTCATCCCCTGAAACTAGTCCTCGAAAACAAACCAGATGGACCGGTAACATTCATTCAGTCGATGTCAGTAGCACAGATTTTAAAGCTTTACCAGCAGATGTTCGCTATGACATTCTAACTGATCTGAAAGAAACAAGAAAACAAAATTCTTGGGGCCGTCTTCATGAAATGCCAGATGTATGTAGTTTCTTCAGAAACCGTAACTAATTAGTATCTTTAAGTTTACGAGTTTTCGAATCATAATCGGAATTATCGATCGTTCCATTTATCATTATTTAAGAAATCAATGTAAAATAGAAACTTTTTTTAGGAAACCTATGAGTTTTCCAGTTTTCAAATGAAACGTTTATTGAAACGTAGGTTAGTACAAGAATCGTTAGAAGAAGCGGAAAAGGAAATGGGTGGAAGAACTCTGACTCTAGAGGAACTGGAGACACTCTTAAAAGAACAAGGCGTTAGCATGACTGGTCGTGATGCTGCGTATCGGATTGCATCAGATAGTACAACGAGAGTGCTTTACATTGACAGTAAGGATATTTAGATGTTTCATTATGTTAGTTATGTATGTTATTTGTAATTCTATACACACAAAACATTGGGCTATAACTGTAATTGGTTTAATCATCTCTGCATATTGTTTTAGATACAAAACCAGAGAAAACAAATTCCAGTAATAAAACAACTACAATTGTCAAAGATAGAGAAACATCAACAACCAGTGAAGATGTAACATTAATTGACGATTTGAATGAATACGAATTCGAAAGTGACTGGGATTCTGATGTTGAATTAATTGATCTTGAACCAGTATCTAAAAAGTATTTTGGAAAAACTGCTGTGAATCCGGCAGTAACGTATATGCTCGAATATGCTGGGCTTACTCAGGACCAAATTTTTACTTTATTGGAACGAAATAATAAAAATACTGAAAAAACAAGTGTCAAAAATTTGGAAGCATCCACAAGTAATTTTCAATTAAATGAAACTGATGTAAAAATTGAAGAAGATGAGGTCGAATTAACTACAGAATCTTATAAAAATAGTGAATCTTCGCAGAAAAGTGAAACGGCGTTAAAAAGTTCATCTACAGATATAATTTTAAACATTTCTGATGTAAATAACGATTTTCAAAAATCTAATTCTTCAACGTCACCTTCAGAATTAAATGAGTTTGTTAAAGGTAGGACTGAACTTGATACGCCTCAAACTCAAACACCAAAATCTACAATAGTGCAGTTTGCTCAACCAGTTGAAACCCACAAAACGTCAGAATATTTTGATTTAGTAAATTCAAGTTCAGACTCGGATGACTTAGTGGAAGTAGAGAAACTTGAAAGGAATCAGAATAAGATTATCAAACCTGTATCGCATAAGGGTCATTCTACAACCATAACTGCTTCTCAAGAAACTGGTAATCATGATAAATTACTTAATACAACTACAAGTGACACTGATACCGATGATTTTATAGAAATACAAGACCTGCCAATACCCGATTCAATTTTTGCACAGAAACAACCGGAAAAGAATAGCTTGCAAATAACAGTAAATTGTGATCAAAAGCCTGAAAATGACCTTTTTGATGATATATTTTCTGATAATGTAAACCCTTTATCAGAACCTTTTGAGCAAAATAAGACAGAACAAATCAAACAAAAGGACACAGTTAATGTGACTTGTATACCCAGTTCCGATGAAAGTATTAAGTTATTAGAAAATGCTTCTCAGGAACAGGTAGTGAAACCTCCAGATGTATCTAAAGAAGATCAATTGAAACAGGCAACTAAAAAAAGTGAGGATAAGTCAATGGAACCTGTGTCATCGCAGAATATGGAAACCGAAGTAAATGAAAGAACGAATGCACAAACTGTTATTCCTCAAACAGATTCCTTCAAAGACGATTCTTCCTTGCAAATTACACGTACAATTTTACCTCAAAACACGGAAGAATTGTTGAAGATGAAGGTAATAATTAACAGATGACAATCTTATGTTTACTTTACCGACGTTTTACAATTTTGCTCCGCATTTATGGTTTTAGACACAATTAGAAAATGAGCATGCAGAACTAGCCGGAGATCTTGGACGCTTAGAACGACAGGCAACAGATATTACAGATCAAATGCGAATAGATGCGCAGGTTGGTTTATCTTTTAATTATGTATTTTGTGAAAAATTGAAGATACGTATATTGTTATAGGAACTTTTACGCTTGTTTGGAATACCTTATATAGTCGCTCCTATGGAAGCTGAAGCACAATGCGCTTATCTAGAAACTATTAAGCTCACCGATGGCACTATCACAGATGACTCAGATATTTGGTTGTTTGGAGGTCAATGCGTCTATAAGAATTTCTTTAACAATAATAAACGAGTTTTACGATTTTGCTCTTCGGATATTCAACATCACTTCAGTAAGTTTATCTTCACGTTGATTAAAGGAACGTGTTACGACCATTTTGGAAATGATTTGTTTCGCTCGTACTCATTTTGTACATCACTCTTAATTTTTTAATCATAAAGTCATTAGATTAGTTTAATTGTTAAAATATTCACGTTTGACTATTTCGCTTTTTTTTTTTTTAGGTCTCACCCGACGTCAAATGATTCAACTAGCTTTATTAGTAGGAAGTGATTATACCATGGGCTTATCTGGAATTGGTCCTGTCACTGCTCTTGAAGTACTAGCAGCATTTCCATCCGATGGAGAAAATGTACTACGGGGTTTATTTAATTTTTGTTCATGGATAAAAACTGGGAAAACGGTTGGTCCAGGGAAGACAGGTCTTCGTAACAAACTGCGGAATGTTAAAATAGACAAAGGTATGTTACGGAAATTACCTATAATTTTAGACATTCAGGAGTTTGCTATGTTAATTAATCTAAACATATTATTCAAGATTGATGTAATATTTACAATTCCTGAACACGGTGAAGCCAGAATGCGATTAATTAAATAAGAATTTACAATATATGTATGTTTTACTAGAGGAAATTGCTAAATATTTTTTGTATTATCTTGATAACCACGCTAGAGCAGCAAAATCCGGTTTATTTCGTGACTCCTGTAAAAATGATTTATTTTTTTAAATCACATAATTACGGGTTTCTGTAGTGTTAGTCTTAAATAAGCCAAATAAACTTATGTAGATTCGACAAAATTCTGTACAGAATTTAATTATCTCGGGGTCAAAATAGTTTTTCGTGAGTATCTCGGAATTAAAATAGTCCATGTTATTTTTCCCACTTGAATAATGTCTATATCTTGTCAAAGTATGTAATACCAGTTTATTCGTATACAGGATTTCCAAGTGAAGCAGTTGTGCAAGCATATTTAAATCCTACTGTCGATGAATCGAAAGAAGGCTTTTCTTGGAGTAAGCCTAGTTTAGTTTTGTTAGCAGATTACACAAGGCAGAAATTTGGATGGACCAGATTAAAGTTTGAGGACATAGTAGGCCCAGTTATGAAACGCCTAGAAGAATCCAAAAGTCAAAAGAACTTGGAAGCCTACTTCAAAATCCAAACGATACCAAAATCGATAGGACCCAATTTGAGCAAAAGGGTTCAAAAAGTAGTACAGCAATTAGCGTTTGATAATGAAGAAAAAGTAGTACAGCAATTAGCGTCTGATAACGAAGAAAAAGAAGAGGCACAAGATCAAGATGAGAAAAGCAAAAAGACTAAGAGTAAATCCAAAGGACGAACAGTGAAATGGGCTATTAATCAAGCTAAAGAAGAATGTATTTCAGAAAAATTAAATACGAACTCGGATGCCACGACATCTAATGTTGACAATGTTAGCTGCCAAGAATACATTCCACAAAGAGAGAAAGATAAAGCAAATGCTTTGAAAAATAAACTTCGAGCAATCGAAGTATTTCGAAAATCAAGGAAAGGATTAGCAAAGGCAAAAAGAGTGAAACGATCTGCTCGTAAAATAGTGGAAGAGGCTGCCCTTTCAGAAAGTAGCAGTAGCTCATAAATGATAAAAAACGTGGATTTGTTTTGCATTTTGAACCAATTTTTGCACCCTTAACCTTATATCTGCTATCAGTACTTATTTATTATTTCCTCTGTACACTTGTAATATAAATGTATTCTACATAATGCCGTGAGTATAGTTTTGTATAGATTCTTGCGATTAAGATTTATTAAATGTTGTATACATTATCAATAAAATCGTATTTGCAATTTTTAATTTTCTATATGTTTCCTTTGCAATCTTTACGTTTACGAAGTAAATTCTATAGATATTATGGTAGAAAGTAATGTAGAATAAAAGTAACTCCATGTTTATAATACAAACGTTGATATTTTGAAAAATAATAATCATGAATATATGTAATATATATCTGATTATTTGTGAAATATTTCAGTGTTATTCATTTCAGACTGTAACCTCTACCAGATGTCTATTTTGGTTTTTTCTTAGGATGAAGGCAAGTTTTTGTGGGCCATACGATTAAGTAGTCGAAGGGGTTCTTGAATTATTTACATCGATTTTAACAGGCTGAAGTGAAATCTGCTGTTAGTTCTGATAGAAGTACGTTACAGGAAACTCGTGGATTAATTCGCTGTGAAATAATGAGGGAAATAATTCAAATGCAGGCAGGGCAATGCGGCAATCAAATTGGTGGAAGGGTAAGTATTTTCATTGACATTACAAGAATGATGTTCGGTTAATTTATCCACTAACGTAATTCTGATTACTTATTCTTTAGGACTATGTGTGCGATATAATATAAAAATATGTCTATGACTAACAAATTCAGCCAATTTTATCGTTTCCATACTCTCTATTACTCTCTAAATTGTTAACGCTTCTTTATTTCAAGATAAGTTTATGTCGAGGAAAGAAAAAATAGGGAACCATGTGTCTTAAAGCAAAAATTAAATAAGAAGTTTGTCTATACTATTAATGTCCCACAGATGTAAAATTTGAAACATTTTTAAATATAAGGTAATTTTTTATCCTACTTTCCCATAAGGCATTACATTAAATGCAAGGTTTATTTTCAGTTTTGGGAGATGATCTCAAACGAACATGGCATTAACAGCGATGGAAAATATGTTGGCACAGAGAGGGACACCCAATTGAAACGGATTAGCGTCTATTACAATGAAGTGTCCACGGACTCTTACGTTCCACGTGCAATTTTGGTTGATCTTGAACCAGGAGCAATAGAAACGATTAGATCTGGTCCAATCGGGAAAATGTTACGTCCAGATAATTTCATTTATGGCCAAGGTGGAGCTGCTAATAATTGGGCAAAAGGTCACCTCACGGATGGGTCTGAGTTAGCAGAAAGTGTGATGGACGTATTAAGGAAGGTGGGTTGTTAAGGTGAAGTGAAACACGTCGAGAAATTTCATCGACGTCGATAAAAAGGATTCTTCAAAATACATACGTTGCCGGCGTTGGAATTTATATCGACAGTCGTGTCGAATTATATTGGGCATTGTATTAAATGGCACGTTCCATCCATCGTTTCCTTACAATAATTATAAAGCAATCGAAGTAAAATTCCAGAAATCTCCTGGATTCGTGGTGCTTTTTATGACTTAATTGATTGCAGAGAGCCACCCTGCGCCATCCGTGATTTTAATGTCAACTAAATTTTCTTTCCGAAACCTCGTGTTACCTTCCTTTTAGCACAGAAGTGCATAAGACACTTTTATGCCTTTATTTCGTTTAAATGCGAGTTTCTCTATTACAAGAGTGTTTTAACTTGGTGTACAATTGTCCTGACACTTTCGTTTCTCGTATCAAAGCGTTTAATACTTGTATATCGATCGGAATATGAGAGCTCGACGCCATTTGGGTTCTGGTCTAGGCTAAGTCAACATTTTGTTTCAAAAATCTCAATTTTGAAAGTGTCAGAACAATTCCTGGGTGATCACGAGTCATGTGTTTAAGTTTCGGACAGTTTGATCGAATACTCTTAAAAAAACAATGTCTTATTCGAATCGACTGATTTGAGGGGGGGGGTTCACTTCACCTTAATTCATTTGATAAAACACTTGCTATGCAAAAAATTATTGCAATTAAATTGGTATACTTCCTGAATGTTTTACATGTAATACTAGAGAGTATATTAGAAATCATTATTCCATATTTCATAGATTTTACAGTTATTTTGAAACGGTGAAGTCCGAATTTGAAAAAGTACCTTTCATTTACAGGAAGCAGAGAGTTGTGACAGTCTTCAAGGATTTCAAATCACCCACTCTCTTGGAGGAGGAACGGGTTCTGGTATGGGAACACTATTGATGTCAAAAATTCGAGAAGAATATCCGGATAGGTAAATATTTTATAATCATTTTATCACATATTATTGAATTTGAATCGTTCAATCGTGCAATGGAATTAAGAATACTGTGGATATCTTAGAATTGCAAGTACCGTGAGTGTTTTCCCGAGTCCAAAGGTGTCGGACACTGTTGTGGAGCCCTACAATGCGATCTTAGCTCTCAACCAACTTCTAGAAAGTACCGATCAGACATTTGCAATTGATAACGAAGCATTATATGACATTTGTGCTCGTACGCTGAAACTGCCGTCACCCAGCTATCGCGACCTGAACCATCTTGTTTGTTTGGCAATGTCAGGTATTTTAATCATAGTTATTGTTCTTAAGATGATATGAAAGGCGCTGAGAAATTTAAGCGACGTCGATAAAATAAAATTCATCTATACCCTTTTTGGTGGTAACGCCGTTTTGAGTACTCAAGTAGTAACATAAGCTGGCTCGTACCGTTATCGACATTTATATTTATGTTGAAGTCTTTTACAGTCTACGTTGAGAATTATACAAACTGAAGCGTTCCATACGTCATTTCAGTAAAGTAATGACGAGGAGATCGACGTAAAACTGTCGAAATCCCGTGATTCATTATTCTAAAGGCGAAATAGGACTAACGTTGCCATCTATGACGTTTAGCTGTAACTAAATTTTTTCTCTAAAAACACGTGTTAGCCACGGGACTAGCTAAAATTCTCTTGCAATCGTTGGTGAAAGTATTTTCCATATTTTCCCATCTGACTCTCTAATATTCTATTTTTACGATATTCTAAATTGTTTAAGCTAGATCCTGAAACTATTAATTTTCGATTCTAAGCCTCCAAGAAACGTAAAACATCGAAAATGTGCACGGTCCACGCCATGTTGGTTCTAGTCCATGATGAATAAATGAATTTTTGATGAAAAATGAAATTTCATGAGTTTCAGGGTTTACTTTACGGCCTCCATAATCCCGTGGTAAAATTTGAAACGAATTGCTACACCTAATTCGGAAAATACTTTCACCAACGATTTGACTTCTCAGATATATATAGGCTAACTCTTTCACATCACCTTAAATGTGTAATAGTATTCCATTGAAAGTACAGACTAATACATGCCTTTGTAATTCGATCTAAACTATAAAATGAAGAATTTTCTTAAAAGAATATTAGGTACTAGGTTTTTAAATTAATGAAGTTGATATAAAAGAAGTATACTATTTTATCTCAGACTTAACCATTTGGTATGATGATGTAAAATGATTAAAAACGTATAAACGGTTTTGATTACTGAAAAGTTACTATTTACAGGTATTACTACAAGCTTAAGATTCCCAGGACAATTAAATGCTGATTTGCGGAAGTTAGCCGTTAATATGGTTCCCTTTCCAAGATTACATTTTTTTATACTTGGATTTGCTCCTCTTACTGCTCGTGACAGTCGAGAGTACACTGCTGTTACTGTTCCGGAATTAACAAAACAGGTAGGATACTAGTTTGTAGGATTGTGCATTTTCTACGGAATGTTAATAACCATTCATATGTCTACGGTAAATATTTTATTTTCAACTTAAGATGTTCGATGCAAAAAATGTGATGGCTGCTTGCGATCCGCGGTTTGGAAAATATCTAACTGTAGCTACAATGTACCGGGGACCAGTATCGATAAAAGAAGTTGAAGAACAAATGTCTCAAATTCAGAACAAAGACAGTTCGCAGTTTGTTGAGTGGATTCCTAATAACATAAAAACTGCCGTGTGCAACATCCCACCGTACAATTTAAAAATGGGAGGAACCTTTATTGGAAATACCACATCAATTCAGAATATTTTCAAACGCATTTTAGAACAATTTACATCAATGCTTCGACGCAAGGCATTTATACACTGGTGAGCATCTATTACATTAATTTAATTTTTTATTATCACCTCTATAATACACTATGAAATAGGACGTTTGTCAAATAAGGTTAATTGCCATTTGATGCTATTTGTATGCAACAGGTATACCAATGAAGGTATGGATATTATGGAGTTCTCCGAGGCAGAATCTAACATTAGTGATTTAATCTCCGAATATCAGCAGTACCAAGAATCAAGTGCAACGGAGGATGAACTTGAAGATGACATTCTTTCTAACACCCTGTCTGATTAATTAGATATTAATCTTTGTTTACTGCTGGTCAGTAAAAAAGCAAAAGTCTGATTAGTATGTTTATTCGATTCGTCAATTCTTGAGTGGTCTAAATAGTCGACATATTCTAATTATCTATCTTCTTATATTGTTATTCTTTTCTATAGTTTAATAGTAGTTTTAACAAGTGTGATCACGCAGCGGAAATATCGCGCTAAAAAAAAAATATGCTTTAAGCCTCAAGCGTGAAAACTGCTATTAGCATCGGCCATCGAGTCACGTAATATATTTATCCTATTTCATTTCTACTGACAGATTTGAGTATTTTTTAGCGTATTTCTAAATTACATAAATATAATTTGTCTATCATTATTTTGGTTTTATCCAGTTTACTACATTGGTGCTATTTCAGTAGTACTGACGTTTATGTACATGTCCATAGACATGAATGTATTACAGATAAAGGCCATATAAGAAATCCGTATTGAAGAGTTAATAAATTTTGTAAAAAGTAATACATTTACTCGTTTCTTGTACAACACATAATATACGCGTTGTACATGAAATACTGAAATTAATTCTCAAATTCACCTAATCATCGCCGAGAAGTCAGAGTTTCAATGACATTTCACTGCAATTACAGTTTACATATTAGCTTCGTTAACTTTTTAGAAATATTGCTCTTGGAAAGAGAAGTAATGAGTTTTGTCAAACTAATACGTGGTGAGAGCAACATTTATAGCCCTGCTGTTTTTCCCTCCCGGCGATAATCTGAATTTGCCGTAATTTCTTCACCTTTGTTGGCAATTCCTGTGAGCGCACTTCCAATGCCAGAGAATATACTGGCATTGTGACCAACTTTGTTGAGATAGTTCAGTATATGTTGTGGGAACCCTTTCTCGTTTAGAGCGTTCATAGGAATTAACTGGAATGAATAAAATAACACAGTCATTAAAAAACATTGCGATAACATCGCAGTTAAAATAAATCATACGTAAATTCTCATTCAAATGGCACAATAAGAATACAATTGTTCGTATTACTTGATGATGAATTCTGTAAGCATCAATAGCTTCTTTTATGTCGTATCCGGCCCATAGATTTAATATCATTGATATCGCTACGCCCGTTGTAATTTTGCTTCCGCCAGCTCCTCCAATGACAAGCCGCACTGTGTTACTTTCATCCAACTGGAACAACCAAATATGTACCATACTTTCCGCAATTGGATTGAATAGCATTATCATTAATAAAGGAATAGTGCAACAAAAAGGAATTGAACTCTATAAGATTATGAGTACACGTACAATGACCTTCTTGAAATAGGATTGTGCCAATGAAAAAAATTAAGTATTCTTATATCATTTCAAAGATAGTATTTTATATACTTTTTGTGAACATTACTAATTGCATCAAATTAAACTGTGCATAATCATTATGGGTACTAAACATTCCACTCACTTTTTTTTTTTTCTATCGGCAATATAACATTATTCTTACAATGGTTCTAGTAATTTCTGCAGTTTTGTGAACTGAATCAAATTCTTTTGAATAAATACGTTCGTTCACACATTTGCTCCATTACGTATTAACTGCTAGAGCGGCGCGAGGAAAAAAAATGAAGGCCATACACGATACTGAAAGAATTTCATTAATTTCTTACCACTATCGTTGGAGTCATGGAGCTCATTGGTCTTTTCCCAGGCCTAATGTAATTGGCTGGAGATGCTGGTAAGTCAAATCCATTTGTCTTATTAGGAGAACTGAAGTCATCCATCTCGTCGTTGAATATTATTCCAGTTGACTTCGACCGTATTTTAGCACCGAAACTGATGAAGCAATGAAAACATGTATTAGCACAATATATCTAAAAGTTTAACAGATTTGATCGAAATAAATGACCCACGATTTAAGACAGCACATTAAGGTGATGTGAGAAAGTGGTATAAAAGAGGTTTTATAAAACCTTTCTCCAAATTAAGTTTGCCGAATCATTTTATACCTTACATCGTGAACATGAAGACTGTAATAAAAGTCCTGAAACTCATGAAATTTCATTTTCTTAAACTTTGTTTATTGGTACTCTTAAAATATGGATAAGAAATGAAATTCCATGAGTGTTGGGACCTTCTTTATAAGCTCTAATTCACATTGCAAAATTTGAATCGATTAGAGTCTTATTCGAATCGACGGATTTGAAGGGGGTTTCACTTCACCTTAATACTAACGGCAGAAAGTAATAGTTGTGACTACAGTTCGATCCAATAGCCTTAAAAAATATGTCTTAATACTAACGGCAAAACGTAATAGTTATGACTACACATACACTTGATTAATCGTAGACGTGACGGAAACTGCTGATCCATCAGGAGCTAGGACTGATACGTGGGAAGTTCCAGAATCCACAGGACTTGTTACGATGGCTCCATAATATTTTGGATCTACACTGGTCCAGTCGTCTCTGATAGTACTTCTTATGAGATCCGCATAGGTGCTCGAAGTCAAATTATTGACCACACTACCTACGAGTCCATTCGTGAAGGCCAAATTATGTTCTCCGCACAGTTCAGAGTAGATCCAACAATTAGAAGAATTACTGGCAACACTATCGTGTCATCGCCATCACTTCTGTGAAAATGATTCCAGTAATCCCTATCTTACGTCACAAGCATTAATTATTGGAATGTAGGTTTCTAATTAACCCGGGGAGAAGCCTACATTTAATGATTCTACTTTTAACAAGAACAAATGCTTCCTAGCACTCGATGATTAATTCAACACCCGTAACTCAATATTAAATATTGCCTGCTTTTTTTATTTAATCGAGAAATGGCATTACGAAGAAACACACGTAAAGCTGTTTCGCTACTTAAATAGCGAATGAAAATTCATAAATTTTAATCGAAAAATATTCTAACTTGCTAATTCTTTACTTGTCGAATTTCACAAGGATGTATCAAGTGTGTGGATCTTGATTCAAAAGTGTTATATTCAATTTAAAGAGTAAATTCACCTAATGAAACATGAAACTTACTGACGTCAACAAAATCAGGATCTCCTAATTCTGTTCGCCTTGCGTATGCCCACTTGAACACTTCGACGATACGTTGCCACATAATTTCTTCGTTATCTGTAGGTACAATGCCTTCGAGTGTTTTTATAATAAACGCAAGTATCACTCCAGATCCCGGTGGTGGAGCCGTGTACATTGTTAACTTTGATAAATTTACTCGGATCGGGGTCTTCCATTTTACCCTATTAATGTAGAGAAAAGAACACTTAAAACAAACAACCTACTTACATAATAAAAAAACAAAATGTATGCCTATTTAGGTACATATTATAGGCTATTTAGCTAATTGTACTTTATCGTTTATAATATTATATACTCGTAGCTTTTGTAAAAAAATTAAATGAGAGAATTGTTAAGGATAACAAATTAACATGTTCTTAAACCTGTAAGATTTAAAGTCTTCCAACGTCATGTTCCCACCAGCGGCATTAATTTCCGCACTCAAATCAGCAGCCATTGAACCGTTATAAAATGAATCAGGACCATTATCAGCAATTCTTTTTAATGTTTCAGCAAGCTTTGGTCTCCTTATTCTGTCACCCTCCTAATTTCATATATTAGGTTAGAGGAATTTTGTTACGTTATCAACCAATAAAATAAAATGGCATTTTTACAGAAAGATATACTCACGACCCATGTAGAATTTGTTACAGGGTTTATCAGGATTTCTGACAAACTTGGTTCATCCTTTATCACCTTTTCATTCTCCTTCAGATAATTCATTAAATACTTGGTGACTTTCGAACCCGTAGCACATAATTTGATTACGGGTGTAAATAATTCTTTCCATGGAAGCTTTCCATATTTCTGATGCGCTTCCCAATATCCTAAAAGCTCGCCCGGCACTGCTACTGCAAGACCTCCTGTTAATAGATGGAATTTTTATTTATGTACTGTAACTAGATATAAACCAATAATAATTAAAAACTCGCCAGTAAGAGATGAAACGTTATTCTTCTCGAACATATTTTCTCTCGATCCAAGAGGGGCTGTCTCGCGAGCATCTAAATAATCTGCTACTTTATTCTTCCCGTCCCAAATCGTCATTAAAAAACCACCTCCAAGGCCCATACTTTAGAAGAAAAGAAATTATACCGCTTAAATCTCCGTTAATACAGATAGTGCAAATCATTTACTGAGCTATCTTAACTTTAATACAGCATTGTAATGTTTCACTACTGTGAACTGTAATTTGTTACCGAAAAATAACTCGATACCAATTGACAATGACAAAGATATAGCTTATAGCTCAAAAATAATTTAACAAACATTTCTAGCATGATTAATGAAAAACTTTGATTAATATGACTTGAAATTTCTGATTACTGAAGTCTGGTTGAATATAGTTATCTTAATCAGATTCCTAAACTATTAGATACATTTCTAGTAGAAAATTCTTGAGCTACCCAGAAACGCTTTTTGGATTTACCAGAAAAAGTATTAACGCAACGAAATAATATTTTCCTAGAAATAGCTCATACTTTTAATCAGAAAAATAGCAAGGGCATATATAACAATCTAATCCAGCTAAATTAACCGGAATTGTAGTTCTTTTAACTGAATCTTTCAACATATTTCCATATACATGTTATTACAGCTACTTTTTACACCATCACGTATTAATCCAAGTTATTTACTGAAATAAGGGAAAGCTTAGAAAAATTGACCTTTCACCTCCGATAGGAACATTTACCTTTGATAGGAATATTTTATATTTGTTAAAAATTGAATTAATACCTATGAAGGGAAGCTACACCTTCGCATAACAACGCCGCTATGGCTGCGTCAACTGCAGATCCATTTTTTTCTAGCATGCTTACACCAATCTGAGCACATTCTTGTCCATTCGTTGAAACTGCTGCCTACAAATTCAGATAATGATTACCTGTTAGGAATTTAAAAGAGTGACGCGTTAAACAGGTTTTAATAGAAACCGACAAAATGTCGGTCAGGTCGGAAAGACCGTGGCAGTATGTTACCAAGAACGTATCTTGTGATTTCAGGCCAAGGAACAATCCCTACTAGTGTAAATCTCGTACTTTATTAATATGTACAAGGCGCAAATTGCTTGACAGTCTTACATACATGTAAAGCATGTCAAATGATGACAACGTGAAATTCTCCCCAAATACGAAATATCTGTTTAAATAAATGTAAAAGAAATGCCAACTATATTGCGATTAACCGAGAAAAGTTGACGAGTTGAAATTTTTTAAAAAGTAGACTGATAAATTCAATATAAGAACTCACTCGTTGTCGATCTTTATTAGAATTGATGCTACACATTGATCTAAACATTAATTGAACTCAATTTAGTTGGATTATTTAATTCCATTGAAATTCTTATGCATCATTAAAATTTAAGTGAAAAGTATACATGTCGTTGCGAAATTGAGAATTTAAGAACAGCTTACACTCTAAGCGTATACAATTTTTAAATAATTTAATTCATATTTATTCAATTAAAACGAAAGAAAGAAAAAGTAATGGAACTTTATCTTACCTTTTTGTACCTGCCAATAGCAGAAACACTGACATGTTTTTTGGGAACTTTGCAATCTGATGTGCAGTGATTATTGGAAACGGCTACTATAACAACCACTACCACTATTGTTAATACAGCTGCAACTCCTCCGAAAAGAATTTTTTTCTTCGTCCTTTAAAAGATTTGTAAACATTACATTAAAACTCATGACTTTAGGAACAATACCAGGAAGAGAAAGAAAGAGATCGTAACAATATTGCTATTAAATATCATGAATGAAATATATAAGAAATGCACACATGTTGTAGGGATAATACAGTGGTATTTAAAAGTCCTTATAAAGACATATAAAGACTGAAATTGGCCGGAACAAAATGAATAAAAAGGAATTCATATTATCTCGTCAGGCACATAAAGAGAACCGTAATTTTCACACTTACGCTAACCGGCAATTGCACAGCGGTAGTCTCTTTAACAGGAAAGTATGTAAAGTAAGTGTGGTACATTTGGAGAAGAAGTATATTAGGAGTATCAGGGTGAAATTTGTTGAATTTGATGATAATTCATATAAAGTTTACACTACACTATCTACAAATTGTAGAATAATTCATGTTTACACGGACTTCTTATGGTGATCAGACATTGTTTTGGTATAAAATATGAAATCTTGCATTCTTTATAGATTAGTTGTTTACAAAGACTAACTGCTAGAGATTTTCGAAACTTCTTAATGCATGCAATTAAAAAAATGGACTTAATTTAAATTCCATGTGCTTCAAAGAAACTGTATAGATTTATTAAGATTTATAATTCAAAAAATGGATTTAATTTAAATTCCATATGCTTTAAAGAAACTGTATGAATGGTGACATTTTTTTATGTTATGATTTCAGGCGAACAATGGCGGAGAAACTGTTTCCCGGCTGATAATTTGTTGTTTAAAGTAAATAACTACGGCCTCCACATTTTCGTTTCCATTAAATAAAAATGACTCTTGACAAAATATTTATATAATTGTAAATTTTCCTAAGAGAGATAAATCAATATCATAAAAAGGTTTTGTTAACATAGTGTCTCAAAAAATACTTTTTTAGCCATGAAAATCTCCGATCTCCTTAAATCTTGTTAACACCTGTGTCAGATTTGCATGCAGTCCAAATATTGCATACACCGATTATCGATAACCTTGAATCAATGAAATAGCTCTATGCCTTTCTCTCTCTCTCTTACTCTCTTCCTCTCTCATTTTCTTCTAACACAAAACTAGTTTGTCCGGTATGAGTCCATTTTGTTTTGCCATTTAATAAGCAACATTCACTACGTCAGTCATGGTACTATCACGAATACTTCAAGTATAAAAAAAGTGGGATTGGACAAATTTTCTACTTTGTTTCCTTTTCCTTGTGCTCAACTTTGTCAATTATTCCAAATGCTATTTTACCTTAAAAGTTAAGCAAAGCATTTCTACTAAAATCCCTGCAATCATTCGAGAGAACGCGCAAAATTCCGTTTGAAATTGTTTAAATCATTTTTAGTCAATATTAGAACTAGATAGTTTTTTGTTGTCGAATCGAGTTCTTTTGCGTGACGTCAATAAACGTTGTCACTTTTTGATTACAATCGGTTTGAAGACGTTTAAATGCATTTCCGCATATTACGCAATAATCGTGACACTCGAAGTAATAACCATGACACTTTAAATAATGCTACAAATACCACGTGAAACAACACAACTATAATGTATTTATGGAATATTCATATCTTGACATTAATGAGATAATAATTATAAATACTACTGTTAAATTAAAATGGAGTATTTTGGTGGAAATGCTGACCAAATTCTTTATGGAAGCTGATTTACAGACTTATGTATTATTACCTTCCACAGAATCAGTGAATAAAATATATAGAATACATTTGTACCCATAAATTGTCAACGAGTTCATGAATAATCTATGTGTAATTGATAAGATAAGGTTCGCATACCGATAACACTGTAAATGCTATTCTTCATTCTATACAGGTAAGTGTCTAGCATAAAAAGTATTCCATCAACGAGGTAAGATTAGATAAGTGATTATTATCCTCAGATTGCGACTTTGCTTAGAATGTAATAATTACGCAAACTCTGACTGTTTAATCACTACTAGAAGTAGTAAGAACCGAAGTGAAATGAATGATCAGTTTTGTTTCAATTTTGTTGATTTAAGTGTTCTGAAATGTGAGAGGGAAAATCCTATTATTTATATAAATTTACAGGACTTCGTCATACTTTTTGTAGACATAATAATGCAACGCAGAAATTATGTTTTTATCACTCCAGTCGGGAGCAATATTGCCAATTATCACTGGTTGGTAATTATGCTATATAATATCCTTGGAATGATTAGGGTAAAGTATAACGGTAATGGTGTCACTGTACGATACGAAATCTATTTATGTTATAAGATACTACGTAAAAAAAGAAACACCGTCTACTAAACTAAACTCCAGTTTTATTCAGCGTTAAGAATATAGTATAAAGGACTAACAAAAGTGGACTCCGAAAATTGAAAGTTTAACATATTGGAAATGCGTTAAGCAACGTGATTCTGCAATGCCTTTAAATCGATGTAGAATTTAAAAAAAATTTAAAGTTGAGTTAAGAAGGTTGTACTTAAGATCTGAAGATTCTGAGTTTTCGGTTTCAGATTGATACATTCTTTCAACAAATAACTATAACTCAGCCTTAAAACAACGGTATGGAAATGAAACGAACAATAGTTTCTTGCTATCAGTCGAATTCATTAAGGTAGTTAAGAAAGACATGTTATAAGAGCGTTAATTAACGCATTCGTTATAGAAGAACCGGAAATTTAAGACAGGGTGACACATGCAAAAATACCTTTTCATAATTTTTACTCGGTAAAATATAAATTAAATTTGTTAAAATCAAAATAAAATAAATTCAATTACGTCGATCCCATTGTCAATGAACTTGTATAATGTACTTCCTTCCGCGAAAATATCGATTGCGTACGTACATTATCAATATGCCACCTCTTGATAAATAGATCCACAGATAATATCATTAATGCGATTTATCAGTATTCAATGTCAAAGACCTAAGAGTATAAATTATGTCTTAATTTTGATGCAATCACAGGTATTAGATTACTTATCACTGCGATGAATGATACGCGCGTGATAAGTGATCGTGATAAATTACGCGCAACAAAATTGCACAGTCTGTTACTTGCACTGGTAATATAAACGACGCTTTAGTAACATACAATTCAACAATAAATCTATAATATAACTTAATGAAACGTCTATCACGTATTACAAATATATCTGAATCGCACTTCTGTCATTATTCAGAATACATATATTATTAAGGAATAATAAAACATTGTTTAAACGTTAGAGATGAAAGTTGGTTGTTCATAATTTTGAAATTCTTCAGAAATGAAACAATTCTGAGTGACTACGTTTCTACGTGCGAGTTAGAAATGAACCAGGAAACTTTGTAATGCTTTTTCAGTCACGGAAATGAATTATTGTACGTGTACGTGTGGGTATATAAAGATATTACATATATCAGAGTGGATGTGTTCTTAAAACGCGAATATGTTCGATATATATGTACGCGAGCATCATGGGGCAACCAAATGTATGTACTACGTCTACCTACGCATATAAAGTCACAAATACAATATTTCCAGAGTTTCAAAAAATGATTCGTGATATATAGGCGTTACAAAGGTTGCACAGCTCTATTGTACGTGGAAACCATTTCTAAGAGTTCTGCACTATTTAAGCTGAAACTAGTATGTGCCATCATTAACAGTACGCTGTACAACAGATTTGAAATCGCTTCTTTGCATATGTTAAAAAAAAAGTCAATACGATAAGAAATCAAGTAAGTTATTGAGAAATTTTCCTTAGCAGCGTGTGTGACTAGTTACTTTATGAAAGTTTAATTATCATATCGAACAGATGCTGCTCAAGCACTTGAAGTCAATATTCATTACCTCAGCTGTAAGTACAATACAATTGAAACCGCTTCTTTACATACGTTTAAAAAAAGTCGATATAATAAGAAATCACGTAAGTTATTTAGATATTTTCCTTAGCAACATGTGTGACTAGTTACTCTGTGAAAGTTTAGCTATTACATCGATGAAATGCTGCTCTAGCACCTGAAGCCAATATTCAATACCTCAGCTGTAATTGTGCTGAGGCCTTAATAATACGTTAGTGGTAATCGATCACATTGTATTGTGAACTTATCAATACATTCTTATCAAATACGGGGTTCGTCAAATATCTCAGCAACGAACGTAGATTTAATTGGAATTTCAAGCCGATCAATTAATTCACGTAACCGGTATCGCTTATCGCTTCACCTATAATCGAAGGTGAAGCAATAAGCGATTCAGCCGATCGTACAGTTTACGTTTTACGTTTTGCAATATATCCGACGTTGATAAACCTCAAACATTTGCTTATATCGTCTCTTAATGCGTAAAAGGTATTTTTATAGTGAATAGCTTCATTCATAGCTTTACTTTATATTTTTCTTCGTATCGAGAAAGTACAACGGTATATCCACATAACTGAGATTTAGTAGAACGACGCAAAATGACTAATTCTGCCTCTTAACGGGTGTTGTTAAATGCTCGTATGTCCCTTTACAGATTCGATAGGAATTAAGGATCTAATTGTATGTACTAACCCGATCATGTTGAGTCCAGCGATGTGTGCAGATGGTGTAGTGCACAGCCTTGACTAAACTTTTCGCTATGGGCGATCGTTTCTCTTATACTCAGTGCCGTACTCAGTGAAACGGCATCCCCTCCACTTCACCTGAGTCCCAGAAAGTGAAAGAACTCGAGTGGCTGCTTGTTCATTTTTAAGACCAAGATCACTACTCGCAGTACTTCCAGCGGTTCTTTTAAGGAAAATCAACACGCTAAGGTGAAGTGAAATACGCCGAGAAATTTGATTGACGTCGGTAAAAAAGATTTTTCTATGTACCTACGTTGACGACGTTCGAATTTATATCGTCAGTCATATCGAATTATATTGGGTATTGTAATAAATGGCGTGCTTCATCTGTCGTTTCCGTAGAATAATTATAAAGTAATCGAAGTAAAACTTTAGAAATACCCTGTATTCATGGTTTTTTATGCCCTAATTGACTGCAAAGTGCCGCCCTGCGCCATCTGTGATTTCAGTGTCACCTAAATTTCCTCTCCAAGACTCCGTATTACCATCGCTTTAGCACTGCAGCGCATAAGACACTTTTTTGTTGCCTTTATCTCGTTCAAATGCGAGTTTATCGATTACCAGAGTGTTCTAAATTATCGTACAATTGTCCTGACCCTTTCGTTTCTCAAATTGGAGCCTTCAATACTTGGATATCGATCGAAATATGAGAGCTCGACACCATTTTGGTTCTGGTCTGGGCTAAGTTAAACAATTTTTTTCGCAGATCCAAATTTTGAAAGTGTCAGGACAATTCTTAGGTGATCACGTGTAATGTGTCAATGTTTCGGACAGTTTCATCCAATACCCTTAAAAAAAATGGCTTATTCGAATTGACTGATTTGGAGAGGTTTCACTTCCCCTTAAGTTCACTACGAAAAACCCATTGCGTATGAAATTTCATTTAATATCTTTATAGGGAGGAATTGAGACGCGTACATTGATTCGGTAATTTAAACGATCTCCGATTATCGATTCAATTCAATCCTCGATTTAACAGCGCGCAAAGTGAAGCAACGGATCACTTAGAATTTATAGAGGATAAAATGAAACACGTTTTTGTGTCATGTGTCATCACAGGGGAGAATAAAATGTCATATTTCTATTTTTAAACGTTACATTATTCACTGACGCTTAAAACATTTCTTTCTGAAATTTACTCACGATAATGTAGTAAATAGTTTTTGTTTAAATCGTTAATTTGTATCAAGCATAAATGGTAATGTTTGGAATTGAATGTACGTTTAAGAATCTGATCTGAACCACCACTTGACCACCTTTAATGACATGTATCACTGTAATCAGAAGTCATAAAGTGAATTGGCAAATAAAGAAAGGTTTACCCAGCTTCTTATCTCAATAGGTGGTATAATTTTCATTTGGTGAATTTACGAATGAAGAAAAGAACATTATCTGAATCTTGCCATGCAAAGGTCGTATAAAATTATGTTTATATAGCAATATACATCTGCTATGGGTAAATAATATATTCACCATTTTGGTAGAAGCGTATATTCTTTGAATCTGAGAAGACATTATGAACGAGATGGAAATTTAAGCCTACAACACTTATATACAAATTCTTCTGTTATGTTTTCAATGTAATTAAATACCTTATACTAGTTCACACTCCACTACGGCTTACTTAACTTAATTTTAACGTCTTCCACGGAAAGCCGAATGGATTTTGAACCATTAAAGGCAACAGAATAAGCTAAATAAATCACAGTGAGATATGAATTGAATAAACACATATCGCTGATTATAATATCTGTGACGTCATCAAGTTAGCGTCTTTTCCCTTGTTTTGAAGTTATGTTCTCTTTGCTCCGAGTATTGGAGGAAATTGTATGTATGCATATACATGAACTGATATACTGAAAAAATGGTAAATAGACAATGGTCTATTTTAACACGTCCATTTTCATAACATGCATATACTGACATATGACAACTTCAGTTTCAAGGGATATAAGTGACTTTTTTATAAATACAAACATCTCTGTGCTTGGCGGCTTATAAGTCACCATATATATTTTCTTGCATTGCAAATTTTGTCTCCATAATTAATTATCACTGTCTTAAGATTATTATACACTTTCCTTTTATTCTAAGGAAATATTGTGGAATGTAAAAATATGTAGGCTATCCAACAAAGAAGCCTTTCTCATTATAACTAACAATAAGTCATTTATACTCTGACATAAGGTTTTCATGTATTATCAAACAATTGTTTTATTAATACGTACCTTTATCCTCTTCCCTTCCAAAGATATTTAGTAAATTATCATTTGACAATATTGATAAATAAAAGGCAGGTCATAAAAAGGTATTTATTAATTTATAAGAATGTATGCAATATATATATTTACTTAAGCATAAAGTTACAATGTATATAAAAATCATGGCACTATCAAAACAAATAAATGTATGTACTACAAAATAAAGTACGGCAATTTCCATTCGATACTTCTTTGTGAATTACTATTTTAAATTGTAATAGTGAAAGTTCAGCACGTTTCTTCTCCAATAGAAAGTTCAAGATTTATCTTTCTATTGAGCGTACTTTGTCTGTAGAATAGCGAAATAGAAGTCCTATCTTAGACCAGGGGGGGAAGCTGGCGCGGCGGAAAGGGAGGGGTAGGGCGGCCATATTGTTGTGCCAATTTTTTCAGCCTTCTGATTGTGTCCTACCAAGGACACCTGCTTCATATTTCCTGTTTGCTCTAACTTATTTCTTTATGCGACCCCTTTACGTAAAACATAATTCTTAACCTTCTTTATGCTACAAGTGGCATATTGTACTTCATTCATTGTTTATCTGTTCACAGCTCGCACCATTTTTTACTCGCTACTTGTAAAATAACAACTAAATCTCAGCCAATCAGAGGAAGCTAAGATTTTGGCACAACAATATGGTTACCTTCCCATTGTTCTTACGTATTCTCCATTACTTCGCGCTCGCCCTTCTGGCTTGTTTCCGTCTATGTATTCTTATGTATGTATATGATTTATTAACGCGATGAAGAAATGCGATTTAATGGAATCGGACCCGATTAATCCCGGATTGAGAAGTACGATGGAGACGTAGTTCAAGAATGATCTCCAATCACATCTTTCACTGGGATAGTCTAGAAACTTTGTCAGAATTGATTTTTGAACATACTGTCTAGGGAACCGCGTTGTCATTCCTGCTAGGTTGGATTTTCGATGGCTTTGCGGCTGTAGCAGAAAACGGCGGAGTCATTTCAGTTTTGTAGTATTCAGAAATAATTTCAAGAATACAATACGATGTCTGCGCGATATGATCGGGCAATTACTGTATTTTCCCCTGATGGACATTTGCTTCAAGTAGAATATGCTCAGGAAGCAGTAAGAAAAGGTTCCACTGCGGTACGTACGAAAGATTCTTTTAACCTAAGTTGTGTCATAATTTCAATTATTCTATGCCGACAAAGTTATAAATTAAAGATTTTGCAAAACGTGAATTTCTCTGAAAGTACAGATTTTTTACCTAATTAATTACATTGAACACTATGCTTACAATCCAATAATAGCATTAATATTTGAACGGAATACAAATTAAATGGAAGTATGTAAATTACTTTCCATACAATTAGTTAGGATTATTAAGTGTTGCCTGCTAATAGTATGTAGTAAAATATTTTATCATCTTTATATTTTAGGTTGGAGTACGTGGTAACGATGTGGTTGTACTTGGTGTAGAAAAAAAATCTGTTGCCAAATTACAAGAGGAACGTACAGTGCGTAAAATATGTTTATTAGATGACCATGTAGTTATGGCATTTGCAGGTATTTAACATTTTACTTTTATTTAAACATTGTAAGAAAAATCTGTTTAATTAACTATGTAAATTTAATATAGGTTTAACTGCTGATGCGCGAGTATTAATAAATCGTGCACAAATTGAATGTCAAAGTCATAAATTAACAGTCGAAGATCCTGTCACTTTGGAATATATAACAAGGTATATCGCAGGTGAGATCTTTAATATAATTTTACTAGAGGAATTCAATTATAATTCATTTAAATTCTGTATGACAGTTTGTTGACATGTTTCACATTTACCTCTATCTTATATTTTATCCATTTACAGGTTTAAAACAGAAGTATACACAAAGTAATGGCAGGCGACCCTTTGGAATATCTTGCCTTCTGACTGGTTTTGATTATGATGGAGTTCCACATCTTTATCAAACAGAGCCATCGGGCATCTACCATGAATGGAAGGTATTATTTATCATTTACACAATACTATACGTAATACTATGTTACAAAATATATATACATTCAATGTATTTTTAGGCTAATGCCACAGGTAGAAGTGCGAAGACAGTTCATGAGTTTTTAGAGAAATATTATACTCCAGAAGAGGTAGCAACAGAAAAAGGTTCTATAAAACTTGCTATTAGAGCATTATTAGAAGTAGTTCAGTCTGGACAGAAAAATCTCGAAATTGCTGTTATGCGCCGCGGTCAACCTTTGCAGGTAAAAAAATTATCTTCCCATATAATTAGCTTCAGTTTATTTAAATTAAAATGTTTTTTCTTAACAGATGTTGGACTCGGATACAATAGGGGAATACGTCACTGAAATAGAACAAGAAAAAGAAGCAGAAGCTGAGAAAAAGAAACAAAAGAAGTGATGTTTTTGGGCATCGTCATATTATACAATTTTTAATTTTTCTCATAAAATAAATATTGAAAAAATAGTTGAGAGACAAAGTTACAAGACTTTTTTTTAATGCTATCTGTAAATTATAGTGCTTAGCAGTATAAGTGATTTATACATATTACTTTCAGGGTGTTAAAAAGGAGCAGCACCCTCTGTCACTTTTCCTATTAAAAATAAAATGAATGCACTAACTTACATGTTTTATTCGTGTATACAATTTTGTACTATTATAAATACATTTGTATGTACTAAATGTACTAAACATATTAAAAATGGTTTAATAATATACTTAACTATTATAAATTCAAACTATTTACATAGTTAATCCAAGACCTGCACATTCAGTTCATGTACAGTGATTTGATGCGTTATATACTGACTATATGGAATTCTTAACTATCATATTTTCTCTATTTTGAACTATTCCTTTGGGAAATATTTCCTCCTTGGATATTTTCTCCTAGAGACTTTCCTCGATGATTGAATATTTGAAAAGACGACAGATTACGCAAAGTTTCCCAAGATTTGTTTTCCAAATCCACCACTGCTCGTATCTCTTTAAAATCACCGGCAATATACATTATGCCATACATAACAATGAAGAGACTGATGATTCCTTGAATCAAAATCTAGAATAATTTAAAAAGTAGAATAGGAATGTAAAATTTATATTAATTACATATCTATTTTTGGTACAGCTTACGTCAATTGGTAGCGTGGTGAACTCTTGCTCTGTTATCCGCAAATATGATCGATCTGTAAATTATTAGAATATTATCATGAGATACACATAAATTACAGATTTACAACAAATGATTTCTGCAACTTTTTTTCAGAAGACAGATTCGATGATAAAAATGACAGTAATTGCAGAAAAGTAACTAAGTAAAGTTTAGTTTCAAAACCATTCAAAGAGTAAATGTGTACGTACGTTGAGCTGCCGAAAATGCAGCATGCAACATTGACACAAATCCAAAAAATGTAATAACTCTGTGAGTAGATGTTGCTGGCATATTTACAATCGTAACTTTAAACGAAAAGAATAAAATCTCTCTTTCCAGAAACTGCGTATCTATCCTCGGTATTTATTCAATACCAAATTAGATAAATCCGTCTTTGGGTGCGTTTTCACCACCTGGTTTTATCTAATACCGAACTAACTAGGTGGTGGAGCCCAGTGGGTTGGGTAAGTAAAATACCCTAAGTAATTTACGTAGTTTTTTTACAGTAATTTACTAGGTATTTTACTTTACAAATTTCATACGTGAGGTAAATTACATGAACATGGCACTTTAAGTTTCTGCAGTTCTTATTTCTGATACGCTTAAAATTCAAAATTATCCATGGAATGTATGGAAAACTGGAATGTGAAGCCTAAATCTTTTTAATGTTCTCTCCAATTTGCCATTATTCTTTATTCCTTTTTTTGTTGACTAAAATGTTTATTCACAAGTGACGTATACTTTGACCGTTTTGAAGAAGTGAGGTTACAGTACCACCATCTTTGCCTTGGAATTTATTAGGTATTTTACTTGGGTTTTACATGAAATACTTCCCTTATGTATTTTACGTAAAAAATTGTGAATAACGCGTCTGCTCATAGGGTATACTTTTGTAGAACATTTCAAAGTATTCCCATCGAGGGCGTTGTATGTAGTAACGTCTACCAGACATCTGCTACTCAACTACTGGATAACTTTATCCGCTGGATAACTCTTAACTGGAAGTAAAAAAAAATCGAACTGAAAGATATCTTCCGGATTACTTTATTGGGAACTTATCCGTAGATGAAAAAATCGGGCATAACTCGAGTATGGAGCCAGGCCTAAATAGTAAAATGCAATTAGTTCCACACGGTTGATGATTTCGCCGTTAGGGGCGTAGCTTTTGTTTGGAGTAAATATATTGTTTCATTCGACATCTAGTCCGCAGCAGTAACTTCGTGTTCGATCGAGTGAAGACGGAGGCTTGACCGATTGTTAATAGCGTCATTGAATTTGCTATTTCTGTTGGATATCTTATTTATAATACGCAACATTCATTAAATACCTAGAGTATTTAATTGGTTACACCGTCGTGGAATAATTCGATAAATAAGTAAGTGTTTTTCTAATTCTGTATAAGTGGAACGGCATCAATTGTCGACTAATCAAAAATTGCCGTTTGTAACATTACCGATTCAAATGTGATTTAAGCGGTTGAACGGAGATTGTGACATTAGTCTAATATATTTTTAGAAAGATGCTTACAATAATGCTCGTTTGTAATATCACATGGTGTAAGCATTTTTCAAAAGGATTAGAGGTATACCACTATTCATCTTTTATAAATTGAAAGTCCTGATAGAATGGAGGCATCATAACAGTTAACATGCTGTTAAATTAAATCAAGGTGTTGCAATAGTTGCAAGTTTCTCAAAATCAATTGAAACAAAGATATATGTAGTTTTACTAAAGTTATGTATGCCCTTTTATTGATTAATAAATTGGTGCAATTAACTGCAGGTATGAGGCGGAAGAGTGAAAGAAATAAGGCGAAAGGTTCCCCTGAAAAGAAAGTGGAAAAACCAACAAGGAAATCAACACGCAGACGTGGAAGGAAATCTGCTTCATCTTCTCCAGATCGTGATAATACCGAGGATAGCAGTACATCAAGTATCCCTCGTGCAAAGGAAAATGATACTGTACCAGTGATAGAAGAAAAGTGCCCAGTTAAAGAGTTGGAGACAATCGTTGAAGTACCGCAAGATGCTGACCCAATTGTTTCTTTTATGGAAGTGGAAGAAACTGGAAAACCATTGGAAGAAGAAGACGCAGGATCCGTGTGGAAAGTAGCAAGAGCTGATGCTTCTCCGGGAGAAATACAGAAGTTAAAACTATGCAGACAACGTAATATATCAGAAGCATCGGATAATTCGTTAAGTAGGAAAAAATCAAACAAGTGGCCTGAAAGTGGTGAGGTAGTCGGGGAGGAGGCTGACTCTGCCGACGAGCAACCAACACCTTCAAAGAAGGTGGCAGGTTCTACGGGGCTGAACGATCCCTCCTCCTTGCACCTAGGTCAGGACTCCAATGAAGAGGTAAGTGATAGCAAGGAGATCCTGCCCAAAACTGCTTCGGCCGACTTGTCTGACGATAAACCAAACATAGATCAGCAACCTGATTCAAAAGAAGCAAGTTGTTCCATCCAAAATGCTGATGACGAGAAGTCACCTAAATCGAGTGGTACTACCGTTGCTCCTAGTTCAAATGGAGCTGAATCGAAGGAGTTGATTGTTAGAGAAGAGAAGACGACAGAAGATGAGGAAGTCACCAACGCGGATGTCAAGATGGATTACATTCCCAAAGAATCAAGTAGTGAAGAAGAAAAGGACGAACAATCGGATTCATCTTCTAATTCAGCTGCTGGGTCTAGTGCCCATAGTAATTCAGGAGTAAAAACATCGTCACGTGCCAGTCGTAGAAAACATCGTAATAAGTATCGCGAATCATCTAATTCGGATACCGGTGAATCTGAGGACGAACCTTCAGTTGCAAAAAAGGTACAAGAGTTATATTTTGAAGAAAATAAACCAGAAGAAAAAGAATCAAGTACAAACAGAAATGAATTTCCTTTACCTGAGCCAAGATCAAATTCTGTTCAGGAAAATAACATTGAAATGGAAATTGAACAACATGAAAGCAATAAAGAAACCTTGAATATTATAAATGATAAACCAGAACATGATTTACTCACAAGTAATCTGATTTTGAATCAAAAACCAGCAAAAGTTAACTTGAAAAGATCATTGTAAGTTATTATATTAGGTATGACTTTTAAATTGACTCCACTTTGTACATATTTTTTGTAACAAAGAGTCGTATTGTTTTAGTACTACAAGGTTATCTGCAGATTTAACAGATGTTACGAAGGAAGAAATGACTGCAAAACTTGACAGTGAACATGTACAAAACAAAGTAAGTTGAAATTAATTTCAAAATTACTTCTATTTCTTATGCTTTAACATTTGCAATGAAGTTTATATGGAGGATCGGAAAAAGACAAGTAGGAATACTCCAAGGAGAAAACTACCAGCTTTGTGAAATAATTCTGTAAAATGATTTTATCCTTATTCTATGTTTGCTTTGTTAGAGAAATTCAGTTTTATTATAAATTTAAAAAATTAAATTTACATTGAGTTATACTTGTAATAAAAATCAAATATTTTTTATATTGCAGGAAAATATTACTAACACTGAACAATCGGAAGGAAAATGCATTATGCGCAAACGGCGGTGGGGAACTGCTTTGCCCACTGATGTTACTCCAGCATTTTCTGTTTCAACAGAGTCTTTGAAGGTATTTTATATAATGTTATTCCTTCCTTGGTTATTAATATAAACAACTGGACGGAATAATAACAAAAAAGATGATGGGCGCGTTGAAAATGAAACTTCTAAGTTAAGGAGAGTTATTAGATATTAATCATTATTGCCAAGCCAGAAGTGCAGCTGCCAATTGACTTGTTAAACAAGAAATTATAATTAAATAACACGAATGAAAATGTTTACGCAAGTTCTGCTAATACTAAAATACAAAGATTATTGTAAATGGACATTTCTTTTTAAAAATAACAGTTGCATTTTCCTAAATGAGTTCCTTTTATAACACACGAACTTACATTCGTTACATCTCATAAGGAGTCTCATTAAAAAAATAATCATAATTATGTTATGACTTGTGGATATTTTTAAACGTAATGAATGATATTGATTTATGTGATGGTATTAACGTTTATTAATAGGTCTTAGTGCCAGGAGCAAAACCATTATCTATTAATGAAGTTCGATTATCAAAGGATGATGACGAAGAAAGGGATCAACGTAAAGATCGAGAAAAAAGTCGTTTATCAGGAGACAGTGTTGGAGAATATAAACCAAAAGATGAAGGCATATTGCAGAAAAACGAAGGTACACAAAGGAATATCTCAGTAATTATATTCTAATAATACACACAATTTGTACTTATATATTTTAGTAATGATCAGTACTTTTAACTTGAAAATAATTTCAGTAAAACACATTCGTTATATCAATTTAATTATTTTCTACAGCAACAAGAAGAAAAATTTCTATTGTCAAAGATGCTCCCCATGTCAAGTCACCTAGTCCGCCTGCTATTAAGCCTACAAACATACTTCTCATTAAAAACTTGGTTCGCCCATTTACATTAAATCAGATCAAAGAACTACTGTCACGCACGGGCACTATTGTAGAAAATGGTTTTTGGATGGACAGAATAAAATCCAAATGTTTTGTAGAGGTTTGTGCTGACATTTTAATTATTATTACATTGACGATGTAGTTTTAGTTATCTTTAAATGTGGTACGTCAAGCAAGTATTGATAAATAAAAAGTGTTTTTTTTTTATTATAGTATTCCAATGAAGATCAAGCCTTTGAAACAAGACAAGCATTGCATGGTATATCATGGCCAATATCAAATCCTAAAAGGCTTCAAGTGGAATATGCTACAAAGGATGACATGGAATTAGCTCGTGAATTATCTAAGGATCAGCCTATTCCACGTAAAACCGAACCACTTCTACCATCAGATCCTTGGCATCACGACTGGGCACGCGACGAGAGGACTAATTCTGCGCCTAAAGTAAATAAATTACTATTGAAATATCTTTAAGCGAGAGCAATGAATTTTCAGAAGTCTCCATAGAAGCCCAGGATACGGACGTTTGATGCTCGATAAATAGTATGTTAGCCAACGGATGGCGGCGCTGTAATCATTTCTCCATCTCTCTTAATCTCTTATGGCGATATATAGCGAATTGCATTTTTTCTCTATCTTACACACAGTACTCATCTTTCTATATGCGTCTCTCTTCCTCCCGTATGTGAGATATCGTTGGCTAACACATGCGATCTCTCTTTTACCCCCACTCCTGGTTTGTTAGCCAACTTTTAGAGCATCAAGCGCTAACATAGGATCTGAGCTTCTATGGGACTTCTTCATTCTTTGGGCACAGTACTAATTTCTGCATCATAGGGATAAACTCACCATAAATAAGAATGCAATTAATTTAAATTTGCGTGTTTGAAGTTGACGTTTTAATTCTTTCAATGCATTTTCAATAGGTCACGATTGTGAGAGAATGGGATTTAGGTAAAGAAGATGGTCCTTTACACGTTAAGGAGAAAGAGCGAGAGAAGAAAGAAATGGACAAGAAAAGACGACAAAGAAGTCGTAGCCCACTCTTGGAAGCACATTTGCCAGCGCCTGCTCGCAAATTTAAGAAGAAAGAAGATGATCCACCGCCGGCCAAGCTTTTAGATGATCTCTTTAGAAAAACGAAAGCTGTACCCTGCATATATTGGTTACCGCTCACGAATGAACAAGTAAGATTTCTATTTCCTTTCGCTTGGGCTGTTCATTTATTAGAAAAAACTAATGCTTTAATGAACCATGTGCGATGTAACATATATAACGTGAGCGTTAAGGAATAATATCTATTATCCGCAGATTGTGGTAAAAGAAGAAATGCGAAGGCAGCATATGGCGGAACACGCTCGTCGATTGGAGGAGATGAGACGCGCAGAGAGGAACAGAGATGGCCGCCGCCGTCGTAGTCCCCGAAAATAAAGAAACAATGCCTTATCACCACTCGATAATTACCTTTTCGTTCCGATCTAACAAAAAAAAAAACTGACTGACGGACCTACAGCAATTATGTTGTCCCGAATTAAAGAAAAGGTCGACCTCTTCCGAGACCAACTAATCTCTTCTTTTCACTAATTAACGATTAACTACATTCGGTTAATCTACGAACCGTGTTAATGCTTCATTGTTTTTATGGTATTTCTTTGAAGACATTTTATTTGTTATTTGCCATTTAGAAAAGTATTTTCCCGCGCGATTAATTTCATTTTGTCGGTATTCCTTATTCCGTTACAGTTCACGCATGACCAAAGTCCTGACTTTCCTCGGTTCTTGATTTCAGTATTAAACCGTACTTCTTACAGGTCAACATTTACTATTCATCGGTGGTGATAATGACTAAACAGATTCATAGTGGTACCATATGTGCCCTATCGACGATGGGATATATTGTTTCTTGGAATGTGGCTGCGAGGCTCAATGATCGACGTAATAGAGTAATACATGCTCGACGACACAGCTCGTTCTCTTTCGATGAGAATAGCAACGTGGGATTAGAAGACAAAACTTTCACGTTATTCATTACCCAAATAGTGTTTATACTTAAAGCAAAAAAAAAATGATAGTAATTCGCATTAAACACATTTTATAATTCAATTGACACCCTGCAAAAGTTAAATGGCAACAGTAATTACTGTCATTTAAAGTGCATAGAAGCGTCCTAAACGTTCGTAAAACTGACATTTATTATTTCCAAGATATACTTATATCATATAATGCGGCTAGAGCGTGTGGATCTATCATAAATCGGGCAACTCTACCCTGTACAATGTGCGATGCAAGCGCAATATCGTTTACTATGAGAGCCCATTGTACATATAAATATCTAATATTCCAAGCGTGTAAAATTATCAATAAAATAGAGGATCCAATAAGAAATAATCTGGTTTTCTCTCACGAAAAATAGCTTTAGTATTGTCATATAGCAAACATGAAAAGCATGTTCTTTTATCTTGATCTAATAAATAAGCGATATTATAATGCCGTTCATTAATTTATATTGCATGTAATGCCTGTCCTGAATGTCAAAGTCAATCTTCGGGTGCAATAAATTATTAAATGACTTTATTTTTCGTGAATAACGTTATTAATACTATTATTACAGCTATTTTAATTTACAAAAATGATAATTGTATGCGGGTGTCGCATGTACCAGTCACAAAATTGACTATTTATAAAAATCTTAACATTACGTTTGTAATTTGGTGACCAATTTGTACAGCTCACCGAGTTCGTATTTTTATCGTGACTTACATTTTTATCAACATAATTTTACACACGTGTGAACATCGGTTAACACGGAAGTACAAGTCGGCCACTGTCAAATATCCACAGTAAAGCTGGTTCTGTTGAGATGATTCGTTTATAAAAACTTATTTTACAATATTTTTGCACGAAAAAATAGATATTTAATCAACTTTTACCACACTGTAAATTTCCCGCACAAACCAAAAGCAGGCGAAAAATCCGATTGAACCTGAAATGGAAACGGATTTAATGATTAATGTCATTTTCATACTTGACGGATGAATAAGTACTATTTGTATTTTCAGGGTCAATAGACTTGGTTATTATTTATCAAATAACGCGCGTATATAATGCTAAGAAAATCAACTTTGAACGTTATCAATAGGATTACATTATAACGAAAAAAACATTTACCTGTTAGTAAAAAGAATAAGTATACCATGACCAATGTATATCCAAAGTACAAGAAGGTAGATGTTGCGTCTTCTATATCCAGCTTCGTGACAAAATAGTGTATACAATAAATCAACAAATAAAACGCTGTGAAACCTGATGTTAAGAAACTGCGCCACCACCAATGATAGTCCTGTTGAATGAAAGACAGACACATGGACAGTTAAGTATGAAATAATGTTTAAATATAGGAACATTTTAAAACTGATAATACTATTTCTCTCCCGTTTGTTCGAGTTTCATTCACTGCAATTGCTAAAAATATTTACTATTTTGCAAAGTGTAAAGTAATCAATGTCTTCATATACAATTTATTGAATGCATAGAAAATAAAAATAAAATATGGGGAACTTTATTTGAATGGAAAATGTTATTATTGTATATTCTAAATGTATGTTACCTCTGCACAAAGGTGGAAGTAGCAAAGAAGAATCGTTGTTTCTGAACAAGTTATTACCAGTATAAGAAAAACCAAGAAGAGAAATCCAAACATGTAGTATATTTGGTTTGACCTGTAAAGAAAATTGTTAGTCATACACTTTCTACAAAAAAAAAATTGTGTACGGTAAAACATTATAAGCTAATTAACAGTAGCATATTACTATGTATTTATGAAGTAAATTATAATATTTAAATGAAGTAAAATATTTTGCAATTTTTTACTTATACGTGCATAGTATGAATTTGGTGAAAGTAGTATGAAAATGATAAAAACGGTAAATATAAATATTAATAGGGTTCAATAACTGATTAATGTAATAGAAAGCAGTTATGGTATCACAATTGACACAGTGATACGTAAAGCATAAGACTAATATATAAACGAGTAGAGTTACTATTTAATTTTACTTAAGTTTTAACTCAACTACGATACATTTGCAAGATTACAATAAAGAATGAAATATGTTCAAAAAAGATCTAGTCTTAATTCATCTCTTTATCGAAATGGTAATATTGTACATACACATTTTGTATTAATGAAATGTAAACTGCGATTATCATTTATGACATTCATTGTTTAATTTGTTATGTCCACTTTCTCCAAATTCACTTTTGTTTCCGATGCAAGTACATTTGGCGACATTATTTTTTAATCTTCCTCATTTCAACTAATGGGCAATTACTTCATGAAAGTATAGATTGTTTAAATTACTTGAACTTCAACTGATTACTTAAATGCAGAATCGATACATCGATATAAATCTCAACTATAAAGTGTGTAATAAAATAGTATTGGCAAAATATTTTAATTCAATTGAATCTGCTAGAAATATCGATTACTTAATATTTATAAGATTATAAACAGTATATACAATACCATAAAGAGTTTAATATGAAAAACAACTGAATAAATATGCATCCAAATGGTAGTACTCCACCCATCACTATCGCAGGTATGGCTTGTGTATAAAAGCTCTGTTCCGGTATTTGGCGAGGAATTTGGTTAGTTCTTACTGGATGTTCCAGTGGCTAAAATAAAGAATTGAGATTAATAAACAAAACATCTCATCTTTTAATCCATTTAGTAGGTATTTAAACAAAAAATGTGGAGCCACTGACTAAAAGTACATTAGTACGAGTAAAACGTAAAGCATACTTCGGTTTTCGTTATTTCAACTAAAAGGGACATTTTACATCTCTTTTTAAAACAGATCTCTAAATTTTATCTGCGAAAACTACTAAATTTTGAAAAACAAAAAGAAGACTATAATATTATTTAGTGAGAAGTATAGCTCACCCGTTTCTTAAATCCGAAATACGCTCCAATATATGTCAGAGGAACTGATACTCCAAACCATAAGGCCAGAAGAGCTATAAGAGTACTAAAGGGAACCGCCGCTGAACTTCCTTTTGCCCAAAAAATTAAGTTCATTATGAAAAATAAGCTGAAGACAATTCTGTAAAAGATAAATACATTGTCATAAGTAACTGTAACCTTTGTAATATTACGTACATCCAAGGTTTTATTTAAGTAAAACAGAGCGCTTACCCAGGACTCAGCATAGACGTTAGAAATACATTAAAATTCCACTTCTCCCCGCCAAAACTTTTGTAAATTCTCGCAGATACATATCCAGCACAAGTACCAAGGCAGACATATAATACCAGTGCACATGTCATCAATGCTCCTCTATTTGCGGGTGAGAGAAACCCTAAGCACGCGAATGCTAAAAAGAAACGAATAAGTCTAATTAACAACTAAAAAATGACAGTTAAATAAATTCTTTTTCAAGTGAAACTCGCAAAGGTTGGTAAACTTACCTAGTGTAACAAGGGTCATAAAACAAACTTGAATTCCTGATCCAAGTAAAACTGAAAGTAACATTCCTTTCCTTGGAGGACGAAATACATCCCCGTGTACAAGTTTCCACCCAAATTCTTCTTGAGCATCTTCTCCTGACTCTATCTGGAAATAGGCCTGCGTTATCCCAACACAGACACGGGAAAATCACTATTTTATATGTTATACAACGTTGTATTTGCCCTTTCAGGTGCAATATCAAATTTTATATCTCATTTAATATTTTTATATTATTGAAATAATCAGAAATATAATACAATGTACATATAGACATTGAAATCGTGATATGCTACATGAAAAACGTTGATCGATATTGAGCGGGGGAGATGTTTCACGCGTTTCATTATTTGAAAGTGAGGCGCGGACCACTAGCGCCCTCTATGCCCTTTAAACCCCTGTAAAAATCGGAACTAAAAATTCAAAGGGGCGAAATCATCGTGATCGGTAAAACATGTGTTGTGCGCAAAACGTAAAACATGTATGTGTGCCGCGGTGTAATCTCAGCCACCCACGCATAACAGCTTTATTTGGCATTCGTAGTCTTCTTTGTCAACCTACATTGACCCTGATACTGAAAATGAAAAGCCTGTGCTGCATTTGAAATCTGCAGACGCGTTTTTCTTTATCGATAAAGAATATTTCGCTCCTTCGAAAGCAGTTCTACAACGTTAGTAAGTCGTGCCTCCCTTTCGACAACGGCGTGAAACATCTCCCCGCTCATCTCTGATATTGATTAAACAATGATATTTAAATATGTAAAAAATAGATGACGTGAAAACTATGAAATGGTGAGTTATGTCTCCTATGAATAATAGCTTACCTGGTTATATCGTGTTATATCTTTGTGCAAAGTTCGAAGCAAAATTATTGCTACCATTCCAGAAAGAAACAGAACAATTACGAGAGAATTTAGAATACTGAACCATTGAATATTGGTATGCGGCATTGATTCCAAAATATAGTCCCATCTGGAAGACCATTTAATTGTGTTGTTCTCCTGAAATTACGTAATACAATAAAACCATATAGTCACAGAAAAATAAATGCCTGTTAGGTTTTTCAAGTGGTTTGCAATGAATTTTAGAATACAATCCATACCAGGGTGCAAACGCAGTAAGTACAAAAATCATTAAAGTGGTACAATTTAAAAATGACTTACTTGGAATTTGACTGAATATGTATACACAACATCTAATTTTTGATCATGTGCAAGATTTTCAGCAGGAATATCTAATGGTATCTTACTTCCACAATCAGGTGAACTTGGATCATGTTTAATACTACGTGGTACAACTTTTGCAGCTGTAAAAAATAATGAAATCTGTTGCTTACTTAGATGGACATTTTGTCTATTTTAATATAATTTAAAATTTATATAACACCAACTTGTATCATAACTTATTCTTGGTAGATTATGAACAATTCAAGTGCACAGAAAAGATTAATTTGTCTTGAGGCAATATATTATTAATCTATATGGTGCACTGTAACATTGATTGATGTCTTTGAAATGACTTTTAAATAAAAGAATTATAAGAACATGACAGATACAACAGTTGGAAGCATTATTTAATTCAAATTTAAGGGGATGTGAAAGTGGAATCTGAGGGGGCCATCATTTATACAATATTTTTACAAATTAGATGTACCGAATCATTTCAAACTTTACAACGTGAATATGGAGGCTATAAGGAAGGTCCTGCCAACCATAAAGGGCAAAGGGTTAAGGTGCCTCAATATAAGGGATTTCTGGAGTTTCATTTCGATTTCTTTATAATTATCATACGGAAATATCTGGAGTATGCCATTTAGTATAATACTCAATATAACTCCACACAGCTGTCAATATAAATACAAACGTCAGTAACGTAGGTATTTAGAAGAGTCTTTTTTACCAACATCGATCAAATTTTTCAACGTGTTTCACTTCACCTTAAGCGTTTCATAAATATTTCATACACAGCATCATATTAATGTAATTTTGTACTCACATATTATTCGACCACCATTTTCTTTAAAACTTGTTCCCCATTCCTCTTTTATTCCACTATGATACGTAATGGTAAAATCCAAGTGATTAAATAAATAGTAAGTTTTTGGTTTGGTGTAAGCCTGAAACAAATTGCAAGAATATATTATACATTGAAATTGAATACTATAGTATAAAAGTAAGAGATAATATTTGTCTTGAAGCAGCCAATAATAGTAAATTATTTCAATGGAAAATGCACGATTCCAGTTAATTTGTTGTTTGTTTTATGTGCATAATGTATTTATTTAATTTTATATTATTAGTAACAGTTTTATAAAAGTATAATAAAGATAACAAATTTATATCATACCATATTATCACCAACACGGATATTAATGCTACAAGTATCCTGTTGGGTTTGAGATATTCGAAAATAGCATCCCATAGGAAAACCGGTACTGCAATATTGTCTTTCATCTTCTACCTGATAACACCATGTGACTGGCATATTATCTAAAAAAGATACATTACATTAAAACTTGTAATATCCTAAGGAGGTATTATGTTATTAATAATCTATTCATTTTTGTAAAAATATGAAATTTAATATAAAAATAAGTATTGGAAAAATAACATGAGCAGTATAATTGACTAGCGACTCAAGTAAATATACATTAATGATTTATTACAAATTGAAAATCTTAAGAAGAATGTTTCAAAATATCTTACCAACAATAAAATGATGCTGATAATTAAGGGCCATTCCCTTTTTCAATAACTCCAATTTTTTCTCAGACGCTTCATCTCCACCACTGTATGTTTTTTTACATGCAGTTTTACAATTTATAGGTTTTAAAAATTCCAACTATAAAAGTCATACAAAAATTGAAAAGAAAAATAAGTTCCTGATATGTTCAGAATTTTGCAGAATTGTTTATAACACAAGTAAATTGAATTTAACCTCATAAGGAGATGGACGAATACGTTCACCAAACACTACTTGTCCCAAGTTTTCAACGGGTGAATCTCCCACTGCAGAGCAGAAGTCAAAACTGAAATCCATAATTTGCTTTTACAATCGTGTCATTTTATGCCTTACAATGATATTAATATAATAAACTTACTGATGATACTCATAAGGTATAACTAATTTTTCTGAATTCAGCCTGTTCACGTACATCTTCAGCTCCGACTAAGAAAACGAAAAGAAGATTAACAACTATGCGACACTACTTATTGTAATAAATATTGTATACACATGGCAAAACGTTAAACCACTTCATATGTCTTTTTCATAATCGTGAATACATACTTCTGACCTAATTGTCAAACTATCTTACCAAACGAATTAACAAATTCTGTGATTGCCGAAATATGAAACTTACGACTGCATTTAAAATCTTTCTAAATGCGATAAAACTTCCTAATATTCTGCGGCGTATTAGGTTCAACGTGAATTAGTAACATGTGAAATAGTTGCTATTTTTATGTAAAGTACCTTGCATGTTTCTGAACGTTCGGTGGCCTTACAGTAGTTGACAGGGGCCAAGCCTGGCAAATAAAATCCATAGGCTCCGTAAACTAAGCAAAGGATACACGAGAAAAATATCGGTGTTGCTTGCGCCATTGTCCGTTCTCTGCTGCGGGGACGGATTTATCTATCGCCGAAACTAGCATATACGTGTGCAGGCGCTGCCAGTGATAAGGAAATACACACATAAAAGCTACCGCAATGACACTTCTTGATCACTAACCTTCTCCCGAAAATACACTACTTGAATGTATGAAACAGAGAGAAGTTAGGAGATCGTTCACGGATCAGTTTAAATGACCAGAATTCTATACTGACCTCTTGTGGAGACTTCAGGCAGTTTATACACTTTTTTGCATCTAACATCTAATCGAGCAACTAGCAGAATTCTGTATGTATTGTGGACACAGGAATAGAGGAATTGGGCCAGAGTTCGAAAATTCTCGTCAACATAAAATTGGAGAAGGTAACTGTGAAACATACCGTAAGTTACTGAGAATATTGAGAATTTATGAGAACGTTAATTTTTTGTATTCATATTCTTTAGGTTTCTTCATTCAAGTAACATTTGTTTTCACTTCAAAGTTTAAATTAACGTGTAATAAATATTATTAAGAAATATTAATTACAGAGTTTTATTTACTTCAAGCTAAAAATATTTACGTATTACCAGAGATGAGTTAGGAGATTGTTCACGAACGGGCGCGGGGTCGCGGGATCTGTGCTGCCCTCGAGTGGAAGATGTGGACGGCTAATGCACTTGTTACCCGATACCCCCCAATGGCCACCCAATTCAGGGATCCTCCTCATCTCTGGTCCCAACTCATCTCTGTGATAACAAACATAGTTTCACATCTTTTAACATCTCTTACCAACAAGTCAAGCAAGCTCTGCGGCGATGAACTACCGCCCTGATCTGAAATGGGCTTCGAGGTTTATCCATGGAGGATACAGAATCGGGTAAATAAATTCACGTGAGATGACAATGCGAGAAATGAGCACTCTCATCAAAGATACAGAATCGACCCCAGGCAACCCCAGGTGGCTGCAGGTAGCAACTGTGGAAGGTGTAACAATTTTGTGATAAACTCAAGAATTAGAAAATGGGATTCATAGACTGTGATATTGTCAATCTTGATTGAAGTACTAAAGTGTCAAACACTTAAATTTATCTGTAGTTTTGTAAACAATGATGCTGCATAAAATTAATTCAACACTTTGCCGTTTGTGTGGAAAAGATAAACAGCAAGGAACAGACGTGTTTAAGGATAAAGTTAAAGGAGCCGTACTTGTGTCGATTATTAACAAATATTTTTCCAAAGAGGTAAACCGGATATTATAATATATGTTCCAAAAATATTATCCTTTTCTTATTAAGTTTATTGGCTCCTTTTCAGGTCATTAATATTTCATCAACAGATACGTTCTCTAAGTACGTTTGCATTGATTGTGAACAAAGGATATGCATATTTGATGAATTTTGTTTAATGGTAGCTAATGTTCAAAAACAGTTAGCTGCCCCATCACTGGAAATAGATTTTACTGAGGTTTGGGCTAATTTATGGAAAATATTTATCCCTTTGCTGTCCAATAATGATCATACTTTTTATTAAGTTCAATTTAATTTAGAATCCAAATGAAATGATAGTAAATGGTAATGTCTCATTTAGGTAACGGAACTATAAGCATTTTGATACCAATAATAGTATAGGATTGCAAGGGGTTAAATTAATCTAATTCATCAATTTTTAATATAATATGAACATTCAATTTGCAGGGCATGTTATGCCATTTAAAAGAAACTGATATTATAGAGAAAAACACTATAAATTTATTAGAGAAACGGAAATATGAATGTCATATATGTGCTAAGAACTTTAGATGCCAGGCACACCTTAACAGGCACAAGCGCATCCATACGGGATTGCGCCCTTTCGTGTGTAATGTACGTTGCTTAATTTCAAATGTATGATTATTTATTTATTTATTTGATATTCACGTTATTTACTCTGAGATTAAAAAGATTAAATGATAAGTTTTGCTATACAGTGACATTAATATCTCAGATCTTTATGCTTTTCGCTTTTCAGATTTGTAGAATGTCATTCAATCAACGAGAAATATTAACCAAGCATAAGGAAAGTCATGAAGGTAGAAAGCAGTTTCAATGTGCTAATTGTCATCAGTCATTTCGTTACAAGGTGTCACTGAGATCCCACCTAATTAATTTTCACACGGATATGGATCAGGCAACATTGAATAGTGGTACCTTATTAAATCAAAATCCACTTCTGACCTGCTCAGAGTGTGGGAAATTGTTCGCTACAAAATATAAATTACAGAGACATGCAAGATGTCACACTGGAGAAAGACCGTTTCGTTGTACTTACTGTGATCGTACATTTTCACAAACTGGTAATCTAAAAATACATCAGGTTAAGTGTCATCAAATGACTTGCTCTATATCTGATAACTGTTCTATACCTGAAACAAGGGAACATTCTCAACAAATGAATCGTGAAGAAGAGCGAAATATTCCTGGTTCATTAAATAATTTCCAGTCAATCTTCTTCACTGAAAGTGAAATACAGAAAACAATAAATGACACAATTAATTCTACTGATCCAAATGCTTCATATTTGAATAAGTCTTATGAGAATCCTATATATATTGATGAGGAAATTGAAACAATGTTAGATCAGGATCTTGGTCAGTTGGATCGAAACAAATATTCCACGGTAGCACAAGAGAAAGTATCGCTATGTTTGAAGCAACCAGAAACACCTGAATTATTGCACAGTTTATTTTATGACAATTAAAGAAGCACCTGATAATAGCTTCATTAAAAAATATAACACTTATCTTCTATAATGCTAAATGCAGTCGTCATAAAATTGCTAATTTAATGTAATTAAATATGTAACAAATTATGATTATTGTAAAAGCATTTTAGTAAATTATTAAACATTAGAAATGTATAACGATCTTGTATCAGAATAAACAAAATCTGAACATAATATTTATAATATTGACAAATTTTCGCGCTTGTTAAGTTTAAATCAATTGAAATTATGAGGTGAAATTCCAAAAAATGCATACTTCCGATTAATTTGAAACTTCGTATACTTATGTATTTTGACGCACTGATGACAACTATGACAGTAAAAGTTGGCGCAATTGTTCTCTTCAAGAGAGGGAAAGGGAGAGCTTTGCCCCCCAGCCACGCATAAAATAGTTGGGGTAGTTTAGGTTAGTTATATAAACTAGTTTCGTATTTCAGAAATGTATATCATTTTTTCGAAAAATAATAGTTTTAAAAAAAAGTGTAGAGAACATAAAAGATGAATTTTTTAAAAAGCTACAATTTAACTTTTTTCTCTTAAACTAATAGAAATAATGGGAAAAATTTCAAAAGTTACTAACAATCATTTTCACTTTGAAGATAACATTTGCGCCAATTTTCACTAACATATCCGTAATCAGCAGGTCAAAGTACGTGGTTTTACGAAATTTCAAATTAATCGAAGGTATGCGATTCTCGGAACTTTATCCAAATCATGATTTTAATAAATACTTGGATGAAGTTCTTTTTTAATTTTTAATAAATCTAATTATTTTCTTCTCATTTATAACATTTTTCCCCTGTTTGATACCATTCTAATTGTCACAGTTTCAGAAATATTCTCGATGTTAGTAGTTATTGAACAATCCAAACCACCCTGAGTTTATGTGATGACTGTAAATGTTAATGTAAAGAAACAATTTCTCAATTAATATGTAAATACCAAATACAACCATCTATTTGTTTTGTAATACATTTAAATACTTATCAATTATGAAAGCTAAAAGAATATTAATTGCATAGAAAAAAAAACAACAAGTTACTCACACTGTTATGGTTTATAGGATCAGTGATTGTTATTTGACAAATGATACGTATTTCTATACAGAACTATTCATTAAACAAAATAACTTTGTTATTAATATTAAGACTGAAAAGACTAAATAAGATTTAGTATCATTAAGACTAAGAAATATCTGTTTTTAGTATCTTATTTATGACAAATAATGTTCACTTTTCAAAAGTTTGCTATATCTTATGGATTGTACCCTATCCAGTTTAAATACGTTATTAAAATAACGTTATAAGGTCCCAATGGTCTTTATATTGCAATTTTAGAACACAGCAATATGCGTAAGAAATTATGGTGACCTTTGTAATCTTACTATGAGAAAACGGGTCGTAATGAACAGACATTGTTCCTTGGTGCATACATGTTGTATATTATACATATAATCGTGGCTGCCGATTTCATATATAACATTAACGTTTCGATTTAAGAGTAATTCGCAATATCGCTTAACTTTCGCTAGATATGCGATATACAAATTGAATGTTGAATAAGAATTTTAACTAACTTAAAAAAGTAGTTCAATGGCACAAAACAAATGCTCATCTTACGATGGCCATCAAGAGTAAATTCAATTAGTAACATGAATAGACTGAGACTCTTGATTATTATCGGATGATTAATGATTATTTTGCAGAAATTTCAATGTTCATTTACCGAAAAGCATTACTATTACCAATCGGGCGAAAAATGGTCTCACCCTAAAATCAATTTATTAAGTGCGCTCAGACGTCACGCTTGCATTTTCGAAAAAACGTTCAATACTAAAAATAATACTCAGATCTTAATGGAAATTCAGTCTGGTATTAAAAATAGTATTACATTTTAAATAATACACATACAAATCTTACAAACTATATATATTAATAGATAGGTTCCCGATGATTGTATAAGAGTTGTGAACTCTTAAGAATTTTTAGTGTTCTGCAGATGGTCGATAAGGAATTCAGCAAGGTTGCTTAAATGTGCACAGCTACCGCAAGCGCGTTTTTCAAAATTTTAAATTTTATGTGTTACCTATTGCTACAAAAATACAACATACTTCAAAGCAGTTTTTACAAATGAAACTCAGAAAGCTTAATTTTGGAAGCGGATGAAAACTCATCATACGTAAATTGTTACCAATGAATTTGGAACAAGAAAAACAAACACTGAGATTTCATTACTTGGCACATTAGTTATCTCCAAAGTACAGAAACTTTACAAAGCAATGTAGATATTTGAGTTACGTTGAAAAGAATCGCGGGAAACAAACTTAATTCCTGAATTTCTGTCGCGTACGCAATGATTGCGGCGCATTAAAGATTCGGAAACATTCCTTATGATGCTCAACGTTACAACTATGATACGTTTGTTTTAAACAGATCCCGACATGATTCAAACATATTGTTACAACTATCTATCTCCTTTACAATTTCATAATTGAAAATAAAACTCACAGCGCCTTTTGAAAGTAAGCTGCAGGGCACAGCTCATTTCTTTCCCACGAAAATACGCATTATGTACGATTTTATTAACGTATCAAGAAAAGTATAAAAAACACGACCATGTAGCTTAAAACAATTATCCTTTGTCAAGCTGATTTACACCCTACATATGTAGTTGTAACGCGTTCACACCCACTCTCTCACATGTATTCGTGTCTAAAGATAAGAAAATTTCTTTACTCAATCGCTAACGTTAATTTCTTTTACTTCATCCGTTCGTTTAACTAAATATTTCAATACGAATAAAAATGTAACCTCCCTTATGCCATTATAAAGTTTTAATGTAGGATGCTCAGTTGACCCGTGCTCGTTGCGTAAACCATTCCTTGCCCAGGTTGCGGGGCCCACCGAATACAATTTAATGTAACATACCCGGTAGTTTGTCGATTGCATACCATTTCACGTAAAAGCACCATACTCTTCTTGTTATCTTTGACATCGGTCTCGCTTCTTATGCCAGGACTTCGCCAATCTTGATCATTCTGGCGATCGTCATCGTCACCTGTCCTCGTGTTATTTAGATAGTTATCAAGTGGGACTCTGTGACCGTGCATAGTGAAGAGATTTAAATATTTGTAGGTCTTCGGACCCAGATCTTGCGGGATTTTTTTCTCAATCTCAGGTTCTGTGTCTACGAGTTTGTAAATCTGAGCCATCGGGAGGGGACGAGCGGATACGTTGGTTCTTCTCGATGCCAGTCCAACCAAGAGATGTTGTCGAGTTGGCGACATTGATACGGAAACGACTGTCTGGTCGATCTTTGTTGAATAAACCCTCTGTCCCAATGTTTCCCATTGTAAACTGTATACTCCTGAAATATGGCAGACAAAATATGGACTTAGTAGTATTTAAAGGTATTAAAAATGTATTATTGCATTTTCATGTGTTATTCCATCCAATTTCAATATTGCTTGCCTAGATGTTACCCGATGTTTAGGTGAAATAAAACCCCCCACAAATCAATGAATTCGAATAACCCACTTTTTTAAAGGGTTTTGGATAGAACCGTCTGAAACTTTAACACATGACTTGAGCATCTAGGAATTATCCTGGCAAGTGTCAAATACGTCTCGTCTATATTTATGGTTTGAGATTTACCGACTTATACCTGTATTCCTACCTTTAATTCATCCAAAGACATTTAGTTACAAACATTAGTTTAGGATACCAACGACTTAAAAGTTTATAAAGAGTAAATTTGCAAATTTATTAACACAATTTGTCTCTGTGAATAAAACAAACTAATTTATCTGCCCATGTTACCATTAAAAAATTCCGATTTAATTTTAATAGAATTGTAACACAAGTTGAAAGACGATCTATCGTACATTTTGATAAATTTACAGTAAGTAAAAATAATAAAAAGAATACGACGTTTCTTACCTAATCTGGTAGTGGTATTGACGCGTCCAGTTGGAAGATGCGTTGCCAACAATTTACCATCAGACGAAATGTCTACACTAGCATCATTATGAATTTTGCATTCCCGTACCACAACGTTCTTATCGGCTACAACATTAAACATTTTATAAATCACATTAAATACATTCGAATTTGAAATTTCTATTACTTATATCAATATTTCCTTACGGTCAGTGATATTTGGAATTTCTCCCTCCGAGAAATCCCAAGCTTGTACTCGATGACTTTGAACTTCCAAACAATTGAAGGCTGCCATTAACGGACTTACCGGCACGTGATCTAATTTTAAATATATACAAATGATTAATTATTGTAGTAATGTATTGATGTCTTATAAAGTACAAACCTCTAAATTCAATATCGTCGCTACCATCGTTAATTGGATCTTGACCTCCTCCACCTACAGCTGAACTTCCACTGCTTGCATTGTAGCCAAAATTAGGATGCAACAATCGAGACCTTCTCCAAACCGTTTGTGCAACGTACCATCGACGTAGTTGCTGCAACCAAGTATTTTAAGTGTTTATTTATACAGGGTGATAGGCAACAAGTTTCACACAGGAACGAAATCTTGTACTACTATATGTTCACTTACGACACAGTCTGATCTTAATTTGTCAAAATGTACCATTCCCCATTGTCATCTCGAACAGATCGAGTCCCCCCTTAATCCTTATCACGCCAAGAATATTAGACGAGTATAAGAAGTTGGCAGTATTACTGCCGGTTGGAGTGATAAGGATTAATAAGTGCAAATTACTCCCACCACCGTTATAATTCGTCATGCCCAAACCATATTTTTCGCAATTGCATTGCAATACCAAAGAAGAAAGTATATAAAGGATAGAAAGTATCGCACCTGAGTCCTGCTACTGAACGTTTGCGACGAGCTAGAACCCGATGGATCATTGAAGTAATTGTTATTGCTTCGTTCGGTGTTGTTTAAAAAGCTATTGATTAAATACGGCGGTGGTGTATGAGGTGGAGTAGGAGTGCTCTGTACTCTGCGTGGTGCTCCTGGTAAACTACTAAAGTCACTAACTGGAATATTGTTCACTTGAACGACAGGAATATTAAATTCCTGTCTTCTACTAGCAGAATCTCGATCCAGATTACGATGACTCATATAGCTTCGATGGCTGGATTCGGATACTAGTCGTTCTCTGCGGAGGGGCGAGTTTCTGGAAGGACCTCGTCGCGCCGAAGGCGGACCTCTTACGATGGGGTAGGATGTAATATATCGCCGAACACCCGCAGTTCTATTTGACCAACTATGATCAGCCAACATGTCCATACGATATCTATCGAAGAGTGTTCGTTCAGACCTACTCTCGGGATCAGGAGGGTGCCTATCAGCAGCCTGTGTGTTTAATCTGGTCTGATGATGAGATAGTACGTTTCTCCAGCTTCTCTCAAATTCGGTTCTGCCCCTTATGGCATCACTCCCGCGATCTTGTCGCTCTGGGACTTCTTCATCATTCGCATTATCATTATTCACTTCTGATTGTCCTTCCGTAGCAACCAATCGGTTTGAACGACGTTCGTCAACTATGGGGATTGAATTGCCACTCTGAATCCTTTCTACAATGCTTTGCACTTCAGCTGAGAGAGCATTCTCGGACGACATCTGACCAACTGAGGGACTAGGTTGCCGAGTTCCTTCATTTTGAGAACCGATTTGGACAGAATGGTTAGCAGTGCTAGTGCTCGCCGTATTAGCGTTAACCTGATCGAAGCGAAGCTGATATTCGGTATTCCGACGAGGAAATTTACTCAATATTTTGGCTACGCATTGATTGAGTGCGTCAGCAATGTTTGCACATTTTTGTTCGGGATTTCTTGTGCTATCGCGTCTTTCCGTGTCGTTACCAGACGTAGTTAGCTCATTTGCATTAGAGGCAGTACTTTCGGTCTGTAAACTGTTGTCGACATTACTCGAGCGTTGCTCGGCAGACTCAGTCGGATTTTGTGTGGATAAATCAGAATTAAAGGGTCCGTACTGACTAGATTCAAGCTCTCGCCTGGTAGTCACTAATTGAGCCAATAATAAATCAGTCAATTCCAGGGCCAGGTGAAGTAAAATATACATCTCTGAAACAAAATGTTAATTATTCACTATACGTGAAATCGAGATCATTTCAGTATTAAATGTAGAGAATCGCAAACATTTTACATCCGGTTTCTTGCATGCATTTTTTAAGTAAAATTGGGAAACTTACTGAAAATCTGTTCATACAGTACGTTGCTTTGTGATCCATTCCCAGGTCTATTTTCTACAAAGAATTGTGTTATTTGTTGAACCATTAGGCTTAGTGTTTGCCTGCAACATATTAATAAAGTTATTATCTAATGAATTTCCTTTACATTATAACAGATTGAATACCTGGAATGCAAGCGTAGGAATATAGACATACCGGGCTTGTACTCTCCTAACTTCTCTTATGTGATCCATTTGGTTATCATTGTTATCTCCATTAATTTCAGTCTGGCTATCACTGTCCGATCCTCTCCCAACGTTGTTATTCCTTGCTAAGTCTCTTTGTTCATCGACCAATGACTGCAATCTGACGATCATTGCTTGTAAAGATTCAGTTGTTGTTTGAACCCGATCTCTTTCACTACCACTTTCACTGACTGAGTTTCTGCGTAAATGCCAAGGCCTTCTAACGTTTTCATAATGACGGAAAGGATTATTCAAAGACTGAACACGAGAGCTTCCTTTCATGTTACGAGGTCCGACGGACAACAATCTTGGACGCCTGTAATGACCCCATAATTTTTCACATTAGCACAAATAGAAAATGGAATATAAACACGGAAACCACGATCACTGATCATGGATAATTAAACCAACCTCAAATAAGTTCTTCGACCGTATCGCCAAGCTCTTTGGTAGGTATATGGTCTTCCACGTAAACCGGTCTCGCTAGTCGGAGATTCGGACGATGCTCCAGAATTCGAACTTTCTGATTGATTGGATGAGGCAGGAGGTACTTGATTATTGTTGGTATTCTCGGGAAATTCAGCATTTGATGTAGACGGGGTATGAGATAGCTGGTCTGAAGTAGAATAATCAGCTGTGCTAATTCTATTCGTTATTTTTGATACTCCAGAGAATGGTGTACTTGCAGATGCAGCGGTAGTTGGTATACTTAAGTTACCAGCTATGTTCGATACAAGATTTGATATACTGGGAAGTTGTACATTACTATCGTTAGTTGTTAAATTGGAGTAGGTGTGGTCGCTGGTAGCATTCGCGTTGCGAGCTGGATTGCTGGAACTTGGGCTTTCGTAACCGTTATTCGAACATAAACTTTTAATAATCTCTGAAATAGTGCGCGGGCGCCTTTGTTTTAATTCGGATTCACTCGGTAGCAGATTCGATAAGCTTATATTTGTTGAAGTTTCACCGGTGTCAGTGGATTCATTTGCTTTTGGAGAGGTTGATCTACCTTTTTTGTTACTCGTTTGATGCCTTATGATCCCTTTCGACGTCGACGGTTGGCTTTGATCGTACTTTAAACTGTCATCGGTTTCATTATTTTCTCTTTTATAATTCTCAAGAAGCGCCTTTTTGAAGTTTTTTGCAGGCTCTGAAGGGGATTCGCCAAAAAAGCAGGGATTTTGCGCCGATGTTGACGGTATTGCGGTTACATCAGAACTCGTACTTGGTTGAGATTGCGTCTGATCGTTATTCTGCCTCTCTACGTGTACAGTCACGTGAAGCGAACGAATTTGATGTTGAAGACTCTCCCACATCCTGCGTACGTGTTGCAATTGTACAATTTCCAAGCGGGCTCTGTAAATAATATCATGTACGGCACGTAAAGAGATAAACTAAGTTTTAAAATAATATTTTTCATGAAATTTCGTGAGTTTCAGGACCTACTTTAGAGCCTCCATGCACCTCCATGCACATGGCAAAATTTAAAATGAATCGGTAAACCTAAATCGGAGAATACTTTTACCAACGATTTGACTTCTTAAATATATATAGGCTGACTCTTTCATATCACCTTAAGGATTCAGATACACATAAAAAACGCTTTAAATATGTGTTTAAATACTGCGCCAATTGCACTCTAAGAAGTATTACAAGACGTGTTCTCAAAATTGAACAAATAACGTTGACAGGAATCATCAGAATCAATAAAGCTTCGTATATGTTATGCAAGGGGGCAAAGATCATTCACGTCTTTTCGGCTGTGACTACTAGGGCCTTAAGCTAAACTACCATACATTGTCTACAGACAATTTTGCAAAAGATTAGATTTAGATTAATAGATTAGATTAATAGACAAAAGAAAGATAGAACTTTATTTTAAGAAATCAACTGATATTTAATTCTTACCTGCACAAACGTTGCATGTTATCAATGTGGCGACTAAGTAACTGAACCTCTCGCCTTAGCCCGACTGCTTCGTTATACTCTTGACCTTGCCGGGCAAGCCACGTACGAATACCTTCATCTTCTGTTCTTCTGTCGAAGTTCACCGTTTCTGTACTACTTGTGCGCGGATCAAATTCCCCCGCATCGTACGTGTTAGTTTCTGCGTCTTGATTTTCTTCCACGTCATTCCGTAATACCTGATCGGAATTATCTACGTTTTGTATATTGCTCACTTCTGGAACATTGTGGCCTATTGAAGGAATTTCAACATTTTCGGAGACGGCGTCAACAGTCTCAATAAAGTGTTCATTCAATGCTTGAGAGTGTGCATTATCCACAGCACTTGAGTGAGGAACTTCGACTTCTGTTACGGGCAACTGATTCCGTTCCATCCTTCTATTTTGAGTTTCACGTAAACTTCGAAATGGAAAAAGAGGTGGTTGTTCATACCGGCTCAAATTTACTGAAATAGGAGACAACTGGTTTCTGTCATTAATCGTTGTATCGATTCCAAAGTCGTTTAAATCAACGGAGTCGGCAGGTACTGTTCTTAAATGGTCCAAGGATGAATTCTCATTAGTTGAATGTAATTCCGAATCCAGTTCGCCGTTCCTACTAGGTGTATACAATCTTACAAGCCTAGGCCTGTGTCGAATAGCTGCACTTGAATTTGGTAAAAAGTCATCGTGAATAGGGTCATTGTTATCCACAACGGATCTCAAGTTGCCTTCTTCTAATGCATTGGTTGAAATTTCACGAGAGCGATCATCAGAAACTTCATTGGATGTTTCTTGAGTTCTATTCGGATATAAACGTACCCAACGGCTGGTTCTTCGTCTTGATGTACTTGCGTTAAGTAATACATCGTCCTCGTTTGAATCTGAGTTACTATTTTCCTCGAGCAACCAATATCCATTTTCCGATTGTTCACCAGCATTTTCGTCATCCAGTGGCTCTTCGGGTAAATTTTCTGCCGGTTCAACATGATCTGAGTACAAATTTCTTTGATACGAATCTAACGGCCGTCTCGGTTGTAAAGGTCTGTTTCTAAAATAGTAAGGTGTTGTATCAACATTGATATTACCCGTCGGGCCACTTGTACTCATTTCTGGGGTTTCGTTCCTTTCGTTAGAATTTGCTCCCCGCTGATCGATCAACTGATTTATTCGCTGTGCCACAGGCCTTGGCATACTCGGTTGAAAAGCTGAATGCGAAGAGACTGTGAAGTTTGACATGCTCGGGTGAGGAGGAACAGTTGAGTATCCTTCATCACTAGATGGTGAGCTGCCACCTAAAATTATTATACCTTACGTTTAATAATGCCTACCCCAGAATAAAGCATTTTCAGGAAATTATTAGGTTTAATTAAGTGTGTTTTTACTTTCTCCTTTTATATCTTTTTATCATTGGTTTACCGAAATGACATGAAACCCTTCAGTTCGTATAATTCTCAACGTAGACTGTAAAAGGCTTCAACATGAACATAAATATCGGTAACGGGACGTGCCAGCTTATGTCACCATTTGAGTATTTAAAACGGCATTACCACCAAAAAGGGTATAGATGAATTTTATTTTATCGATGTCGATTAAATTTCTTAACGCCTTTCATATCCTCTTAACTCTACGACAATTTTTCCGTAACGAATATTAATATATAACTAATGTAAAACATCCAACCTACCCATAAAATATCCAACCTACCGTGTATTTCTCTCCATGTACGGGTATTAGAATTGTAACTTGAGTACCAAAGACGAGAATTATCCCTTCGCCTTCTCCTTACAGGGGGTTCGTCATCCGTGTCAGTCGGTTCTAAACGTCTTCTATTGGACATTGCAGGGCCCTGCGTACTGTCTGATCTTGTAGCTGACCTGTTCCACTTCCTGCTGCTTTCGCGGTTTGTTGTAGCAGACCTATCGACATTATGCTCCTCGAGAGCATCGCCAGCAGCGGAATTTGAAGTCGACGGGGCGAATTGATCAGACCTCGAGGACGAATTATTACCAGACGTTCCTGGAACTTGTTGCATTTCTAAAGTCGATTGTTGATCTACGTTTCCAGGAAGTGTGGTACTTGAATTTGTAGATGGACCATTGCTTCCTACGGGCCACTCGGTCTCGTTTGCACTGATGTCATTGGGCTCCGTTTCAGTATTTGAATTGCGACGAAGCATAACGTACATATTGAATTCATCTCGAAGCCTTTCAATTCTGGAACTTGTATTCGTAAATTGTACTTCCATATTACTGAGCGCCTCTATATTGTTTAAAACATTTCGGAGCATTTGCAGCCTGGAACTGCGATTGTTGGTCTGTGCAAAAAGTGTCGATGTGTGAGCTTGTAAGCGTTCATGTAACTTCTGTAATCTAGCGAGATATGCATTATTATTTTCTGCGGTGGCATTAAGAGCCTCTCTTAGGTTTTGAAGAGCAAATCCTGTATCCTCCTGTTCTGAACGTTCCATAAATCGTCGTCGATATCGCAGTGGCCTCTCTATGCCAGAATTGTTATTGTGTATAGTTGAATTCATTACATTTCTCAGTGTTCGAAAGAATGCCGCTGTTCCAGGTTCATTTCTAATAGTTTCGCGGGTTTCATCCGATTGCGCTCCAGAAGATTCTGGCATGTCCATAGGATCGGTGCCTCTATCCATCTGTCGACATTAAAATGTAATGTTCATTCTGGCTGTTGCTTTCACATAATTAATAATCGTTTAAGACTTTAAAAAATATAGTTTCATTAGAATATAGCATAACATAATGCAGAATAACCTCTCACCGTATCTCGATTTCTGGAAGTATCATAGTACCGATTCACAAGAGCCTGATATTGATCAACCAAATTTCTATAACATGAGTTAATTCTTCTTTCGATGTCATGTGTATTAACACCTTCTAGTCTCTCATCCATTTCAGCCCACATATTATCTAACCGTTGATAGAGGTCGGACCTATAAAGATCTGGATTATTATAGTGTCATATCGCGATTTCAGTAACATATTGTATTCACGAAAGATAAAACACAAATTGGGTTGGTTGTTATTCAAACATTATAATTTATATAATTAAGTAATGTATGACAATCATACAAAATAATAAATCAATTAATTACCGTTCATTACGTATGATGATGATTACAAAAGCAAAATGTAAGGCCGAAATTTTAACGGCGTTCACCACCAAAGTGGGGACGATGATTTCCACTGCTAGATGGTATTAGCATCGAATTCGGTGGGAGGTAACCGGAACGTACTTTCTCGCTCAGATGAGTGATACGCGACCATGGACGTAAGAATACATGGACGGAGCCTAAAGTCCCATCAGACTAGGAGGACAAGTCTGCGCGTAGGAAAGGGAGGGTGTATTGTTGGAAAATTTTTCAGCCTCCTGATTGGTAGATCACCTGTTTCATGTCGTTTTTCACGTTCATGGTAGATCATCTTATTTCCTGTTTGCTCTAACTTATTTCTTTTTTGCCACTCTTGTACGTAAAACATAATTATTAACCTTATTTATGCTAAAAATAGCATATTGTACATCATTCACTGTTTATTTCTTCATAGCCAGCACCATTCTTTACTTGCTACTCTTAAAATGACAACTAATCATCCAATCAGCAGCCAATCTTCTAACACACATCCAGCCAGCAGACAAAACAACCAATCAGGAACCTAGATTTTGGAACACTACGACTACCTTACGTTCCTACGTGTTCCCTCCTTACTTACTCCAGCACTCATCCCTCTGGCTTGAGCTCCGTCCACATATATTCTTAGGTCCATGCGACGCGCCATGGGTGGTGTTTGGCGATCGTCGAAAAATATGTGCGTGCCTTATACGTATAGGACTCACGCAACGGCTAGACGACTCTGGACTAGGAGTCGAAGCGTATGTGACATACGGACACACACACACATACGCCAGGTAGATTCTCCGCCTAGATTCGGCAACGGTTGCCAAGGAAAGCCCAAATTCCTCGCGAGAAACTCGAAAATCATGAAAAAGGTTCTTCACGGGGGCAACGCTTTTGAGTGTATTTATCAACCGATCGAGTTCAACGAGGGCTCGTTTTAAAGATAAAATGTTGACGTGTGTCCATATCGGAGCGATTTTCAAGAAAGTAACCCCCTCCTAGTCAAAAGAGCATTTAAATTATGTCGTTGCACTTTTTTTATATGAAAATGATCACTTATCGAAAATAGCTCCTACATAAATACAAGTCAACCCTTTATCTTTAATATGAGCATTTGCTAAGCTCTATCGGTTGAGAAATACGTCCGGAATCGTTGTTCCCGTGAGGCCCTGTAAAATCGCCAGAGTGGTGAACGCCCTTAAGAAATACTATTCCGATAACAGTGAGGGCTTCACTTATTATTTATATATATTCAAAAATAACCAATAAAATACCTAAAGCGGCTTCGGTGTTCTTCATCCTCACTATTACTGTTATCCACGTGCCGATTAGAACTCGACCTATTTTCTGTTGGAGGTGCAGGAGGATTCCGTCGATCGCGAAGCCAATAATCAGAATTGCGTGAATTCCATTCGTTTGTTCCATCTCTCCATCTTGAAATTTCTCTACTATAATAGTCGTTGCCCCACAGATGAAATCCGGTTCGAGGATAGTTTTCAAGGTCTTGAGCCCTTTCCCTTCTAAGTCTGGGATTATAGAATTAAACAGTTAGCATACATCTTATCACGTAAATGCAATGAAAGGTAAAATTCAGTGATTTGATGCATACCTTACGAAAGTGCTGAAAGACTGTTCCATTGGTGGTCGATCCCACTGAGATTGTAGTTGTGGTGCATTGGATATACCAGTAATTAACTTTCTTCCCATGTTATCAAAAGCCACATACCTACAATTCAATTTAGCATTTCATAGATATGTTGTATAAAGCTTTTTTCCTTTGGAAATTAAGGGGGAAGGGTACATTTCAAAAAAGCCCAAGTAGATCGTGCTGCCACGTAACAGCAAGCAGGGGCAACACTTGTGATGGAAGCGCTGTGTTTTGTAAGTCCAGGCACATTGGAAAACACTACACAACAAAAGAACTCGACATTTATAAATTCATCACGCATCACGAAAATGCACGAAATTGATAAATGTCGAGTTCTTTTGTTATGATACAATAGGTATGTTTTCTATTGAATTTCTTAATAACAGAGTCTTTATCTCTCTACGTGAAGTATGACATTTTTATTGAAACCCGATGTCCAATTACTCTAACGCCCGATGTTATTTGAATATGGCTGCTGGACATAAAAATGTCAAAAAATGTGAGTGCACTGTACAACAATGCCGCTTACTAAGTTATAAGTGTTGCTTGCTGTTACGTGGCAGCACGATCAATTTGAGGTTTGTCGAGCAGTGCTATTCTCCCTTAAGATTGCTTGAAATTAACAAAAAGAAAACAAGCAATATAAATTTTAGTTTCGATAAATTGTATTCCTCACACACCTAACTTTTTCCTTATCATTTCTCGTACTAGTAACTGCAAATGGTTCTGAGCGACTCCAGTCCCAAAAGTGAATCTCATTATATGTAGCTATAACGAGTAAACGTTCCGAGGGATGAAAAGCAAGAGATGCTATAACCGTTTGACTCTCAGCATTCCATACTTCACTGCCACCCTGTAAAGAACATATTTTTAATTCATCTTAATAAGAGGGTTAATATTACTCCACTCTTGGGATTCAGTTTATATAGCAACTCACACTAAGATCCCAAACACGAACTTGACCACCTAAACAACCTGAAGCTAGTATGTCACTTGACGATGGATGGAAAGCAATACACCATGGAGTTCGTGGATGACCTGATAAAGTTCTAATATTCTTGCCAGTCATCAAATCTGTTATATAGATGTTATGGTTACCATGGGTAGATGCAACTTTTGTCCTAAAAATTACATCAATATTATTAACTATGTAAATAATATTTATAAAATAAGTAAAATATGCATACCCATCAGGACTAAACACCATTAAAAATGTTGCCCGTGGAACACCAGGTAAATCACATATCTGGAGTAAACAGAAAAAACATCAGTGTTCAATTTTACTAGAAAAATTATGTAAATACATTACAAGGACAAAATTTAATTGTGTAAACGTACAAGTTCCTTATGATCCTTTAGAACAAGGTTCATCTCCGCAATTGGTTCCAATTCTCGAGTACTGCTCTTATGTGTTGTACGCAGGCCGCAATCTCTAAGCATTAAGTTACGCAGAACATTTTGAGACTGGCTACAGTGCACCAAATCCGGTCTTTTTTTAAATTTCCCCATTTAATAGACTTCTGTTTAAAACCTGTAAAAACGAAACACAGTTATTTAGCAACATTTGCTTGATGTTGTATTACAATAAATATATTTGTTAAATATTATATTATATTTTATAAATTAATTATGTTTATTTTCATTATTCACAATGGTCATTATCTTTAATATCTTAAAAGTACTAAAAAACTTGTTAATATTTTACTAAAATATGGGTTTTATAGAACATTGGAAGAAACACTCTGTTCATTTTAATTAATTTTAATTAATAATATCTTCTTATAGAAAGGAACATACAACATTCATTGTATAAAAAACCCGATTTTTTGCTTTCTTTTGGTTTAGTACCTTGTCCACTTCCAGAATACATGCTGTAGGCGTTTACCAAACATTAAATTTTGATTAACATAATTAACTTTTTAATTTAACAGCCTTTATTAAAAGTAAAATTAACAATAAACATCAGTTTTACATAGAAAGATGAAGACACACGGCTATAAGAACTTCATAATTGAATACATCTTTTTTGCGGTTAGTTATTGGTAGGAAGGACACGTCTCAAAGTATACGATTTAAACTTAATGGAAGAATACCAAGAAAATATACTGCTATGTATGCTGAACATAAAAGTAAAGTATTTTAATGTTATTAACCGTACCAAACGATGTACTCTCATCATTGAAGAATACAATTCTTTAATCAACCATGTTAAACAGATCGAAACATTGTTATAAAAAATGTGAACAAAATATATAGAATTTGTGCACGGTGAATGCAATCGTAACAGAGTTAAACAGTGTGGCTTACGACATACAAAATCATCAATCCTGACCCACAAAATTGAATCCTCGTTGAGCCTCGCAATCTTTAATCTTTGTAATTCAGAATTTTGCAATTACCTTGAGACGTCCAGGCGAGCTCAACGTACGTTAGCACAGGGTTAAGGGTGTTTTTAATCACCGATAAATTCCATCGGGACAATCTAACGTTGGAGGCTGCAAAGGAATCTCTAAACGTATTTAACGAGAATTAGGAACGATCGGTAAAGGGATCTCCATCCTTGGCCCGCCTCCTCGACGAATCGAGGAGTCGCATACGACACAACGTAGTCAGATAACAGTCCGAAAGGCAAAATTGCTCACCGTTCTCAATATCCGACGCTGCCAACATTCACGGGTCACGATAAGCTGCTTCACGCCAGACGACCGTAGCTGTGATACCGCATTTCACAGGGTTGGCTCTTAATTCCACGTAATTCGAAGGTCTTTGGAGCGAGTGGTCTTCCGAACCTCACCGAATCAGCCCTGGATCGAGCGCAGGGTAGCACGGCGCAGCTGGGTGCAGCACGTAGCAGCACCACGGCTCATACACGCTCGCAAGGAAGAAGGGGCCGAGGTGTAAACCAAACCGACAGCCACGGTCGGTGATCGGGTTGAGTTTCGCTCGACCGTTGTCAGATGGCGCCACGAGTCCACTGGAAAAGTCCAGCATAATATTTCTTTTTATTAATCTTATTGGATTTTTCCGGCAGAACTTATCGTAGCACCTTATTATTGTATTGCACCTTTGTAACAAAGGAATTCGTTTATAAATTGTAGTAAAGACATTGTTTGGTCAATCCTGTGCTCCGTTGGTTGGATAGGATAGTATCGATCTCAACTACCACAGTGTAGAACATTCCCCACTACTGTGGGGCTAACAAGGGAAGCTCCCCAACTCGGAAGTTCAAAAAATTTTGAAATTTGGGGGACATTTAGAGTGTCTAGGTGAGTTACAAACCATTTTTTTTTTCCCGGCGGAAAATCATTTTGAAGAGGAGAAATCATCCCCTGAATATTATTCGATTTTCAGTTTTCTCGTAAACGATGAGAGATACGACAAAACGTTTCAAATTAAAGAGAATGATTATAACATGTATATTCACAGGATATTTTTGTCATGTATAACATAGATGATGTAAGTTTTCTATATTGTCCTAATTTGTAAGTCCACTATAAATATATTATACTTCATATGTGCCCGATAATGCATCATAATTTTCATAGTGGTTAAAAGTCATGATCTATGATCACCAGATAAGAAGAAAGTAAATAAAAAGTGAGAGTATGGACGAAACGAACAGGTTTATTAAGTTGGAATTTAGATATAAACATTATGTATAAAAAATGTTAGGTTACATGAGGTCTTTTTATTTTTCTAAATGTATTATCAACGATGTTGATTAACCTTTGGTAGATGTTTACCAGAGCTATTAAATATTTTGTATGCATCGAGAAATAAGTAGATATTTATGAATCAAAAGTGGATATATAATTTTTAGCTACAAGCGACATAGATATTTATATATGTCGTTTAGATATCTATAACATATATTATGTAGTCATGTTCATAAAATAGATCTATATATTTACTAAAGACATTTATTTTGCGTGGATGATAGGCGATATACGTTTGCTATACTCATTGATCTCATTTAGACGTATAATATACAGATATTTTACTTCGTGCGGTGCCTGGGTGATAACAAATCCAGAGTTTCTAATCACAATTCGAACTACAAGTAATGAAATATTAATTTATCAGATCGGTGTATAGTTAACGTTTCATTTCACGATAAATAAAAAATAAAGTGTAATATTAACCCTTTGTACTCCTAAGGTCAGCTGTACTGCCTAGGCCCTGCCCTGTACCGCGTATAGCCAAGTATTGTTTGGAGTGCAACTGCAAAGGGTTAACAACGCATCAACTCACTTCTCCTTTACGTGACAGTGAAGGCGCGTTTCTTCAGACGGAAGTTATATACCGTTTTTATAAGTCCGTAAGGTCGATACACTACTGCCGATCAGATCAGACCAGATCAAACCAGATCATTTCCAATAGAAACAAACGTATTACTTCTTATGGATGTAGCTACACTGCACCGAATCTGATCTGATCTAATTCGACGGACCTAGTGTAGCCACGTTCATAATAAGTAATACGTTTCTTTCTGTTGGAACTAACCTGATACGGTCTGGTCTCGTTTGGTCTGATCTAATCGGCTGCAGTGTAGCCACAGATTAAGTCAACTAGGTGCTTATATTTGTTCAATTGTGATGAGCACTTATTAACGTCGAGCTTATATTCCGTCGATAAATCAAATGTGAGGTGAAGTAAAGGGATCGAAGAAGAGTCCGAATATTTGCGTCCTCGACGACTGTCTGGCGAATCGCGACTGTACCTTTAATATCTATGAAGTTAAATAAGCCATCTCTTTTTAGCAGAGTGGATGCTAGTGCGGCAGTCCCCACTTCGCCGCTCTGCGCATCCTATATTTATGTTTGCTACGCATCGCTAGTACGAGAGCAGGAGCTATCATCGCGGCCCGCCTCGATTCGGCTCGGCTCGGCTCAACTCGGCACGGCTCGGCTCGGCACGGCTCGGCTCGACTCGGCTCGGCGCGGCGCGGCGCGTCTGGCTGGCGGCCGGCCAAAATATCGATCTAAACCACTGTCGGTCGTCCGTGCGTTTGTCTGCGTTGCACTTCGACCGACCCTCTTCTGGAATCAAGGAATTTTCTCATCCCCACATTTACATAGGACTACGCGAGATAGCCGTTCCAATCAGATCTTGAATCTTCAATACCGCTCGAGTAGTTCCATTACCAAGTTTGACCACTTTCACAAAGTAGCGGTGGTTCTCTGGTTCGTTGACTGAAAAAAGAACGCAAATGGACCACAAGCAATGTGGCGTCAACGAGAGTATCGTCATTGTACGCACCACGTACAAGAGAAATAATAATGCATTCAGAATTTTCACAACTCGTATCGAGTGACGCTACCCAAGCAACAATTGCGTCACGGCGTAACCATGGTCCAATATAGTACATTATTGACCAAAGTTAGGTAACCGACCTCGGCATAGAAATAGAATGATAACAGAGATTTCAGTAAGGGTGGATTTATTTGCTATAATTGGACCACAATCATTGTTCAAGCTCGGACAACAGACGGAAATCCTGGAGACCGAATCGTTTGCAGATCTTGCACCATGACTGTCCTCGGAGACTGGATCAAGCATGGGATGATAACAGAGTTTTTACTAAGGCCGATAATTACTACTGATCCAGCATTGGCTATAATAAATCTAAAGATTAAAAACAATACTAGAATTGCGTTGTTAATAATTGTTTTTACTGAGTTTAAGACGTCTATCTATCCTTTCTACACAAGCCATCCTATGAAATTCATGTATTTAGTAAACGAAGAATTCTTTTGTTTTTTCTTTCTCAACAACGGATTTGAACACCCGGAACCTCTTGCTTGACAGTTGAATACGTTGACCATGCAGCTATTTAGAACAATGTACTCACACCGGAAATAATTCAGGTTTGTAAATTACGTAAGACTGTCGTCTCAAATATCGTCTTTTGATTGCCAAGGTGTTGTCATATTTAACTTACAGTGCTTTCTGTAAGTACGTAGTGTTCTCCGCGACATTATAATTGTGGGTTTCAAATATTATTCCAAATTGTTACGATTTCAAATCGGACAACCAATAGTTGAATAGGTATAGGTACCACCAATCAAAGTCGGGTAATTTGAACAAATTGTTGAATGTTAGCTCGATTTTTTTTTAACCATTCAAGCTTTCATTTCTTTTTCTCTAAAATTTAAGATATCATATTTATATTGTTCCTAAAATATAAGATATTCGGCAGTGTCTTGCTCAAGTTCAAGCACGCGGGAAACGATTTTCTTATCACTGGACTTTACGCATTTTTTGCACAAATAAATATATTTAACTCGAAACTGTATCAAGTGTTTTGGTATCGAAATTAAATACAGTTTAGTGCGACGGATGTTGAAAAAGAGGGCTCACTTTCCAGTCCCGAGGTGTTGTAAGACTTCCAAGAAGAGCAACCAAGCTTATATTATAATGACAGCTTTATTTCTTTATAGAAAAACGGATGTTAATAAATTTCTTTGCGGAGATAATTCGTGGGAGGGTAGGTACCATTTTTTGCACAATGCGTAACTCATTGTTTCGGGGTGGAAAGCCAAGAGTACTTAAATAGATGTCGATCAATCAATCTGCCATGTAAAAAATGCAGGATGCGTACGATGTTACGTATCACTCGTTCCGCGTGGCAGGGAAAAATCGCGCCGTGTTTTTTAACCCTTAGGCGAAGAGTGCTGTAGTCAGCCACTAAAGGGGTTAGACACTTCTTAAAGCTGTGACGTTATCAAAAATGCACACTCTACGTGAGCGTAAACGTACGTAACACATACCAACGGCAAAATATTCTCACCCGATGCAAGTATCGCGTTGAGGTTAAAAAAAAGTGACAAACAATTCGGTGTGTCTTAGTTATACATCAATTTGTACATGCAAATAAGATTAAACCAATTTTAGTTTATTTATATAAATTTACAGTATTTTTAAAGATTCTCGAATTTAGCATATCAAATTGTATTGATATACCACGGGAGGGTAGCAAGAAAAATGCTGAAAATTGTGGTGAATAGGATTATCTCCGGGCCTCATATGATTGTTTAAGGAGTAAATAGCTGCAAATGTTGTATCTGCGTTCCCAATGGAAGTATCGACACGTAGCGCACGTTTTCTTGTCTTACGTGACAGCGAACGAGAGCACAAGTACTTAGATAAATGTTGAACATTCCACGCTTAACAGTTCGAAGAAAGAAAAGACTAACGTCGATTGGTAACGATCGTTATATGTTCACTTCGCGTGGCTGATAAAAATCACAAGGTGCTTCCGACTCTTGTACATTTTCAAAAAGAAGGAGAATATGAGTCTGTGCCGTGTCATGGAAGGGTGAGTTTTTCATCCGGCTGCAGACATGCGTGGATAAGAATCAGCATTGGCTGTTCGCAGCGTCCCGAAGAGTGAAGAGCCGCACTTTTAGAGAAACGAGAGTTGAAGCAAGTAGGGACCAGCGAGTGGGAGTCAACCCCTTTTGTGAGCTACCCCTGTATTACCTGCGTTCTTTGTTCTTTCTGAAGTACACCAGGCCGTCGTCTTTTAATAATGTTGTGTTGATCAAAGGCGGGATACAGATAATTAAATATTAGTTATCCGAAGGACAAAACGGGGGTGGGTGGCGTGACCAACGTTTCTTACGTCATACCGAAAGGGTAACCGTATTTTCAAGTAGTGAAATTGGAATTCCGATATCACTGGGAAAAAGTCGCAGAAACAATTGCAATTATAAACCGATATTCGAATAAGAGATTCTCAATCGGGGGAAATCTTTACAGAATATAAAATAAAGTCATCAATAGGTATATATCGAATATGTGAGTAAAATAATGTACATTTGTTTACATCAAAAATTTGGCACGTCCAAGTGAGTTAACCAATCGGCATTGTAGGAAGCCCTCCTTCACTTTTTTCTTGGATTTTTTCCGAAGAAAACTCAATCATTTCCAGAATTCCCAACATTACTCCTCTCACACGATTCTTTGATTTGAGAATCTCAATTTTATTAACCTCCACCTCTACAATAGAGGCATGGCGGATGCTACCATCGTCAACATTGTGATACTCGAAGAGCGTCACTTGGTATACAAATCTCAATAAGAGAACTCGGCATACAAATATCAACAAAAATCACACGGTCTTTAAGAGCAGCTTTGGTCAGGTCTTCACATTCAAACTTCACCAAGTCAATTTCTAACAAAACCACACTATGTTTAAGAGCAGCTTCACTCAGGTTTTCACAATAAAAAAGAAACAACCATACAAGATTAAGTTGGCGTACGGTCATCGTGTTATCGTAGTGTTCGCGAATTTAATTGCAAATCGCGAGGTCTCAGATTTATGTGTACGGTTTAAAGAAACTACACCAATACTTGCATTTGGATACTCTTTGGTTAAACTATTACGTGGATCGGACAACTGTACATATAACTTTATCTGCTTCGATCACATTTTGATTTTATTTTCTGTCTATCGATTCAACATGAACTCTCTTACAACATTTTCTGTGTACTCTCCAAGGCTAAATAAACAATGATGAAGGTGTAAATCCTTTAGTACGTGCGTCGTGAGAATTTTCAACGATTCCTTTAGATTGTCGCAGCGACATAACCGTTGACGTGGAAGGAAAGAAATGAGGTAGGTTATTCGACCAGAGAACATCTCCGTCTGGTAGATTTTATAGGTTGGAACGCCTTAAAGGCGATTTCGGGGGATAGAAGTGCAGAATTTCGATAGGGAAATCATAAAACCTGAGACATTTTTCACTTGAGTTTGGATTCTGAATTATGTAATTTTCATAACAATTCCGGATTGTTTTTAATTTCCGTACAGCAAACACTCTCTATGGTTTGCACTGTTGTGACTTCTCAATGCAAGCAATAATGTTGCAGTATAGGAATATTTTACTAGCATTCAAGCAAACAATGGTTAAGGACACTTTCCTTGACGAGAAAAAATAATGATATATACTCATATGTAATTCTATATAATCAAGATATAATCGTATCTGATTAAGTATGGATCGTATATTGTTTATACATGACCAAATGTAGTATCATGTGCAATCATTTATAGATACCTATCTGAGAAAAAAAATTATATATAATCAAATATAATTCTATACAATCATGTACGCATTCGTATATGGTTATTTAGAATTGCATATGACGAAGATATAATAGTGTCAGATCAGGTATGGAACGTAACTATTAAAAAATAACCTAATTATTAAGAAATTAATTCAGTCTTAGTACATGTTGAACAAATATTAAATTAAATACTGAATAAATGATAAATGAAAGTAATGATCGGTTCAACAAATTTGACATTTCCGAAAATGCTCACGATAGACTCGGAAGAGGCCCTTTAATTTTTGTTAAATCATGTCTAGCTCATCAACAATGGTAATTTATGTTGCAAATAAACTCTATTGATGTCAGTACTTAAGACGATGGTGTATGCGCATCCCACAGACACATACATAGAAGATTTACATGTATGAACACAGGCATGCTAACGTGGTGGAGGCATTGCAGGTAAATTGTTAAATCTAGCGTGTTTATCGTGATTTGGGTGTAGATAGATAGAGGAAGCGATACGGGGATTGCTCGTGTCTGCAGCTGATCGAGTTTATTTTCGAACGAAATCGATCAGACCACGCTTATGGAATACTTCTGGTAAAAGTACAATATTTACAAGGATATATATACGAAAAATATTTCCGCTTGTTCAAAATATTTAACTTACTGGCATTATGTATTTTGTTGCGGATGTTCGAAGGAAAGTCTGAACGCGGGTTGCACTGGATGTGAGAGCCAAATTTTAAGACTGGTTAATTCTCGACGAAATCTCGAGTCAGGTCGGTTTTATGAGTTCGGGCACATGACTTGAATTCGTAACAGAAATAGTTTATTAAAAATAACGAGTAAGTCCGAGAACAATTGTAAAATATGACACTATGAACGGCGGCGGTCGCACGGTACAAATTAGCGGGTGACTATTTGGAGTCGCGGTGAGACTTGATTGTCTCTAAGAGCAGATGTCCGTCTCTCGCGGTGGAAGATTTGGTTCTGCTCTTGCCCAGAGGAACTTTGGTCCAGAGCGCTTTCGGATGCTGTCCTCTAGGGCGGAGTTTTTTACAAAGCGTTTACTGATAGGCGTAGAGAAATTAAAGTGGGATCAATAATCGAAAGTGATTGGTTAATGAGGACTGAGAACGGGAAAAGTTAATGTTGTTTAAGAAGGCTTAGGTGGGGAATAACAAAAATGGGCTATAGGACTAGAAGTAAACGGATCATGGGCTAAAGGACCGCGATAGTAGATAAGAGAGAGAAGCGCTAGAGTTTCTGTTTAGACGTCAATTTAAATTATGAGCATAATACGTGACTGAATCAATTCTGCTATATGACATGAGAGACACGAGAAAGAATAAATGGAACTTGAAATACGGAAGAAATAGAACACCCAGATCGTTGCAGAGAGCATTCCAAATAATTCTAGCGTTATAATTATTAAATTATGGATTAGTCCTAACATATTTTGATAAAATTATCACTGATCTAAAATATAACGTTTAGTTGATATCCTTTTAAAAGAAATTAAAAAATTTCCTATCGAGAATTATTTTAAATATTAGCTGTATGTCGTGATTAGTGCTGATCAAATGGTGGAGTCGATTATCATCGTTATCATTCAACCGTCGGTGTGGTTGAGTTTAAAGGCAGAAACGACGAGTAATTGGCAAGAGAATTCATTGCGATTAAAGGTATGAGTTGCATGACCTTATCTCATGGCCCTGCAACCGACTCTCTTGATTCAATTTGTGAATAATGGAACGCGCCGCCGAGTCGTGCTTCACCGTCAGCGATGACGCGATCCAGTTTCTATTCATCAGTTGTAATCATTTCAGTCGATGGAACGAACAGTAGTTTTAGGTTACATTTGCATGCGCAGATACGTGAGTAGGTACACTCGCAGGAAGGGAAGAGATTCCGTAGTCTGGCATGGGCGGGAGACTGGAGTTTCAACAGCGACGGGCTCGTGCAATGGCATTCATTTGCGGCTACCATCGTGCTATCGGATCTCCTTCTTTGAGAAATCGATTACATCAAATGAATCGTCTACTTCGAGGAGAAAGCCTGGAATACCGAAGAAACCGCGCAATTCATGAGCATTCTCCTAGGCCGAGTGGCTCTCAATTGGCTGAGTTTGTGGAACGATAGGGCTTTAGTGAAGATTTCAAAGAACTCGACTTAGGAAGCTCCAAAGACTCTGAAAGTACCATTGTGAAATAAAATACGCTTAGAAATAAATGAATTTCATCCGTGGTAGTCTGTTTGCACTTAAGTCGTATTTTGATTATAGTTATAGATTTTATAGTACCAATAACCTTTCAGATCTCTTCTCGTGATTCGGTATGTTGATCCTGGGACTGACGAGTACTTTTACGCCTGAACTTTGTGACTGGTTGAAGACTCAGAAGACGAAGGTAACTCAACTTGCGACGTCTCAAGACTTCTTCTTCACTGGCTTTGTTTAACAGTAATGGTCCAAAATTCGGCATCAAAAATGCTCCCAGTGGAGCAAGAAATATTATTGAGGTTGTCGACAATCGCACCAAATCGGTCACTAGTTCCTTTAGGTTCTCATCAGCGTCCTCTTGCTCAATCTCGTATGCCATTGGAGCAAGAGCTGCCTAAACATTTACTCGTTTATTTCTTTAACCAGGAATAGTGAAGTTAAATTCTCTCGGTCTTGGTGAAGTTAAATTAAAGAAATTATTTAAAAATATTTCACTAAATAATTCCACTGAGAGAAAAATCCCAGGGCAAGGAATTAGTTAGAATACTGATTGTTCAACATTAATATCACGTTAAAAAACAATCAACAATTTAATAAAATATACAACTCAATATGAACGTCTCTAGAGTGCATTGACAAATCACTCATTTAATCGGACAAAGTTCCATTGACTCAGACTTGAAGAGCATATACATTATGCGCTTACCAACAACGAATAAAAGTAAAACATAATGAAAATCCAGCCGGATTTTAAGGTAATAATGTTAGATGTGTTTTGTCAAAAAATATCACTTGTCTATTTGAGATAATACGAACAGAAAGACGAAAATGAAAGTACCTGCAGAGACCCCTTTGGCAACCAGGCCAGAGCAATGAACAGGCGTTCTTTTAGCGTAAAAGCTCGTTGAGGGGTTTTAAACGCGGACAGTGCAGCAAGAATACTCCGAGTCTATAAATTGGGACGACAGAAATCTTTATAAATAGAGATTATTTAATCATTACAATAGGATCTACTGTAATAAATTCTTTTGTAAAACATAAGTTTCTTATGTATCAACTTATAAGTTCTGAAGCTAATAATAACTATCCGGTGTTAACTTTCAAGAGATAGTGCATTTATCTTTTAAATTTGTAAAATTACAGTACTTCCAATTCCGTGTAACGCAGAAAACCTTTATATTGAATGTTATACAATATGATTGTATATCTTTATGATAATAAAACTCACTATTGCTCCAACGAATACGATTAAAGTATAGAGGCCAAATCTTTTCAGATGCCAATTATGTAGATCTATTTCGGCTCCAACCAGTGAAACAAGGACTGGATGTAGGAAGTGCCAAAGAAAGTATCCAACTTTACGTACTGGCAAGGCCTGCGCATAAATCAATCTATATTAGGGGGCTATTAGGATTACACATCTCAACTGATTATTCCAATATCTAATCTGTGCTAATTAATCACGCCTAGTAAACATATTTAAATAATTAATGCAGTAACCAGAAGCAGCCATTAAATTATTTAGCCAGTTTCAGGAGATAAAATGTGACAGAGCATATAATAGCGAACTTTCGCCACGTTCGATAGGCAGTTCAAGTCGGACTTTTGGTGAAGGGAGGATAAAAAATACTTTATGTATCTCGGGAGTTCAGTAGGCGATCACGACTCGCGTGTTGCCCTCGTTTTGCTTGTACGGCAAACTCACCCTCGTGCGTAAATGCCTTCTTTCCTCCCTCGTTACGTAATGTACTATAATATGTTTTCTACGTAATATTGTTAGAGATACTTTTTTCGGTAACACTAGCAGTAATGTTAAGCAATTCAAATAGTATATTGTGTGTCAAAGACGTAAAGAGGATCAAAATGATCTGTCATCTGTGATACACACAATACTTTTTGTCCATCTAACTTTGAAAACAACTTCACAGCGTACTTCACCCCCGATGAAGCGGGCGTAACATTTTTATTCGCCCGTTTGCTCAACCGGTCTGAACATGACCGCTTTACATCAGTTAAGAATATTGTTAACAGGGTATGACAGGAGGCGAAACCCAAGGTGGTCAAAATCTAGAAATAATCAATATGCAGGAGTTCCCTCACCCTGCCTTCATTGCTAAACACAATAGGAGGAAGAGAAGCATTAGACAAACTTCAAATGCATTATGGAATTAGTGACAGAAATGAAAAAGAAACAGGTAACCAAGCAAACAGGTACCGTTCATAACGGCGGGAAGAAAAGAAGTACCCCCGACCGACATCCATACTTTGGATCAACAATATGGCGTCGGAGAAGACGGAAAGTCTCCATTTGCGCCGGCCAATAATGAGCGGAGCTTCAGAAACCGCGTCTTTATGGGGCGGCGCATAACTCGCAGGCGATTAAAAAAGTTAGCCAGCGGAAGTTCCGGGACGGCGACCGCCTCGCGAGAACCTTAGGTAGCCACGAGGAGGAAATACGAGGTGCAAACGGGCGACGTGGTTCACGGTCCAGAGAAATGGGTCCTTTTCGGAGATTAATCCAATTAACCCTTATCTAGATTTTTATACATGATTCTCCCTAGGTTGTCGTTGCAAGGTTGTAGTCCGTCTTGTCACCTCACACGTGCCATACAATCGCAGCGACAAAGTACTGTTGTCACGTGAGAGGTGACCTACGACCGTTAAGGGTTAATTGGGCGAAATTGAGGCTCCCTCCTCGGCGGGCACGCAGAGGGTTGCGACATCGTTCACCGGCGACGCACTTCCGGCCCGAGATCCGGCGCAAATCCTGAGAAAGTGGAAATAAAGCGGGAGCTCGACGAGATCCGCGCGGATTTCGCGCAAAGGGTAATTAGGCAGTCGGCTGATTGCCAGTCAAGTGCGCCGGTGAATTTTTCCTCTTATCGGCCAGTCCGCTTCACCTAGTCGTTCGCGGGCACCCCGATAACGGACCGATCGATAGATCCGATAGCGATGTCTGCCCGCTCGACGGCCGGAGCGCGACCAATGAAAATTCTTTTGTCGATCCCCCGTCTAGCGGCGGCCCGCTGCTTCGGAGACAGGAGAGCTCTCCAGTCTTGGGAATCGGAAGCGGGAATTAATTGGGTGCTCACATCGAACGGGACCGTCAGGTAGCGCCAGCCGGTCGTCGCGATGAACGAAAGAATCACCGTCGTGAGAAACCCGGCCCCGGTCATCCCCATCTTCGAAGCCGCGCTCGTGCACATCAGAGAAGCTGCCACCAGACAGAAGATACGGTATAGCATCGAGTGTTTCTGGAACCCACGAGAACATGGGTGAACGTCTCGACTCTATGCTTGGATCGGCTACTCCTCGCCAAACTTTTCTGATGTACAATCCTGGAGATAGGTCGTATTGTTATAAATATCTGTTAATAATAAAATTTGAAACCGTGTTGTGCACAATGGGATGATTTGCAGACAAATATTTAGTGCTGCAGAAATGTAGTCAAGAGAGAACTTTTCGTTGTAATTTAATAAATAGCAGCTTGCCACCTGTATCGTACGTAATTTAAGTAAAATTGTGACTAAGTAAACTTTTTCCGATGCGTTCTTTTCCTCGTGACCCAAATACTTACACCGGAGGAGCAAGAAAATGCAGAATACGTACACTTTTGCGGTGGGGAAAGAATACGAACAAAGTACCCAAGAGGGTCCCCACGATGATGCTGAGGAGAAGGTCCCGAAGTCCTCCGGGAATGTACGACCACCATTCCGTTCTACGTTTATCTGAAAAGTTTAAATTTGCTGGCTACATGCTTGGATCATTTCTGTGTCTTTCAAAGCTTAACTTAACCATGTCGGGGGGAAATCAATTTTAACGGGTGGAATTTCTCGAATCTGACGTTCTGGAGTTTGGTTCCTTCCGTGGTTCGATCGGGCCACACCTCATCTCAAAGTTCGTATCCTTGTTACTCTTTGATTTTTATACTATCCGTAGGCACAAGATCAACTGCTTGAATTGGTTGACACAAGCATTACTCGGCACAGAAGCTCACAAACAAATGAAGAAAAATGGAATTTTAGAGCAATTGGAAGCCGAGGTAATACTTCATGGAATCGGATTATTACTTTTAGTAGGTTAATAATAAGTTCTAAGAATTAACTGAATCATATAGAAACGTACTCGGGAGACTTATTTAACCTTTGCGACACATAGTCTTGGATGTTCATTATCGATCTGTTCTTCCTTGCACGTGAACGTGTCAAGCAGCTTATTCAAATTTATAAATATCTACTTCAGGTACACAATAAATATAATTCAACAATGATTTAAATTTTATTCGAGTGCTAGACTACTAAAATTATTAATTAATGTATCTTTGATGAACCTTCTGAAATAAAACCCTACATTTATGTAGGTATATTTGAGTATTTCCAAATTCTCATAAAAATCAAAATTTATTTAACAACTAGGAATCATTATACCCGAATAAAATTAATATCTTTTGCCAGCTTATTTCACTTTAACTTTAAACATTTTCGGGACATTGAATGGTAAAATTAATTTAATGTGGTATCTACAAACGAAATTGTGGCGTACCTCCGTTCATGACAAATGAGAAGAAAATCGGGAACAGGGAGGTAATATGGACGTTATCAATGGTAGAGGCCGTGCAAAGAAATGTGGCCATATCCTTATCCTCTCCATATCCTACTTCAGCGAGTCCAAGCACAGTGTTCACCGTTAGCACTGGAGACATGCAAGCCAAGATCGTCCTAATAATAAGGACGAATAAACAATAAGTTGATTACATGATCCAAGGAAATCGGGGAATGAAAATTATTTTTAGATCAGATTCATTACTAAATGTTAAAAACGTGATCATTTTTGGCTACTAACCCGGATAGAAAAGCCCAGTTCCATGGAAATGAAAGTATAAGCTTGCTGAGGATACTGGTGAGGATCAATTCGATCGTGCATGGAATCAGAGCCAGGGTCAAGATGGAAAAAGAATGGTCTCGGATGGTCGAAGTTGTAATTTGAAGCCCGGCTCGCATCATGATAAAAGTAATGCAGAACGTACGTATCTTGCCGGTAAGACGGAAACTGACGTCTTCGTTAAAATTGCGCCAAATGGTGTTACGTACAATAATACCGGCCACCAGCATTCCGAATACAGGGGGTACATTTAAAAACGGGATGTAACTGAGTGACCAACCGAGGACGTAGCCGAAGATGAACAGCGCGAAAAGTCCGAAAACGGAACCTCCCGGAAACATGGATTCCCCGATGATAAAGTACAGCGTAGCCCAAGACATGAAGATTAGGATCGTGCTCGTCGTCAACCAGAACACGGTGGACCATGTGACGAGATGACAACATGGGAAAACGGGCTGGGTTACTATCAGTTCACGAAGAATCGGTACGCAGCATGATACTTTACGACAGCAGGTATCATCTTCGTCCTCTTCCAACCTGCGGTTAATTTATATTACATTAATAGATTCATTGGTATCGTTTAGTTCATATTCTATCATTATGTTGATAAAGGAAATAGTTTTAATTATTAAATTGTTAGATTAATTGTGTACTGTCATTGGTTGTCAAATTGTCACAAACAGGGAAAGGTTAGGAAGATGTTAAGACATTGAGCCAGTATTAGAACTTAGTAAAACTATATAAATGTATAATCATTGATATCGCTAAAAGTAGTACTTTTCAGATAGGATGGAAGGATTATGAACTTCTTCCGGGTCAGCTCCTGAAGTCGTTGCGCCATCATTGGGGTTGGTTATCATTGGGAATGTCTGAAGATATCCCGAAGAATGTTATAATTGCTCTTCGCGCAAAAAAGAGATGCGCGATTACGACACTTCGTATTTGTTTCTTCGCATTTATGGCGCGGCTCCGTTTCACTCTACGCATTTATGAATCATAAATTATTACAAGAAGTTGTTGAATAACGTGCTCGTAACAGACTCGTAACAGATTTGCAATGTGCTCATAACACGTGGATCATGTTTGTATGTTCACTTACGAGCCTTGTAAAGGTCTAAAATTGTAACTAGAAATTTATGTATATCTTCGTTAATCATTATTAATAAAGTTTTCCTTTATTTATTAAACAACCGAACACCGAACTTAAGTGCTCAGACAACTTCCTCCATTGGGAAATGAGAATAAATTTCCAATACTAGAATCATCGGGGTCGCTTGAAGGAGGAAATTCAAAGGATATAATCACGAAGAAGAGTATCACATCTTCGTTGATCATTATTAATAAAGTTTACCATTATTTATTAAACAATCGAACAACGAATTTAGGTGCTCACTCAACTATCTCCATTGGGAAATGAGAATAAATTTCCAATACTAGAATCATCGGGGTCGCTTGAAGGCGGAAATTCAAAGGATATAATCACGAAGAGCAGAGATGGTGGAAGAAGAATAAAAGAGGAAGCGTTCGCTTAACCGCATAAGCAACGAACCGTTCGAGTTTCAAAGGATTCCACGGATATTGAATAATTCCTGGTACGCGTCGTCTTATGAAATATTTCCTGATAGCGCATAGCTGTTCGCCCAGTCACCTTTTCCCAATATTGATCTTCCGTGTTCGAGTATTAGTTGCTTTGAATTTTGAGAAGATTTACCTTCACGATATTTTGAATTATGCAGGCAAATCCCGGCATGGACGTATTATTTCATAGCACCACATTCTTGAAACTAATTCCGGAAAGTTGTTTGAATTATGAGAGAATTCCATGTCGATGATGCGTGAAATTTCTTTTTACCGATTGAGTGCCCGTTGAAAAAAGTAAAATTGAATCTATAACATGCAAAAATGAATAAAGACTTTAAAAAGGACCATTAGGCAGCATTACTAATTCACGAATTTAGTAAAAATATAATTTTGCGAGTACCAAGGGTATTATTCTAATTATAGCGAATAGAAGAGAAAAGTATTATATAACATGTTAATAGTTTAAGGTAAAAATAAAGGCATAATTAGTTTGAACGGAATAACCATAAGCAGTTTGTATGATTAGGGTACAGTCGGGTAAATTGTCCCGGGTTTACAGCAATGTCAATACAGTAATGTTTTTGGCAAAGCATTTTAATAAACAAATTCATAGTTCATTTATCTGTGAAATCTGCATGCAAAGTATACATACAAAAGTAAATAAATACTATTTAACACAGTAGATATTCAAATAAAATATTTCTTACAACGGTACGATTTAAATACTGTAGCATGTAAAAAGTATGTAAATATACCATCAGGGGGGTAAATCGTACCTCTCTATTATAATATGGTCGGTTAGTTTATACCACTAATGAGAAACGGAATCAAAGCAAAACATTGAATGTATCAGCAATATCCGAGAAAGAAAATTGATTACATAAATCAGATTTTATTGCAAAAAAAAACTCATCCGTAGAATTCAGCAGATCAAGAAACTCGGTACAGTGTTGAGCCAAATACATTTTTGAGCAAGAAACTCGTAGCGTTGATAATGCGAAAAGTGCGCCATATACGTTGAGTTCGGGCGAGACGCTTCAGAGTTATATACAGGAAGGATTGATATTTTAGGAGTGGAGGAAATAGAAACATAATTTCATCATTTCTATAGAAAAAGATATGAACGTTTGACCAACTAACAAAATAAAAATGAACAAGCAAAAATTCAGGAATTTTTAAATATTTACCCGACTCCGATCGCTCATACCTTCGTGAAGGTCACTGCAGTTAAGTGACTACATTTTATTGCCAAAGTCACAATTATAGCATGATATCCCTTTTGCTAAAATATTTTTGGGCAAATGTCGAAAAACTATTCGCTACTAAAAATTGTACTCGATCTCCCTTACCTAGTCACTAATTTCTTCGGCACTTTCAAGAGGTTCCGAGACTCCGGACCACTATTTATCCAGGAGCTTGGCTAGCGGAGGAGCTAGCATGCATACTTACCGGACCTGAAAGCAGTCAATATTGTCTGGGCTTTCTGGGATAGGTGTGTGCCCAGCGCAGCGGTTCGAAGCCCTTTCACGCCCACGCATACGCGTGGCAAGTTTACGCATCTCTATATGTATGCAGCCATATGCATACCCCTGAGCTCGCACGCGAGTAAATGCACTCACACGCAAGTACGCAAATACTTTGACGCAGACGGATTTGCGAATTGGCGTAGAGAGCTTAAGGTGATACGTAAGTCACAATTATATACATACCAAATGATACATACAATATATATACATATCAAAAAGTCCAAATATTTATAAAACTTTTCTCCAAACTGGGTGCACCAAATCATCTAAAATTTTAACACGTTATTGTGGGGGCTTTAAGGAAGAACGCGAAGAATTTACTTTTTTAGCCGAAAAAAAAGTATATTTTTTAGTTCTTGTCCGAGATAAATACAACATTTTTTTCGAAAAAAGAAATTTCACGAGCAGCGAGTTTTTCCTTAGGGTCTCCATAATCACGTGTTAAAGGTTCAGATAATTCCGTGCACCCAGTTTGGAGAAAAATTTTATAAATATTTTGACTTTTTTTCATGTGTATATCACACTTTCATATCACCTTAAGCGTGGTCTGCCGAAGGAACGACGTCAAGACTCTCGGAAAGCGTCTTCGACTGCTTTGCATCTCTTACTTGGCTTCGCATCGTGGCAGCCACTGCATCACGGCACCGTGCATCGGACGGAAGTCGTCCCGCTTACGATTCTACATGTACATACATAAAATCCGGACGGACCATGTACCGAGGATTGCATCAAGAATGTCCACGACGGAGATATAGTGAATACGCTGCAAACGTTGCGTTAAAATAACCTATGAAAATATCATTCTTTGTGTGACAAAATATATTATGGTTATTCGTGGAAACTGTTATAATACAACGGAAGGAATTAAATAACACATATGGTAACCCTGCAGTTTCCAATATCATTTTTAGATTTAAAAGTACCTCGCATTGTTCGGATAATGTCCTCGAGTTATAAATCCGAAGCAATTCATTTGCTCATTTTTAAATATTCCTGCAATCAAGTATGGCCGATTATCTTGTCCACGTGTACATCGTGTTCTGCACATTTTCGCATTTTCGATTTTTCAGCGATACAATGACCATTGTACGTGGATTAGACAGATAGACTTTGGGTCCTCCGGCCCTTTTTATTATTTTAAGATATTACAGGCGCTTGGGTCTTCCGGCCCTTTTTATTGTTTTCGAGGCCCTTTTTATTGGAGTGGACCAGACCGACCGCGGCGCGTCTACATGGTCAAAGCTCGTGCACGCGAAGAGGAAGACCCGGAACACCGGTGGCATTGTGGGACCAGGGCGGATGGGAGTCCCACCCTGGCGCCAGAGCTCCGTCGAGTGGCTGGAGCAGGGCCCGCGGTCGGTAAGGGGACCTTGTGATCCCTCCTGAGGAACAATTAATTTAATAAACCGATTCATTTACCGTTTTGGTGGAAACTTGTATCGGTGGTTTCAATGATTGGGCCGACCTTGGCCCCTGGTTATACGAAGGATATTACCGAAGTTGTGCCATTATTGTATGTTCAACATTGATAGGCAATATTGACCCATACTTGTGCTATAGCTTAAGTCTTTGCGGAATCTCGGCGAATATTGCCTAGGTACTCATAGCGGTCGTTATTGCAGCAGATACGGTATCGATTAGTCTATTGTTATATCTGTAAAATTAAATGACGATGAATCAAGACAGAGTTACCGCGTCAATTGTTCATAATTTAATCGGCCAGCAATCGCACAGAGAATTGGGGAGGTTAGGTTCCTGCGCGTGGTAATGGCGCCACCACCCACTTTTGCCCCCGTGGGGCACTTCCCCACAAACCTGCAACGTTTTCACCCCTACAACCCCTCACTGCTGTCGGTTCTCCTTCTAATACTCAGTTTGCGAGCGGCGCTCGCCGTGATCGCGTTGGGTTTTCGATTCGCCGAGAATTTGTTCTTCCCCCCCGCGATTCGTACATATGAAGAATCTTGATTACCCTTGTTAATGCCCTGTCCTAAAGAAGTTCCCGTTTAGCCAAACCTCGCACCCTCTTTTTAAATCCCGCTTATTTATCGCTCCAAGAGTCTACCCCCCCTCCCTCCGCCGATAAATGATCCAATTCTATTCTGATTTTCATTTATGAGTTTACTAGTGCGGGGCATCAGCAATTCATTGGACTAACGCTGCTCCTGGTCAGATGCAAGATGCTGTACAGGTAATCATTCATCTTAACAACATTGTATTAATTTCTCTACGCACAACAAAATATATTATTTGTTATGTTAATTCTATTTCAGAAATGTTTCACTTTTATTGACGTGAATTTGCTTTATTGGTATATTTAATGACAGATTTAAATGAAAAGAAAAAAAAAGATCAATTCTTGTTTCGAAATGGAGAAACATGAAAAATATCATTTTAATTGTAATTTTGTATACCTTTAGTCATTGCACTTTGAGAAATGTGATATAGGGTGGAGAAAATGTTCCTGTACAAAGTTAAATCTTAAAACGTTTGAAGACTCGTGGGAGGTCACAAGGCAGGCATTTTGAACGTTTGTTGAAATAATGCTGTATTGCATTTTCTGGGCTGCATTTTAGTGTATTACGCTGATAATTATTTTGTATGAACAAAATTACATTTTTCTTCTCTTTTTGCGCGGAAACATTTTTCCTCCAGACATGCATTGGTAGTTCGGGAACACGCTGTAAATAAATAATCTTGTTCCTCTGAAACTATTGTTAAAAACATCTTCATAGAGTAAAACATTGATGTTT